TCTTAACCTCCCTGGGGCTTGCTCAGGCAGGCATCATCAGTGGGCACCATCGCACCTGAACTCCAAGGGCTTTTGGGACCATGTGACTGTGTATAGAAGGAGCCTGGGACAATCAGAGCCCAGCCCAGGTCAGTAACCCAGAAATCTCTGTCCCTGGAGAGGAGCCACGGATGGGCCTGGCCGTAGCAGTCAGTCTGGCCCTGTGGCACACATGGGAACCCCAGAAAGGAGGCTCCCACTATTCCTCCTGTGGGCTCAAGCCCTGATCCCACTTCATTTAGGGTGCAGGACAGTGCTTCCCCTGGTGGAGCCAGGGGAGGTACATGCTGGGCGAAGGGACAGCCTCTGGGGTGCTCCCATCTGCCTGCAGAGCTAGAAGTGGAGGAAGTGTCTTTCCCTCAGGCTGTCACTGAGGGCCCCGCGGCCCCAGGAGCTCAAACAGTTTCTCTGAGTGGCCTCCTACCCTTAACGCCCCAAACAGTTAGCACAGTCACAGGCCATCTCCTTGGCCACCTGCCCCCATAAGGCGGGGTTTGGGATGACGGAACAAAGTCCTTCGTTATAGGGACAGGGCTAACTGCTTCCCTGAGCCACAGCACCACGCTGTCCTCAGAGCCCAGCCTGCTACTGACTACTTGGGGACAGTGATCGTGGCTCATCTCTGCTCAGCCCTGCTGCCGTGTAGAAGGTGTGCTGACCATGGTGTGGGAAGCCTTGTGCGGATTCACGCCAGGACACCCTGGGCCTCTGTTCACGCTGCTCCTGGCCGTCTGGCCTTTCTGGGTGCTGAGGTCTGGCCACTAAGCAGCACGGGTAATCACACTCTCTGGTGGGTCTTTCACCTGGGAAGTCAGCGAAACCGCTGTGGAAATCTGTTCCCTGTAAGCATGGTGCTCTCCCAGCCTTTTCCTGTTCTCTTTCATCCAGTAAACACTTCTGTATGTCCCCTCTTCATTACAAGCTATGTCCAGCTTGGGGTGGAGGACTTACAGAGTGCATCCGCTATTCCCAGCCTCGCCTTGGGGAAGCCCTCAGCACAAGCCCTGAGGGGTGGTGACAGTGCCCTGAGCACCATGACCTCCAGACCCACTGTGGCAGGCAGCTTCCACGGGACTCCCTCCCCCTGGCCGGAGACGGAGACCCTCCCTCTCTGCCCAAGTCTCTCGCTGTAGCCAGCAGGGAGCTGAGCTCAGCAGGCAGCAGCAGCCCTGGCAAAGTGATGGGTGGGATCTGCCACAAGGACTCCAGGTGGTTTAGGCTCATTGAGAAGGACAGAGCACTGGCTGGGGCAGGCTCCTCAGAAGCCACAGCCAGGACAAGTGTGGATTCCAAGGTTACAGCTAGAGTCAGACTGGCCCTGAGCGGTGACATGTGCCCTCTCTTGGGAGGACAGGCACTCTGACAGTACATGAAGACAGCCCTTAGCAGGAGGACGGGCGTCCCCAACACACTGGGAACCGAATAAGGGGCTGCTGAAGCCCGTGGGCTCGCCTGGCTGCTGGGCATCTGGAATCTGTGTTGAGCCTATGGTCTGAGGCTGGCATGTCTGGGGTCCCTGGCTCCCCTATTCTCTAGCTTCCATCTTTCTTCCTTCATCTGACACCCAGTTAATGTCTCTGCTCAATCTGGAAACCTTTTTTTTTTTTTTTTTTTTTTTTTTGAGACAGGGTCTCACTCCAGTGCAGGCTGGCCATGAATTCACTATGTAATCCAGGCTGGCCTCAAATACATGGCGATTTTCCTGCCTCAGCCTCCTGGGCTGGGATGACAGGCATGCACCACCCTGCACAGTCAATCTGGAAACATTTTCTTAATGACAAAAAATAAATAAAAAGTCATAAGAGTCCTGAGCAGTTAAATAGCCGGTGACGTTGTGTGGGCAGCTGCCCAGAGGACATGGAACTCATGTCTCTGAGTGGGTGGCCTTATAAGGACAGGTTCAGGAGGAGAATGGCAGGAGGGAGGGCCACCGGCAGGGGATGGGGGGGCAAGGGGGTTGGGCCCCCCACTGCAGGGCTGGGTATGGAGCTGGCAGGGGTGCCTGGCCAGGCCTATCCTGCAGGGGGAGCTGGCTGTGTGCCCCCTCCAGGGCCTTGGAACCAGGGCCAGCACTGCCAGTCCCTCTGCCTTCCCGCTGTCATCCTGGCCCCAGCGCCGACCTGCCTGGCCCAGCCTGGGGAACCCACTCCAGGGCACAGGCCACTTCCTGTTGTGATTCCTCTGCCACTCCCGGGCCAGCAGGTCTGCGGTGCCACCAAGGCTGCTGGGTGGGAGAATCAGGCACTGGTTTGTGTTTGCGTCAACGTCTGGGCCGGCGCTTTTGGATCTCTGGGTGGTGTCGCCTCTCCCCAGGACAGAGCAGAGCTCGGAGCAGGTGTTAGCAAGCAAGGGGTTGGCTGAGTAGGCACAGCTGGTAACGGGGTGGGATCTTGGCCTGCTCACTGTCACCTTCTCCCCACATGAAGGAGCTGAAGGTGGCTTTGTGGCAGGACAGAGACAGGGAGTTTCCACGGGGCCTTGGGGCATCTGGAAGACAAAGTCTGGGCCTCAAGATCTGGGGGTCAGTAGGTGTGTGAGGGAGGTGCTGGCCTAAAGAGGGGGCCCTAAAGCCTTCCAATCCTGTGAGGAAAGACACCCCAAGTCTTCCCTGAGCCAATGTCTAAGGTAAGCATGGTCGCCTATCCAGTGCAGAGGTCAGTGGAGAAGCCCTCCCAGACAGGCCAGGGGCAGGGTCACCAGTGGACAAGTGGGCAAACAAGTGCTCTCCAAGGCAGGTGCAGACCCCCAACTCCTCCGCTAACCGCAGACTGCCTGAGCCCAGCACATGTCCCCCCTCCCACCCTGGCCTGACAGCCCCTCCAGGACGTCGTCCACTGCGGAAGGCTGCCTCATGGTGAAGCAGGGCATCGAGGCTCAGCTTGGAGGCCAGAAGAGGCAACAGTGGGGGCCACGCCATCCAGCGCCCTGCCCAAGCCTCGAGAGCTGCCACCGCGTCTGCACACAGCTGCTTCCTGGAGCCACCTGAGCCCTGCAGGAGCCTGTGGATATGTTTGCTCCTCCAGGTGGCGCAGAGAGCTTCCCCCAGGTGCTCTGAGTTTGACTTCAAAGCCAGTGAGACTGGTCAGCTTCCTGAGAAAATCAACTCAGAAGGAGAGAAGGAGAATTGTCACCCACAGATCCAGAGGCCTTGGTTGCTCAGCAGCGTGGTCTGCAGCCTAGGGTGTGGAGAGCAGGAAGCAGGGGCAGGGTCCCAACAGCCCTCCAAGGGCTTGCACACCCTGACCCACCTCCTCCCGCCAACCTTTTAAAGATTCTGCATCTCCCAGGAGCGCTGCCACCAGCGGCCTTCAACACAGGAGCCTGGGGGACACCAAGAATCCCCACCGTACCAGCTGGAGGTCTGTCAGCTGTAAGGATGATGAAGTTGATGGTCAGAGTGAGTGATCACACACAGTGAGGAGCGGTCCAAATGCTCACAGAGACAGTGCCACAAGCTTCCCGGGTGCTGTTCCACCCAGCACAATGGAAAAGTCTCAGTATCTGTATTTTACAAATCAGTAAGGCACAAAGGGGCTTGGAACTTTCCAGATTGGTTAGTGATAGGCAACAGCTTCAGCCCAGATCTAACTTCAGGGTCCATGCTTCTAAACTACATTATTCTGCTTCCTAAAACATGTTTAAATTAACAATCTGCTCATTGCTGCCTGGAATTTTTTTCTTTTCTCCTTTTTATTTTTTTTAAGGCTAGGCTGTCCTTGAATTTGCAGCAATCCTCCTGCCTCAGCCTCCCAAGTGCTTGGATTACAAGTAAGCTCGACCATGCCTGGCCTGCTGTCTCATCCTTAAGCAAATAGTTCTTGTCTCAGGATGGAAAGGTTGGTGTAGGTGGGAGAAGATGGGAGTGGTTAAATGGGTGAGGGCTTGACAACTGGGCACCTCTACAGCAAGGAACTTAATAAAGCAGTAGACTAAGGCCAGGTAGATTTAATCAGAACCGAAATAACTTTGACCCTAAAACTGCATCTTAGAAACTGAACTCTAATTGTATCATCTTCTCCAAGGCTAGCTTTATTTTTGGCAATAGACACATGACCAAACTTTGTGCCATCTTGCTGATTTTTTCAGTTTTGCATCACCTTAAAGTGCATTGATTTAAAGTGATTTGAAGGCCGAAGAATACTGGGGCTTAGTGGTGTGATGGGGCTTAGGGAACTGGGCCCAGTCCCAGACTTCTTATGGGGGCTGCAGAAGTCTCCGAGACACCGCCAGACCCAGCCTCTGAGCTCTGAGCAACATGAGTGTTTCTGTTTGTGGTTTCACAGCACCAAATACAGCCTTGTCTGCAAGTGGCTGAGAAGCCTGGACTCCACTTGCCGTGGGGCGACTAGAAAAAATGGGGCATCCATGTCTTGGCCTCTGACCTCTAGGCTGCTTCAGCAAGTTACCCTTTGGCTCCCCTGGGGGCCTCTAACGGACAGATGTGGGGCAGCTGGAGACAACCTGGTCCTAATCTCCCCACCTCCCAGAAGATGAAAGGGGACATTCGGGCTGGACTGTCAGGGCAGAAGGGGGCCTAGCCTGGCTGGTCCAGAAGGCCACACTCACTGGCCTTGGGCCTGTGCCATTGTAAAGAACCCCAGAGAACCCATTATATAAAACAAACTGAGCTTGTTACCTGTAGTCCCGGATACTTGGCAGGCTGAAGCAGGAGGACTGCCTTCATCGTCCCACACCAATGAAACTGTGTCTTAAAGAACCAATGAAAGAACACCCAGGAGGCCACCATGCTGTGCTTTCTGAGTCAGAGTATCTGATGGGCACTGGCCAGGTCAAACATTGACTTCATCAGATTTTCTACTTTTCCTTTGGGGACATGGAGACCCAAAGAGCCCTTGAGCTCGACATCCACAGAACCCAAATCGGAACTTCTGAGGCTCAGTGGGGATATATTTTCCATCCCAAGACCAGCAGCCTACAGGACTCAAAACAACTGCCCGTCATTCTGTTGCTACTGTTATTGTTTTAATTTTCTCAACAGCAAAGTTATTAACACAGAGGGTACACATGGAACACAGGCAGGGTGCAAGGCTCAGTCCCACCTCACTGGCCCCTGCCTCGTCCTCCTGGAGCACCGCCAGCTGACCTCAGTGTTTCCCCTGCCTTGGGACTGTTTGTTTTTTATAGTGAACGTGCATAGCTTTGTCTGTGTGGCTCCGGCTGGGTTTCAAGGACACAGGCCAGTGGCCTCACAGTCACTGGGTGCCGGCCACCAGCTCCTCCAGGGCCTGCTCATGGCGGTTGCCGTGTACCAGCAGCACCTCCTTGATCCGCTGTGGCTGGAAACCCATGTCGCTGAACTGCTCCCAGAGGCGCAGGAACTCCCTGGCCTGTGAGGGGGTGGGGACAGCTGGGTCCCTGAGTGCCCTGTCCCTGTGCCCATTGTTCTTCCACCCAGAAAGCTGTGGCCTCATAGACCAGGCTGGGCGGCCCCTAAAGTGGTCTTGCACCTCCAGGGTGATGAGGCCTCTGACCTCCCTGACTCTGCTCAGGACAGAAGGCTCTGGCCTGGCCTGGCCTGGCCCCCACCTCCTGCTCCTCCCAACCCCTGTACTTGGGCGTGGGTGCAGGATAAGGAGCCCCAGGACCCTGCCCAGCCCAGTGACCAGCTTCCAGCCTGAAACCTGGCCTCCAGCTGCCCCTCTCCTGCTGCCTGCTCTGTTTCCCACCTCTGTCCACATTTCATCTCCTATCCTACTGCGGCCGCTCTGGGGACCGCCGTTACCCCCATCCTGCCGTCCCCGCTGACCTTGCTTTCAGAGTTCTGGAACAGCTCCATGGCCTCGTCCACCAGGGCCTCCACATAGCCCTGCTGCAGCAGCCTCTCCCGGGCGCTGAGGTAGCCGAGAAACTAGGCAGAAGAGGCAGACGGGATGGGATGGTAACAGAGCACCAACGAGCAGCAGTGGGGTGTGCTCTGAACTCAGGGCCAGGTGGGCCAGCAAAGCCCCACATGCTACCGGGCCCAGAGAGCCCCAGAGCCCACACAACCTGAGGAGAGGCCTAGACCTGGGACAAGTGGACCACATCCCCCACCGCTGTCCCAAAATGGAGGATGAAATCCAGGAAAGGGGCCATGGGAGTGGGGAGCCCCCACCTCCTGCGATCAAACATACACACTGCCCTCTCCTGGTGAGTACCTGCTGCGTCAGGACCTCCACCCCTCACTAGACACATCTGTTCCCGGGAACCCTCCTGAGCCTCTACAGCTTGGGAAAGGGATGGGGGCACGACAGGGGCCCAGTGGGCCCAAATCCTGGGTGCCATTCCCTGTGTAAATCACCAGGGCCCCTTTACCCTCAGGAGACAGTAGGTAAAGGTGATGAATGCTGAAAGGCCAGGGCCAGCGCCAGCCCCCGGAAGCCTCTGGCACATGGGTCTCCACTGGCTGTGTCCCTGCTGCTCCCAGGGCACCCCGAGCTCCCTACATGGCACGCACAGCCCTGTTATTGCTCCACTTCCTCTTTCTCCACCTGTGCTTCCTGCTCCAGTTGAGAGGGGCTGCTTGGTTTACCCCACAGCTGCATCCCTTGCCCCTGTGTCCCTGGTCTCAGCATGGCAGCGGGAAGGGGTCTTACAACAGCCGATGCTGCCTTTATGAAATGAATTAAGAATGTCCCTGAGGGAACTTACAACTTAGCGTGAGAGATAAATCAGATGCAAGACAACACTAGGGCCAGGTGAATCAAAGCAGGATTTACAGAGGACGGCTGCGCCAGAGTCTGTGCCAGAGGACGGCTCCTGACTGGGGGAGCTAGGGTTGTGTGCAGAGAAGGAGCAGGGCAGGTTTCTGCAGACCTTCGGAGCATGCAGAGGGCAGGATGGGCAGGCTGGGAGATGAAGGCTAGCGCACTGACCAGAGGATGAGCCTGGGTCACCAGGACCTTGCTCTGAGCACACACTAAAAGACACACACCCAAACCGCCCTGCTCAGGGGAGGAAACAGAGGTCCAGACAGGGCAGGTGATTCCAGGACGATGGCTGGGCTAGCTCTCACTTAATTAGGGCCTTGTCCTGCAGGGGGACAGTGGACAGGCCTGGAGGAGGGTGGAGAGGGCAGGGCTGGGCAGTGGATGCTCCTTTAGCTTTTGGCTTATCACTGTGCTGGTTCTCAACCTTGGGGTGCACGGCAACCACCGTGCATGCTTGGAAAACCACCGCCTTCACTTCCTGAGGCTGTGGCCAGGACACTGGGTGGTGTTAATAATTCTCAGGTGATCCTCACATGTGGCTCCAGGGACAGGTGACACCAAGCCATGCTGCATATCAGCACCACCTTCAGGGCAGGCCTGGGGATCTGCATCTGGAAAGATTCTGCTGCTCCGACTGCTTTTGGGGCCTACAGGGTTACAGAAGCTCCCCGGCTTGCTTCAGGACCCAGGGTGGATGAGAGAGTCTCGAGGCCCATGCCCAGTTCCTCCTCTGTCCTGTCAGTGGGGAACCCCCAGGGAGGGCCCTGCTGTGTCTGGGCTCCCTTGGCGAGTCTGGGCCTTGCCATGGACCTTCGTCCACGCCAGGCAATGGGCAGAGCAAGCCTGTAGGAGGAGGGACAGCGCAATGCACAAAACCTAGCTTTTGCATTTCCTCTTCTCCACTGACTCCATCACCAGTGCCTCCCTTAGGTTATCTGGTGGTTCTGTTCTGTTTTGTTTTGTTTTTGTTTTTGTTTCTGTACTAAGGATTGGACCTGGGGTCTTCACATTAAGCTACATCTCCAGCCCTTTTTTATTTTGAAACAAGGTTTCCTTAAGTCACTAGGCTGCCCAGGCTAGGTTCAAATTTGTGATCCTCTTGCCTCAACCTCCTAGACTGCTGGATTACACGGTGTACAGCCTCTGGCTTATCTGTCATGGGGAAGCAATCTGAACCCCAAGCAACAGCTCAGATGATGGGGGAACCTCACAGAACAGGGAGGGGAGATGAAGGCATCCAAAGGAGGGGTTGAAGGGAGGATAGAGGAATGGGGGGGCAGGGCCCCTGGGGCCACCCCATGACTGTCCACTGGGGAGGAAGATCACCCAGCGATGCCACAAAGGTGGCAAGTCTCTGTCTGGGAACACAGTGTCCCCGCTGCAGAGACCCTTGGTGCCACCCCAGGGAGGCCACTGCCCTGTCCTGGTTGTGACTTGCATTCAGACCTGGCCATGATGGGCCGTGCTGTAGCTTTACCAGGCCCAAAGGGATTGGGGAGGCTCACTGGTGCCCCCTAGTGGACCTGGCCCCTCAGCCTCCTGACGTGCTTCTTGGCCAAGCTCCCCAGCTGCAGCTGGGGGCTGAGTTGGTCTTAAATCTAAGAGCAGGGCTGGGGATTTAGCTCAGAGGCATAAGCGCCTGCCTTGCAAGCAGGCAGTCGTGAGCTCGATCCCTGGTACCGATAAAAACGAAAAAGACAAAAAAAAAAAAAAAAAAAATATATATATATATATATATATATATATATATATATATAGTAAATCTAAGAGCAGCCTGGGTTACTGTCCTCAGAGTTCTCACACAGGAACTGGGAGAAAAGCACTGTGTAACAGAGGTTCCGGGTCACACCGGCCCTGGGGCTGCCCCTGTTTGGTCAGCTGAACCTACCTAGTCTCCATTTTTTTTTTTTTTTTCTGCAAAGTGCTCAGGGCAGTAACATCACAGCAACCTTGCAGAATGGGAAAGAAGGGGACCTAATTGTATGCTCTCAGGCTAGGGCCTGGGGCAGAGAGAGTTTCGGGGTAGCCATTTGGGTGCCCATGCTGAAATTTCTCCTCCCGCAAAAGACACAGACTGAAGAGCTGGGGTAGAGCAGAAGCAGGAGGGTCAGGGCAGGAGCATGACCCCGCCCCCCAGCCTGGCCGCAGCACCCTGCTTCTGGCTGCAGCATGAGAGTCCCATTCCTGCCATTCCCTCCCCAGAGCAGGCTCCACCTCAGCCCTTAGAGGGTGAGACTGCGGAGAAGGTGCCCAAGCCCTCTGACGTGGAGACAGAGACAGGAAAAAAAGGAATAAATGCCAACTGCCCTGGGAACTGCTGTCCAATCCGATGCTCAGGGAATGTCACACTGGGGTAGGGGGCTGGGCAGTGGCATTCATGCCACCACCCCCCAACCTACCATGCTTCCCTTGTACCTTGGGTCATTTATCAGATTCTCAGCCCAGCCCTCAGTCTGTTCCCGAGTCCCCTTCTGTCATTTCCCACAGCCTGTCTCCTGCATCCTCGCCTCCAAAAGACTGTTGGATCGGGGCCTCTCAAACTCCTCCTTCCCGTCCCTGCCCCTCCATTTACTTGTCTGTCCCGCCTGGAAAATCGTCCTTTTTCCTTACATCAAAGTCAGTTTAATCTGGCTTCAAAGTCCAGCTCAAAGCTTGGCACCCACAGAAGCCTCTGCTGAACTCTGGAACCTCCTCGTGGCCCATTGAGGATGGCCATAAATTCTTCATGGTCCCTCCCATCCAGAGGCAGAGTCTCCTTTTCCTCCCTTTGAGTCTGTCTGGGGTGTTCTAAGACATGCTCTGAGAAACCGGGTACAATGAAAACGATGGTGTCCCAGTGCAGCAGAGGCTGCAGGAGGCCTTGCAGCTTTCACATGTGCTCTCTTGGAACCAAACTGGACTGCAGCCATGTGGCCTAGATGACAAATTCCACCACCACTGGGCCATCAGTAAGGTTCTGATTAAATTGCTCACCTGCAGCCACAGTGAGACCAGCAGAACCACCTAGCTCTGTCCGACCCTGACTATCAACTCAGAGTATCTCGAGCAAATAAATGGTCCTTGTGCTGAGCTACTAAAGTTTTGAGTTTGCTATAGAGACCTGCGTCCCTTGGGTCACCCCTTTCTACAGGCAAACGCTGGCTGAAGTAGATGTGTAAAGGTCCAACCACGATGTCAGCCCACTCAGGACACTCAGGGGCCAAAGGGGCCTTGGAATAGAGGGGCTGGTGGGTGTTTCTTTGGCTTCTCTTCCTCAGGTCTGGTCCTGAGGGTCTCTTTAACATCTTGTCTGCCCAACTCCACCTGTGCCTGCTTCCAGGAAAGCCTGCTCACCATGCAGGGCTAGATGTGCCTTGGCTTCCCCCTAGCTCTTGGCCCACCCCATGAAGTACCCAGTAAATAGTTAGGACTAATGGGGTAGGTGGGCAGTTGAAAGAAAGAGACAATGTGGGGAAACTGTTCCCTGAGGGGAGTGGCTAGAGCTGTGCTCCCCAGTATGGTCGCCACTGGCTAAATGTGGCTATTTGAATTTGAATTTAAATTAATGACAACTAAATAAAATTTAAAATTCAGTTTTTTAATCACAGATTGAAAATAACCACATATGGGTAGAAGCTACTATATTGGACAACACAGACTTTGTGTTGTATTGTGTGGTGGCGCATGCCTGTAATCCCAGCATCCAAGGAGGCTGAGGCAAGAGGACTGCAAGTTGGAGTCCCAGCCTGGGCAACTTCACAACTCTGTGAGATCCTATGTTAATGTTACATCCTTTTTTTTTTTTTTTTTTTTTTTTTTTTAAACTAGGGATCAAACTTGCAACCTCACGATTACCAGGCAAACTCTTGAGCTGCTGAGTTAAATCCCTGGCTCCTAGCATAATGTTAAAAAAAAAAAAAAAAAAAGTAAGAGGAGGGGGATATAGCTCAAGGCAAAAGCCCTAGTTTCAATCCTCAGTACTGCAAACAAGCAATCCACTAGAATAAGTTCTCTAGAATAAATTTTGGAGAGCTTTCAAACTGTCCAAAGCTCCAGTTCCCTGAATTTGGAGCAGGAACTGGACAAGGGTAGAGTACTGAGCCTCTGCCAGTGGGCATGGGAACCACTGATAAATTCCTGCAGGGGAAGCATCCGAAGGGTCTAGAAACTGGTTTGCAAACCCCAGTAATTTACACCTCTAAAAAGAAAGGAACAAGTCTTCTTTAACTTAAAGGCAAAAAGCCCCACAGCTGCTTGGCTCGGCTGTAGCCACCCCAGCTACATAGCTCCTACTCACTTGGCTCAGGCTCTGTCTCCCCGTCCTCTGCAGAGCTGTGATGGCCCTGGCCAGGGGGTATCCCAGGGCGACCACAGGCCTGATGAGCTCCTGTTCTTCCTGACTCAGGGCAGACAGCAGGTCAGCTGCAGAATCAGGGTGCGATCTGCAGGGCTTGAGAGGCTGGGGTGTCTCCCTAAGAGACGGCAGGCAGGTATACGGGCTGAGCGACTGAAACAGAGAATGGTGCGTCAGTTAGCACAGGAGATGCTGGCCTGGCTGGACATTTGAAAAAGCGGCTTCCAGTACTACTTTCTATACAGAGTGTGGCGCTGGTGCTGCTGAGAGCTGAGTCCTGCAGGCTCCAGCTCCCCATCTCCCTGGATCACTCACTTTACTCCTATGCAAAATGAGTATCTCTCATGCAGCCTACAGAGTTGTTAGGAGGCTTGAGATGGGAGCAAACGAGTGAGGGGCAGGAAGAGCAGTAAAGCAGTGGATACAAGGCACTGTTGGTGAGGCCGAGTTTCACGTACTGCTTTGAACACTGCCAATGAATGTAACAGGAAGCTGGGCATGATAGCATACTCTGCACTCCCAGCTACTCATGAGGCTGAGGTAGGAGAATCATTGGATGCCCCAAAGTTTGAGACCAACATGAGCAATATGATGTGACCCAGTTTTCCCTCCCCTACACAAAAAGAAAGAAGGAAAAAATTCCCAAGAATTAGGATAGAACCATCCTATTATCTTGTTTAACTGATATGGAGGTCAAAGTTCAGACAAGTTAAGGACCTGAGCCACAGTACACATGTGGGGCCTGGCCCTGACCCCAGGGGTTCCTTATCTTACTTGTAGTGAGATCTGAGCTAGGGTGCTTCTGGACACAGGCCAGCAAAACCCTAAACACAGCCCTGACCCCTCCTCCCAAGGAAAGCCAGAGCAGGGTGTGGATGTGGGCATGAGTTCCCCAGCCATCTCCACCTTAGAGGTCCCCCACCCCGCCCCACCCCAGGGTGGAGAACATCAGCACCCACAACTTGTCTAAGGTCAGGGGCCTCCAGTCTGTCTCTGGTTAATTCCACCTCGGCCTTATTCAGTAGCATCTCCTGGCCCAACTTCAGGACAGAAAGCTGTGCCCAAGTGCCACCTTCTGCTACCCATCCTGTCCCACACCATCTGCTACGGATCCAGATTTTATTGAGCCTGCTGCTTAAACAATCTAGAGGGGATCTCTTAAAGAAGGACACATGGCTATAAACACAAGACTGGGGACAGGGCCTTGGAAGGGACAAAGTGAGGGCCTTGAGGCTGCTGCTTCTTTGGCTGGGCTGTGACACCCACCCCATCCTGGGCAGCCTGGCCTTCTCTCCACACAGGACGCCGGTCTGGTGCTGGGTCCTGTGCTGAGGTTTGCTATCTCCGCCTTTAAGTTTCTGGCGGGAAGTCGCACTACCCGGAACGTTCTCCAGGAGCCTCCGGCCTGGCCAGCCCGCAAAGCCCCGGATCTGTGGCTTTTTTCCTTAACAGAGGTTCACCGAGCACCCGCTACGGGTCAGGCCAGCAGCTGTGCCCTTGCGCATTGAGGAGCCGCTCCTGCCTGCGAACCCGGCGGCGAAGCCCGGGCCGCGAGCGGACGGCCCGGAGCTGGGACCTCTAGGCCGAAGGCTCCCGAGACGGGGCGGAAGGAACCGAGACCGCGGCCGCGCGCTACTCACCGCGACCGTGGGCTTGTGGCTGCGCAGCGGGGCCATGGCGCCGGCCGTGGCGGGCCGCGGGGGCAGCGTGGGGCTGAGTGGAGGCGGCGGTGGTGGCGGTGGCAGGGGCCCCGGGGGCGCAGGCACCGAGCTCAGGCTGCAAGCACGGTGGCGGCGGAAGCAGTGCAGCAGCGCGCGTGGCCGCGCGGCCAGGCTGCTCCCCGACAGCCGCTCAAGCAGCGAGGGGCGCCGGCCGGGGTCGGGGGTGGTCGGGGAGCTGGGCCGGGAGCTGGGCCGGGAGCCACCAGGGCGCCTCTCATCCTCGCTGGCTGACGAAGGGTCCTCCTCGTCGCCGCCGCTGCCGGCCTCCTGCTCGCCTCCGGGTGGCTCCTGGAGTCCGGGCTCCGCAGGTGCAGGTGCCAGGCCGCTGTCGGGACTGAGCAGCAAGAGCCAGGCTGGAGGGGCCGACGCCGTGCCCTGATCACCGCACGGGTAGGGGCCGCATCCTCGGGTGGCAGCCTCAGCACAGAAGAGAGCCTTCCTTTCCAGGCTGAAGTCGTGCTGTGGAGAAAGGGGTGGTGAGGGGCGAACCAGGGCTGGGATTCCCACCACCTGTCCCTAAGCTGTGAAGGGCTGGAAAGATTTTATCAGCGTGGTCATACTGGGAAGCACGCTAAATGAACTTTGGGGTTTTTATACAAAAGAGGAGCAAAGGCAAGGGCTGGGGTTTTGCAGCCCTTACTGGGGCGTTACACAGCTGGTGGGGAGGCGGAGGTCTGGCTGAGGGGCAGCTCACATAGTTTCCTGAGGTCCTTGGACAGCCATTCTCATCTGAGGATGTTGGTTTCCCTTGTGAGATACCAGCTCCTGGGACGCAGCCTGTTTCCCTGCATGGTGTAATTGCTCTCCCTAATGTGACAGCGTCATGGGGTGATGTGCAAGGTGCGGCTTTTCCTGCAGTCTGAGGTGGCTGTAGAGTTAGGACAATGACTCAAGACTTCTAGGCATTGTTCCAGGGGGTTTGGAACTGGACTCTGTAAAAGTGGTTGGATGTCCTTCCGAATTCTGAAAATCACTCTCATCTTGGTGTCCTCGGTCTTGAAGGACAGTCTAGGTACATGTAGGGCTAAAGAACGTTGTAGGGATATGATCCCAAGTTCTGGAGGGTAAGGGAGAGGCCAAACTTTATTCTGTTCTTAGTTACCCACTGGGCATCTGAGGTCCAGCTCCAAAGTCCCTGTGACAATATCTCCCCCCTCTTCTTTGCTGCTATTCAAGGTTACTTTGAAGACCATGAAATGTGATGATCTAATCTTTGATGAGCTTTGCTAAATAGCTTCAAGTATCATCCCTATTTCCAGATTATGAAATGACACTCAGACAATTTTATTTGCTGAGGGTAGACCGGGGGTGAGTGGCCATGCTGGGCTCCTGTCGACCAGAAGGCAGCGCTTTCTCTCCTGCATGATCAGCAATCTGTACAGCTCAGAGGGAGAGCTCTTCCCAGCATGCAGATGCCAGGCCCAACCCCTAGCACAACAGCAAAAAGAATGATCTAATGCCGACACAAGTGCTCTAACTTAGAGTTTACAAATGAAGCAAAAATAAAAAATTGTGGTTCCCTACCTTTAAGTTAACACACACACACACACACACACACACACACACACACACACCAAGAGCAGAAAACATAAAACTCCATTAAAAATACAGAAATTTTAGCACGTGCAAGACCCAAGTTTTGATCCCCAGCATTGCAAGAAATAAATAACTATATAATTTTAATAAGCAATTTCAGTGCTCTCCTGTGGCCAGTTAAGGGAAAAGCTAAAGTAAGGGAAGTTGTAGTTGGGGAGAGGGAGAGAGAACGAGTAAACAAAAATACAAAGCCAGGTGTGATGGCGCATTCATGTGACCCCACCATTTAGGAGGCTGATGCAGGAGGATCACTATGAGTTCAAGGCCAGCCTGGGCTACTTAGTGAGTTCAAGACCAACCTGAACTATATAGTGAGACCCTTTTTCAAACACTGTGTCTCCTGTGCCCCCTCCCACCCGTCTCCCTGGCCGGACTGTGTTCTCTTCCTGACTTCCCTGCAGGGGCCCTCTGCTCCAACTTAGCCTTCGAGCCTCACCTGACTCACACCTGGTCTCTGCCCCACTGCTAACTGACATGCAGTGACGTGGAGTTGGAGCCTGGCTTTTAGTCTTGTAACTGCCAAGCATTATGAATAGTCACCTTCTTTCTCTGAGTCTTAGGTTCTTCATGTGCAATGAGTGAGACACAAACTGGTTTCCTAAGTATCTGGTAGCCAGGGGCAGCAAAAACCCAACAGCCCCCAAGAGGCTCCAGCCAGCTCCACAGTTCCTTTATTTTTTCAGGATCATGTGAATATTGCATTCTCCCCCAGACCTACCTATGCAATAAGCTTCTCTCCAAAACCTTCATGTAAGCTCAACTTGCTGACAAGGGACAAGAGAGACCCTTACCATGGAACCCAGCAGGAGCTCCCTGCAGGCAGGGACACTGAGCTCCAGTGTGGGGAGAGACTCTGCGCTGATCACGAAGCCCTTGGACACCTTGAAAGGGACACCATCGAGGGCACTCATCCTGTCCAAGGAGTGTGAAGATGGCTCGGCAGGGCTGGGCAGACTGCCTGGTGGTACGCAGAGTGTAGAGTCCTTGGTGGTCTTGCCACTGTCCTGTACAATCACCTAGCTGGGCCCCACACCACTGGAAAGGAAAAGACAAATCAAAAAAGGGTCTGCAACGCTGGCTGTACAGTATCTCATCACGAGAGATGCCACCCCAGTGTTTAGAGAAAAAACAACACTAAGTTATACAAACCCTAGCAAAGAAAAAAAAGGGGTACTTCCTAATCCACTTTGACCTCATCAATTTTTTTGGGAGGGGGTGCCGGGGATGGAACTCACAAGCTGCTTATGCCACTGAGCTAAATCTCCGGCTTCCTCATCAAAATCTTGACACTGAACTTGACAATAAAATTAAAAGCCACTCTTTCATGAAGATAGATGCAAAAATCTTAATAAAAATAATTATGCATAAAACACTGCTAAGCAGGACTTATTCCTGAAATAACAGATTAGCTTAACATTCCAAAACTAATTAACAGGAGTAATGATTACTATCAATAAAATAAATATGAAAAATTATAGATGCATATATCTCTATAGAGGCAAAATAATAAAATAGTCATTCATGATTTTAAAAAACAACCAAGCCAGGTATAGAGGCACATGCATGTAATGCTAGGACTCTGGGAGGCTGAGGCAGAAAGATCACAAGTCAAGTTAGTGAGACTTTGTCTCAATATAAAGAATTATAAAAGGCTGAGAATATAGCTCAGTGGTAGAACAGTCCTGGGGTCAGTTCCCAGTATCATGAAACAAACAAACATACAAGAGGGCACAAGCCCTCTTAGCAATTTAGGAAGTAGTTTCCTTAGCCTAAGGAAGACCATCTCAGCAAAGGCATGCTAGCTAGCTCATCCCTGAAATCCCAGCTACTCAGAGGGCTGAGGCAGGAGGATTCTAAATTTGAGGCCAGCCTAGATAACTTAGTGAGAACTTGTCTCACAATAAACAAAAATAAAAAGGACTAAGGAGATAGCTCATACATGGATACTTGATTTATAACAAAATTGGTCCAGTAGAGCAGTAGGAAAGGGAAAGTTCTTTTTAATGAATGATTTTGGATCAATTGGATATCAATCTGGGAAAGAAAATCCAAAATCAAAAGAACTGCCTTGGGGCTCAGGGTGTGGCTCAGTGGTTTGATCCTCAGCACTAGAAAATAAACTGGAAAATAAAAACAAACAATGATCTGATATCTACTTCACACTGTACACACAAAAATCAGTCCTAGGTAGACTGTAGATGTCTCTGCCAGAGATAAAATAACAAAGCCTAAAGATAAGAGAGTATATTCAAGGCCTTGGAACAAGCAAAAACTTCTTAAAGAAGTTACATAAAAAGATTAACCATAAAGAAAAATAACCAACATTAAGAGCTTCCATTCATGAGTATAAAAAATGAGAGTGGGAGAAGATATTTGCTATACATCAAACAAAGGACTCACGTCCAATAGATAAAGAACTTGTACAAACAATGAAAAAGCAAGGGGTTTTAATGTGCACTTCACAAAAGAAGACATCCGAGTAGGCAATAAACATGATCATGTGTTTAACCTCATTGTCAGGTATATACAAAATAAAAGTGTGATACCACCACACACACACACAGTACAAAAAAGACCAATGATGTCAAGTGTTGATGAGGAAATCACTTCTGTGACTCCCAAGCACTGATCAACAGCATCTACTAAAAGTGAAATCCCAGAATTAAAAACCCATGCACAGATCACTTCTTAGGCTTTTGGCTAATGCGCAGGGTAGCATCTATCCTTAGTTTAGTAATACTCACCGGCAACAGGGACTGAAGATCAAGTCTGTTTCTTTGAAGAAAAACGGGGGAGGAAAAGTCCTCATTTACACCAGATTTAAGCTCACAACTGAGTAGAACATAAATCTAGCCTCCCGAGCACAGCTGGTCATCTTCCGAACAATCAAGGCTGACCAGTGCGTGCCCAAGCTCATGCAATCTGTCACCCTTGGCAGGGTGACGCAGAAGCCAGCTGCTTGCAGGTCACCGTGCGGTCAGCCCGTTCCCTGCGGGAGTGCATTGTGCAGAGGTAGTGGGACAGGTCAAATGAGGGCAGGGGCAAATCCCTTAATCCCCGGCTGTCCTGCGCCTGTCTGTTCTCATCAGTGGCCTTCCATGCAGGGGCCGCCCATGCCCTCCCTGCAGCCTCTGCGGGCAGCATCCGGCCGCTTCTACGTAGCCAGCTACCTGGCTGTCCTGGCAGCCACTGCTGACAGGGCACCTGCGATCTGAGCTGTCCCCGGGGCCAAAGGGAAGATCAGCAGGTTTTGGCGTCCTTGCCTTGCTGCTTGCATGTTCAGCCCTCATTTGAATTTTCATCCACTGAGACTCGGCTGTGAGTGATCTGTCACTTAGCTCCCCATCTTCACCCCAGCACCTGCCTCCTAAGAGGCCTCCCTAGTCAGCCTTGAACCTGCTTTTAAGGCAACTAGAAGATTCTGGGGTCTCTCCTCCTCATCCTCTTTCTTTTATGCTGTACTAAGGACTGAACCCAAGACCTTTGTACTGAGCTTATATGCTCTGCCCTCTTGTGAGACAGGGTCTCGATAAACTCTTAAATTGCCCAGTCTGGGCTTGAACTGGTGATCCTCCTGCCTCAGCCACCTAGAATGCTGAGATTATAGGCAGGTGTCAAGGAGTACATCTTGGGCTCAAGGAGTACATCTCTTAAAAGAAGCACCAGGGTCCAGGATTTAGTGCCTGGCAAATGCAAAGTCACGAGTTGTCGGTACGCAAGGGCAAAAAACCAAAAAATAATATACCCCGATTGATGTACTTTAAAATTTTATTGTAGTTCCCCCCCTTTTTTCTATTTATCTTTGAATAAAATGGATTCAAAAAAGAGAAGCATAGGCTATGGTTTAAAATATGTAGAGTATATTTTAAAATGAGGGCACCTCATCAATCACAAAATGAGAAGTGTAGATCATTAGGTAATGATACTAGGGATCATGGGCAGCCTGTCCCAAGGAGTGGCTCTGGAGACTGTTCACGTCCTTATGTTGCTTGGGGACACACAGATGGGATTGCTCTAGACCCCGAGTGTGGGGGAACAGCCTGGGAGCAGGGACAGGGTCAGATGGAAAGCAGGCAAAGAGCTGAGCCTCAGAGCAGACACTGCTTGGCTCTTAAGACTAGGAAGCTGTCTGCAATGAAATGCTTACCAGGCCTGGTAGTACAGCCTGTCATCCCAGCCCTCTGGGAGACTGAGGCAGAATGGTCACAGGTTCAAGCCCAGCCTGAACAATTTAGCAAGACTCTGCCTCTAAATAAATAAATAATACAATTAAAAGAGTTGGGTGTATAGCTGTGTGAAGACTCAAGGCAGACAGAGGTCAGCCCCTGGGAAGACCTGAACCAGGGCCAGGTCACACACTGTTTAATTAGGAAGTAGAGAAAGTCCTGGAGATCTGATGAGTGGAGCAACAGAGAGCCAGTCCAGGGCCCTGTGCTCCCTGCGCAGCCTCTCTGAGCAGCGAGTCGAGGCTGCGGCACCGGTCCAGGGGGCCTTGTTTTTAAAGCTCCTCGCTGTGCGATTTAGAAGACTTCATCCTTGCCCTCAGCCTCAGTGAGCTGTCAGTGATTCAGTTTCCGGTCTCTCATAAACACAACAGCCTGCCAGACATCTTCCTCCCCCAAAGCGCTCTTCCTCCCCAGAGCTCTGGGTCCCAACGGCAGCACTGACAGAAGCCCGGGAAGAGCCACTCCTAAGGCCTCCTCCTTGCCCACCACCCACCTCCAATCCTCTGCTGACTAGCTGTTAAACCTGCGGCGCCACGATTCACACAGCGCCCCCTGCCGGCGGCACGGGGACCATGCTGCCCTGCTTCCTCCTCTGCCTCCCAGCAACCGCCAGCCCCCTCTCGCCGCATCTTACTCCAGCCTTGTCAGCCTTCGCCCGTGGTATCCTGACGCGCCCCAGATTCCTGGGTTCCTCACTAGTTATAAACTGTCAATGTTTCACGGCCTAGCTAGAATATTACTTTCCTTGACCTACAGGGAAAATCCTGTAGTGGGGTTGTTAGGTCCACAACTATAGTAGCTTTTTATCGTTATTATTATTTTTATTGTGACCCACGACATATTTTGTGAGCTGGTTTACACGTATATGGGCAGAATCATCATTCTCCTCCTTCCAAGTAGCAGGCCTTGAACTCACAGCCTCAAGCATATTTGGCAAGCACTCTACCACTGACCTACTCCAACGCCTGTATTTATTTTTTCGATAGGGTCTTGTAAAGTTGCCCAAAATGGCATTGAATTTGCAGTCAACCTGCTTCAGCCTTCCAGGTAGCTGGGGTTATAAGTATGCACCACTACATCCAGGTTGCAATAATTCTTACCCTTACAACATGACATTATTTTCTATTATTTTGCTTCATGTTAAAAAAAAAAAAAAGTTCCTACTTTGTAATGTCATAGAACCATGCCTTCTCTTTTAAAGTACCCACCTGGGCTCAGCATTATAAGCGCCTGCCTGGCGAGCATGAAGTCATGAGTTTGATCCCAATACCAAAAAAAAACCTCACCTTTTTTTGTTCCTCAGATTCACAACCCTCTCGTCTCAGCCCCCCAAGTGCTGGGATTACAAGTGTGTACCACCAGGCCCAGGTACTCTGTACATTTTTAAATGATTATTGAATTAACACCTTGTCATCATAATCTGTACTCTGTTAGGTTAGGGAATATTTTGTGTTTTGCTTGGCCTTGATAGGCACTTTCTGAAAAACACTTTGGGTAATGAAAAATACAAATTAGTAGTAAGTACTTTTCCTTATAGAACTATCATAGCCTCTTTAAAATAAAATTTAAATAAAAAGAACTATCATAGCTATAATTAATGATTCAATCGTCTGTGTCATCATTAAACTTCTATAATGATGAAAAATGAAAATTCATCTCCCAAAGAAGACAGCTCAAATCTTGATTCCTAGCCACCACGAATAAAGCTGAGAAAAGCCCGCTATATCCCTGCATAGCTCTGCATTCTAACTGCTCCTGCCTCAAAGACCTCGATCTTTGCTTCAGAGAGTGCAAGAAAGAGTTTATTCCAAAAAGCAAATGGAATCTGCACTGGATGTAAATTCCTCAGAGGTGGCAGGATGTGGCAAGCCACAACCTACTGCATGGCTACACACAAAGGTAAGTAAGTCATTACACAGGGATGAATTGTTGGCTCTACACTTTTAAAAAGTCATTTGGAACTATCTCATTCAGTCCCATACTCTTTTATCTTTTGCCATATGATACTTATTTAAATGGAACAAGATGTACTTTGTACTTACCTTTTAATTCCCAGGAGATCTTCCCTGTGGACAAAACATTCAGAAGTGAAGGGATAGACAGCCAGCCAGTATAATCCTGGCTAAGACTCTCCTCACAGAAGTCAGGTGCTCATGGAAACATGAATGGTTTTAGAGTGATTAATTTGGTTGGCTTGTGGCAGTGAATTCTTCAACATCATAAACTCATCCAGTTGGGAGAAAAAAACCCTTAGTATTTAATATATAACTAACCTCTCTTACACATATTCTTGCATCTTTATCTAATTTCTTTATTTAAAAATGCTTTGTTAGAGTCTTGTACGATTCCAGATCTCTTCTCTGAGGAAGTGAGTATTCCTGCAGTGAATCATCATGCAATGAGACAGGATCTCACTGTGTAGGCCAGGATGGCCTCAGACTCACAGCGCTCCTCCTGCCTCAACCTCCTGAGTGCTATGATGATAGGTGTGTGCCACCCACCTGGCAGCTAACAGTTTTATAAAAAGGACATTATTTAGAATTGCACTGAAGGCTCAACAGAACTTAGCAACAAATTCTGTTGAGTGGAAAGAGTAAGAATTGACCACCAAAAGTGAGCAGTAACAAGGAGCACCCATGACATGCAGGTTGTGGTCTATGAGCAGTTCTTCCTTTGAAGAGGAACCGGAACTCACTGTGGGGCAAAAATGACTGATTCTAGGCCTGGAGCAGCAAACATATGAGATAAATTTAGAAGAGAATTCTGGGAGTGCCTGGGGACTCAGGAGCTGAGTCAAAGAGACACCTACTGACCCTAAGTGGGACAACTGATAAAAGGGGCTGAAAGATGAGATCCAAGTTTGTCAGAGAAAAAAAGGGGGGGAGGGGGCTGAAAGAACAATGTTTGGATATGAAAATATAATACTTAAAAATCACTAGCCACCTCTGAGTGGTGGTAGGAAATCAGCTCATTATTTTTGAAAACTAGTAAATAAAAAGAATTAAGTGTTTATCTCTTGCTCTTCTATTCAAATTGTAACCAAGTAATTGGCTGGTAACAGGAAATTTCTCTTTTTAGAAATTATTCCAGCTACTAACCAAAGAAAGAGAAATAGTTATTACTATTCTAGTGAATCTAGGTTTTGAGATTATATATATATATATATATATATATATATATATATATAGTCTTTTTGAGACAGTCTTGCTATGCAGTTTAGGCTGGCCTTGAGCTTACTTTGTAGTTCAGGCTTGAACTCAAAATGATCCTCCTGCCTCAGCCTCCTGAATGCTGGAATGACAGATGTGCCCACCATGCCCAGCTGTAACTGTTTTTTTTTTTTTTACCAGGGATCAACCTCATGACCTCACACTAAATCCCCAGCCTCCCAGCTAGGCTTTGAGTATTTTTTTTTTTTATTGGTACTGGGGATTGAACTCACGACCACGTGCTTGCAAGGTAGGCGCTTATGCCGCTGAGCTAAATCCTCAGCCCTAGGCTTTGAGTATTAGAGGATTCTCATATCACAAAGAGACAAGGAGAGGGCCAAGACTGTGGCTCAGTGACAAAGCCCTTGACTGAGGTGTGTGCAGCCCTAGATTCAATCCCCAGCAACATGCATACACATCCCCTAAAAAGAGAACACTAGACATCAGTGACCCCCCAAATGGAAATACATAGCACATTACAAAGCATTCGTGCCATAAAATTCCAAACTAAACACGAACAAGCCTTTAATCAGTGGTACCCAACAGAATTACGTGAGCATGTGTAATGCCTATCTTAGTTCAAGCTGACATTTTAAGTGCTCACCAGCTGTGACTACTATAGTGGACTCCCGGACAGCTGTTGAACCACTGACCTATATGAAGTATGGGAACAGAGGGGACCTACTAGGGTAGAACGCAACTGGGAAGATGGAAACTACACAGAGACAGGGAGAAAAAAGATGCTATTTCTTCAAGAAAGAAAAAATGGGGGCTGGGGATTTAGCTCAGCGGCATAAGTGCCTGCCTTGCAAGCAGGCAGTCATGAGTTCAATCCCTGGTACCGGTAAAAACGAAAAAGACAAAAAAAAAAAAAAAAAAGAAAGAAAGAAAGAAAATATGATGGTGCACCATGGGGAGCAGGGAAGAGAAACTATAGAAAAGCTATGTTAAAAAAAAAAAAAAAAAAAAAAAAAGAAAAGCTATGTAACAACCAACAATGCATGAATTCTGTCTGAACAGAATGTAAAATACATTAAAAGGAAATCTGAACCAATGGAGTTTTGGTATTAGAGTCACTAATCATTTCTTCAGATATGATAATGGTATTGTGGTTACATGAGAAAAACAATTTAAGATGGCATGTGGAAATATTCATGGGTGCGGCAAACTGACATCTGGAATTTCCTTCAAAATATTACAAGGTAAGGGGGGGATATAGATGAAACCATGACTGGCATTGAGATAATTATTTGAAGCTGGATGATGGGCATATGGCAAAAACTGCTTTACTTTTTTTTTTTTGTTGTTTAGACAGAGTGGCTCACTACGTAGTCTAGGCTGGCCTTGAACTTATTATGTAGCCCAAGCATGCCTCAAATTTGCAGTCCTCCTGCCTCAGCCTCCCAGAATGCTGGGATTACAGGCACGTGTTATCATGCCTGGTTATACTATTCTTACTTTTGAATACAGCTGAGATTTTTCTTAGTTAAGTTTTAAAAGGTAAAAGATTGTGGGACAAGATATTTATTACAACAGCACTCATATTCTTGAAAGTAAAATTCATTCAAGATGGTATTCTCTCTAAACCGGTAGAAGAACAGAGGCTGCTGCTGCCACCACACAGACAATAAGCCAGGAAAATCTTACATAAAAGCCAAACAAACATATATAATGTGCACTTTAGAGCAAGTGTGACAGTAAAATGAGAAAGGACCGGTTGTTCTCCGTCCATGCCAACTTTTTCTTGGGCTCTGCCTCAGTAGTGCAGGTGGAGGCAAGGTGGTCCAGGCACCAGATGTACACTGTACAATTCCTCGGCAGCCTGCATCTCATCCAAGAGCAAAAGGGGGGGGGTGTGTTAAACCAGGCACTCAGGACTGTGGGCCTGTGAGGCTAACTGCACCTGACTTCACAATTTATGAGCTTAGACAAACTCTGGAAAAGTGTGGCCCTTGGTCCCCATCTCTTAACCCTGTAATGCATAATGTAGCAACTGAACAATGTGAACCAACAGAAGAGGGGCAAAGGTGTTAATATCTCACGCCAAAGAGCTTCCAAGGACGTATTTCTCAAGTGGATGGTGTCCTTTCTTGCTAACCCACAGCTGGATTCTGCAGACAATGTTTGGTGTTTAAATCACTGTCCTCCTGTAGCAAACACCTGTTTAATAAATTTGAATTTGGAGTGAAAAATGTCATGAATCTCCTCATTCAAGAGGCAGCTCTGGCCAAGACAGAGCACAGAAGAGCAGCTTCAGGCTGCAGCCATGCCACACGGAGTCCAGGAACTCAGTACAGTACACAACGCAGAAGGCAGCACCATGACCCTCACAGCTGGGGAGCAACGGCCGCACCATGCACCTGGAGCTTCCAGCCTACTGCAGTTTCACGGCGGATGCCCAGATGTCGTTGCTGGGGATCGTGGGAAGGACCCATCCTTGGGGAACAGAGCTGCCTTTGGGATGATCGGCCGGCACCAGGTACTGATCCCAGTCATGCCTTCATGAGAACATTACAGAACAACAGTTCATTTCCACCTTTTTCCAAGCAAAACATTCAGCAATGAAACATTCTGTTCCTAGAAGTTAGCTTTCAAATGAATGATACACTACACTAACCTCTTATTACAACTTGATTTCTAGGAATTATGTGCAAGCTCACATTTCTTTCTTTTTTTTTTTTTGTAAGTTTTTATTGGTACCAAGGATCAAACTCATGACTGCCTGCTTGCAAGGCAGGCACTTATGCCACTAACTAAATCCCCAGGCCCAAGTTCACATTTCTTAAATGAACACATTTAGGAGAAAAACTGACGAACTTACAAACTGTTACAGAAAACCAATTAACTAACACAGTTAATCCTCATTATGTTTAGGTTCTGCATCTGCAAATTCGCCTACTCAGTAAAATGAAGTGGTGGCCCCTAAATCATCACTTTTGGCGACTTCACCCATGCTTGGAGGCAAACAATGGCAAAAAATCTGAGTTACCAAATGTATATCTGAGCTAAGGTGACACTCACTGTGCCTTCTTTTCAGCTCTCACACCAGGAATAAGTGTCCTTTTGGTGGTCAGTTTAGTACCATGTTTTGCACATTTCTGTGTTTTTCACCAACGATTTTCCTGGTTAAAATGGCCCCCTAGGGTCATGGTGTTAATGTCCTAGAGCCATGACAGGCCTTGTGGAGAAAACTCAAGTGTAAGCTTCATGCAGGCACAGGTCACAGTGCTGTCAGCCATGAGGATAATATATATATTAAATCAAGTGCCTCGAAACAGAAATGCACACGAAACAGGTGCTGGTCAGTGGACAAAAATGTAAACAGAGGCTCTCAGAAATCTACCTAACCCCAAGAGAAGCAGTGGTTCAGTACTCTGTATTATAGCCTTCACAGCAACTTTACAGAATGCAACTACTATGAAAAATGAGGACTGAATCTATGAACATTTCAAAGCTAAAAGTCATATACTGGCCCAAAATAAACTCTTTCCAGGAAATAAAGTTGGTATGCTAAACAGCATTCTTTTTAATCTTTTTTTTTTTTTTTTTTTGGGTAGCGGGGAGTGAACTCACACCCTAGCTTATGTCAGCCACTGAGCTAAACCTCCGGCCCCTAAAAGAACATTCTTTCAAGAGAATCACAAATTGTTAGCCCTTCAGAAAGAGAACTTAGAGATCACTTTATTTGGGGAATTTTCAAATCATACTGAAAATTCCCCTAAGATGTTCTGGGGAGTCCATAAAACAACAAATTGCTTCTAAGCAACAATCTACCTTGGGGACCCCATTCATACATGTGTTTTACCCACTGAATTTCTCAAGAGACTGCAGGCAGGAAGAGCACTGCTGCCATAGCCTGAGGTGACATTTGGGCTGCGGCTCCATTCTACAGCTGGAGACCTGAGAACTTCTCCAGCTCAACAGTAACTGGTGACCCAGGGAAGAGCCCTGTTCCCACTCCCTGGGCTAGGACCTGCAGGAGCTTGGAAGTCAGCCTAGGTCTTAGCAGTTTCCGCCGCACACACCTGAGATGGCTTCTCTTCTTGAGTGCGTTTAGTACCATAAGAGAATTAAAAAACAAAGCCATTGCTTTCAAAGTCAGAAGGAGGGCTACATACACAATACTAGGTCACAGCCCGAGCTTCACCTTTTTCACCTGTTAAAATGGAGATGGCCTCTTGCAAAGCATGAGGACTGAAAAAGAATGCGTGCACTCTTGAGACTTGCCAACACCATAAACCCAAGGGAAACTCTGAAGTCTGAAGTAACAGACTTCAACAAGTAGACGCCTCATCAAAGGCTTCTAATGCTACCCCAGGGAAAGGCGACAGGAAGAACAAGCCCCTGACCTTATCTGGATGAGCGCTGGCAGGGAGTGCTCGGCCTGGAGGTAATACTGTCGGAAAGGCTGCAGGAGGTGAGCAAGGGGGAACTCGTCTGAAAGAGAAAAGGCACAATACCACATAGTCACGCTGGCTAAGAGCAGTGTGTTTCTATTGTTCTGTCTGGTTGCTTTTTGTATTTCCTGGCACTTGAGATGGAACCCAGAGTCTTCCCATAGTAGGCAAGTAACTCTACCCCTGAGCTACATCCCCAGTCCTAAGTGTACTTCATCTGTATGCGTGTCTTCCATCGCACAGTCTATAACACTGCTGCGAACTTGTCCGACCTTTCAGTGATAATCAACAGCTGGCTGCAGCCTGTGTGGTATGGGTTCCCCACCGTTGGTCTAGAATCTCCAATCAGAAGACGCCATGTGTTGGTTTCCCCTCTTAAAATAAGATCCCATGTTGTGGAGCTGCCAATTCAGTAGTTTCCTTCTTTTTTTTCCCCCATAAGTTCACAGGAACTTACCTGGATCCCCAAATAACTTGGACTCAATTTCACGTTTCTGAAGTAAAAATTTCTCTTTTTCTTTTCTCTGTTTCTTTTCCAATTCTCTTTTCCTCTCTTCCTCTTGTTCTCCTTCCAGCATCACTCTGAGGGCCCTCTCCTCTGCTTCGTATAGCTCGGAGCGTTTCTTAATGAGCTTCCTCAGTCGCTGAAGATGGTACTCAAAAGTCTCGTCTGCTGAGGCTGGAGGACAGACCCCTGGGAAAAGAGAGTGGATGGCATTTTTTTTTTTTTTGGTCTTTTTGAGACAGAGTCTCACTATATAGTTCAGGCTGGCCTTGAGCTCACTCTATAGCCCAAGCTGGTTTCAAACTTACAACAATCTTCTTGTGTCAGCCTCCCAAGTGCTGGGATCACAGGCGTGCGCCACCATGCCTGGCTCTGCTGATGGCATTTTAGACACAACTTTTTTCTCACCTCAGAATCCATGTTCTAACAAGCAGTCTGGATGTCCAACCTATAGCAGGAGTTTGCTTAGAATTAGTATATACTACCCCACCTTCAAGGCTGCAAATGCAAGGCTAGCCTGTGTTACACAATGAGCTCTAGGCTAGGCCAGCCTGAACTACACAGCGATTCTCTCAAAAAAGGAAAAAAAAAAAAAACACATATTAAATTCTTACAAAAATACTTTGGATTAAGAGATACCAGGACAAAGAGGAAGGAAAAGGGAAGAAATGTAAGCGGAAATGCAAAACCACAGTTACCTTTCCTTGCTGCAGCCTCTTTCCTCAGTTTCCGCAATTTCTCCAAGGCTCGAAGAATATCCACCATTCTTTTGGTGTCTGCTTGTTTTTTCCTCACTTCAGATAAAACACCATCGGCAGCAGCTTTGAGTTCCTGTTCCTGGAGGAGAAACCGAGCCCACAAGACCTTGTATTAGTAATGATCGTACAGTGGAACTTATGGCTGCCAAGTAATGAATTTCAGAGGACCAGACAGTCCCCAAGGTTGAGACTCAATTGAATCCATGTCTCAGTTTCCTAGGCCTGGCATAGCGCCCCTCTACATGGGCACACTCCCCTGCACAGACTGTGCACCCTTCTGAAAGGAAACGCTCTCCTGTCTGCATTGTCTACACAAGCACCCAGCTTTTACTTCTCTCAGGGTTTCTCATAGTGTGGTCCAGGGAGCATCCACATCCATCTTATCTTGTTAAATTGGGGCTTTCTTGTTAAAAATGCAGATTTAACATGATGCTTCAAGCCCTGGGTGAAGATTCAAATGGGACTCTACAGAGGTCTCTGTGTGAAAACCTGCGCAACCTGTGCTGCTTTGCTCTAAAGTCACCAGAACCTCCTGCAGGTGGCCTGCTTCCAAACATTTGAGGACCAGGGGCTGGAGATTTAGCTCAGTGGCATAAACAACTGCCTGGCAAGTGCTAGATTATGAGTTCAGTCCCTGTACCAAAACAAACAAAGAATCATGCCCAACCTTTTGAGGACCACAATCCTATTCTTGAGTTGGCTCAAATCCCCACTCCTCAAGGGATTCTATTTCCAGTATCCTTATCCTCTTGGTTAAAGTTCTCTCTGCCTACACTGCGACTATTAACACCAACAGCCCACTGCTGCACTCCTCAGTTTGGATTATGGTTGTGCCCGTTGTTTTCACTTGGCTTGAACACTTCTTTCAAGACTCTTTCAGATGTGCAGCACCTGGGAAACCTTCCTCCAGGAGATTCCATGTCCCTTCCACAGACTCCTCCAAGCATCTGCAGCTGAAATCCTAACAAATGCTGTGTTATAGCACCACGACCCTTTGGAAGCTTAGAACCTATGAGGGATGGTCGTGGTGCAGTGATCACAAAGTCCGTCAGATTCTAGAGCAGTAGCAACACAAGGAGACAGGCCACTAGAGAGAGCACAGGAAGGAGGAAAAGAGGTGCAGCGGCACTCAGAAGTCATGAGAATGCTTTGAACACACTTCACCAATTTCGGGCTTCTCCTTGAGCCTATCTTGAAATTGCCTTTGGAATCAGACAACTTGGGTTTAAATTTGAAGCAAAACTGCCACAAACTGGTTATGTGTTGGTTGGTAAATTAATCTCTAGGACTCAATTTCTAATCTATAAAACTGGGGTAATTCTTCTTATTTCTCAGGGTTGCTACAAAATGACTTCATGTATGCAGTGGCTTTAGGGAACACCTTCGGGAGTATAATATAGAGTGTTCAAAAAGACCACTGCTGAATCTAGAAACATATGGTGTAAAACCTGCAGACAAATCCTGCGGAAGTCACTATTAGTATAGCGATGAGCCAATTAGGCTGTAAGTTCCTGGAGGTAGGCTCTCAAGTTTTCTTGTGTTCTTAAAATCGTTTAGAGCTGAAGTGCCCCTGAGCACACCTGTAATCCCAGCTATTCAGGAGGCTAAAGCAGGATTACAAATTCGAGGCTGGTTCTGGACAACTCTGTAAGACACTATCTCGAAATAAAAGTGACTGGGGATGCAGCTCAGTAAAGGGCGCCTGGGTTTAACCTCCACTACCAGGGAAATGACCATCTGCAGCAGTGCAAGACAAAAGAATCAAAACACCTGTTAAGCGTTGGGTATTAACTTCACAGCACGGTGCAGGTGACCTGTCCTCCCAGTCTGCAATTGTGTAATCTTATAATTTGTGCTTACAGGATTGGAACTGTCCAATGTGGAGCTTTTGTCTTGTGTGCTCTACATCATGAATGAGCAATTAATATAAGTTCGATGTGGAAAGGTAGCGGTAGCTGTTTCTGATGTTACAAGCAAAGAGCTAAGCGTAGGTTCCAAACCGCAGCCACCATCCCTCTGGCACTGAGCGGCCACCGCTCTCACCCGCTTCTTCTCCTCCACCTCCTGCACGCACTTGACCCTCCAGCGGTCAATCTCCTGCTCGCGTTCCACGGCCCGCGCGGCCTCCGCCTCCCGCTCGGCTTCGCGCTCCCGGGCCCTTTCGCGTAGCCGCAGCCGGCGATGCCGGATCCTCTCCAGCCTCCGACGCGCCTCGCCCACATAGGCGGCCTGAGACAGAGGCTGCAGCCGCTCCGCCAGGTCAGTGCGCAGCGGCGCGACCTGGGCATACAGTAGTGCCCAGGCCTCGCCGTCCTCCTCGGCTTCGCGCAGGGCTTGGCCCAGGCCCCGCAGACGCCGCACTAGGCGCAGAGCACCGCGGAGCCGCGCGCGCACCTCACCCAGGCTGGGCCCGGGGATCGCGCGCCGGGGCACCCGGCAGCCCACCCGCCGCGGGTCACCGAACACCGCCTCCAGCCACTGGCGGTCGCGCAGGCGCTGCAGCGCCGCGTCCCCGAGCTCATCAGCAGGCGGCAGCACCTCTGCCCAGCGCGGGCTCCAGGGCGGCCCCGGGCCTGGAGGCGGCGGCCGCGGCCTCTCGCCGGCGTCGGTCCCCGGGAAGGGCCGGTACTGGGGCGGCGGCGGAGGCAGCGGCGGGGGCGGCACCGAGTAGAAACCGCCACTACTGCCACCGCCACCGCCGCGGCGGGAGGCTTCCGCGGGGACCCGGGGTTGCAGACCCAGCGAAGGCTGAAGGAAGGGGGCGGAGGTCCCCGGATAAGGGCCGGGCCGCTGGGGAAGGGGCGGCAGGAAAGCCGGGGAGGGTAGCGGCGGTGGCGGGCAGCCGAAAGGAGCAGGAGGCGGCGGCTGAGGGGGCGGCGGGCCGGGGCGGGCCGGGGAGAAGAAGGGCGGCAGGGCCATGTTCCCGGTGGGCAAGCTCTGAGAAGTGACAGGAATCTTCAGCGGGTCTCCCGGAGCGTCTTCCGGGAGGAAGTGACGTCTTACTACGCGCGACCGCCTGCGACGTGCCTGGGGGAAGCAGGGCGCAGGAATGGACGTGGATTCAACCTGTGATCCTTCCGATTAAAATACTGCGAGGCTGGGCGTGGTGGCGCACGCCTGTAATGCCAGCAGTCGGGAGGCTGAGACAGGAAGATCGCTGCGAGTTCGAGGACAGCCTGAACGCACAGGGAAACCCTGTCCCAAAATCAGGAAAGGAAACAGAAACACTTAAACTGCGAGGCAGAAACTGTCCGTTCTAGGTGGCGCTCCTATACTTAGTGTAGGGAAAACACACAGATCAGATACTCGCACAAATGTGGACGCGGCATGATGAATATTTGACTTAGGCGTTAGAGAAAGTGAGGTTTCACTCAGACCCGAAGGATAACTAGGAGTTAAAAAAGGAGGGGAAGCACAGTTCGCATGGGAAGAGCATTGTGCCAGCAGATACAGATTGGGGTAGGGAACTGAAAAAATGCCAGTGTACACAGAGCACAGAAAACCTGAAACTGGCTCGATTGTATTCTTGAGAGTAAACAATTTTGAGAAGACTGCTGCTGGGGCCTCCTATGGCACACATCTGTAACCCTGGCACTCAAGAGGCCTCGAGGCAGAAAGCTCACTAAGAGTTGGAGGCCAGCCTGGACTACATAGTAAGACCCTATCTCAAAAGAAAAAAATTAGTGTAAGAGATCATGTGTCATTGCCCAGGTTCTCTTAATGGCAACATCTTGTAAAACTATTTTTACAACATGTACTATGCCCATCCTTTTGTTCTAACCGACTCTGTTTTGTTTAGCCACGTTAGGTTTTATTCTCTCCAAAAAAATAATAAGAATTGTGGGAGAAAAAAAAAACCCAAAAAGTATAATTGTTATTAAAAAGAGAGGACAGGAAGGTGGTCTAAGGGATATAACTGCATGTATGTTTGAGTGTGTAGAATGGAAATCCGTATTAGTGAACTTTTGTTGGATGATTGAACGGCACTGTCTGCAATCTGATTGTATGAATGTTCACTTTACATGCTTTAATTTTATAATTTGGACAACTATTTCAAAGATGACAATATGTAACCTATTAACTAGTGATATCTTACTGTATTTTTTTCCTTGAAATTCTGTATTATTTGTACCCTTTTCCTGCTGTTTTTTAAATTTTATTTCCTTTTTTTTCTCTTTAAATAAGAAAAGAGAGAGAGAGAGAATAATAATGGAGTATCTCTCATTTTAAAGGAACAGAAAATCTTCATCCATACCAGGCCTGAACAGAATGCTCAAGAATAAACAGTAGGGGAGAGGAAAGAGGAAGGAAACAAGGAAAGAGCAGAGTGGTCATCTGGGCAGAGGACAGCATATGCAGAAGTCTATGGGCAGCATGGGGTCGAGTGCACACAAGTGAGGAAAGCCAAGTGAGTCTGAAGAAGAAAGAAAGGACCAGGACACAAAAGACCAGGCTCGAGCGCCAGGCTTCTCAAAGGCCTGGCTCATGCTTCATGGGCAAAAGGGTCAGCTAATACCAGCCTCTTATAAATGCTGTATCAATACTGGCCAGTTATACAAAATAAAGCTTGTCTTATCTGACACGACTTTAAGAACAGAAGGAATCCTACAGGCGCTAGAGAAAGAATTATTCTGCCTGGAGATCCTGATGTTGTTAGTTCCCAAGGGCCCCACTCGATTCTGCCTTCCTTAAAGTCTCCTTAGACTCAGTTCATATCAATTGCATTGGTTGAGTTTCAAATTTCTAAGTTTCCAGGTTAGAAAGCCATGTATTTTAACTCACTCTATCAACAAAAACACACCTTGTTTTTACTAAAAATGTTCTTCTTCTTGAAAGAGAATAAAATGATGTCCCTGAAGTCAGCTGGGTGCTTCACGTGAGTGTCTTCTGTGCGGTACTGGAGGACCCGAGAAGTCTTGTTGATTAACCAGTAGGGACTAAAGACAGAGAGCACCATGCGGTTGCCAACTCGCCTGACGTGCACCGACAGGTCAACTGTCACTGCTTCTTTGGAGTTAGACGTAAAACACACAAGAAAGAACTCGGGAAGCGTGTCACATATGCGGAAATGACCGGTCCAGTCTCTGCCCAGGTATCTGACCAGGACTAATTCCATGACTTCTCCACTGATTCGGGAATGCAGGACATCTGCTGTACTGCCTTCTGCCAGCTCATGAGTATCTGCTGTTCCCTAAACACACGCACAAACCAAGTCTGTTTAGCAACATCTTTGAAATACAAAACCTGTATTCTACACAGCGGCTAGACTCTGCAAGAAGCAGGTTTCCTGCCAAGTCTTCCACAAAGTACCATGTTTATATACTGTGCATGCCGCAATTACCAAGGACTAAAAAGAAAACACAGACCACATTTACAAAGGCAGGAACTGTCTTTGGCCATTAATAGGCCAGCAGCCAGGAGTTTTGAGAAGAAAAAAAAATGCATCCACAACAAGAATCCAAGGCTGGATTCCTTTACTCAGGGACCTTGGCGGCTGGCCACTAGCACGGCATTACTGAACACGCCACCTGATGGCCTGGTCTTCAGCTCCTCTGCTAGTCACACACCAGGCCTGACAGTCCCCTGCAGGGGGAAAAAGGAAAGTGACAGCGGTCCGCTGCTCTAGCAAGCTATGTAAGCAAGGTGAATTATTTTTAAAATGCATACTAACAATACCTAAATCAGGCTCCCTTACGAACACCTTATTATTTTATACTTTTTATTTATAAACTATTCTTCTCTTTATCCACTATTCAGTTGATTTAATTAACTGCATAATTCAGAAATAGTTCATGACTAGGTAACAGAAAATAACAACATAGGTAACCAGTTTTTTTTGTTTTTTGCACCATGCTCGGGCTTGAACTCAAGGTCTCTCACATGCTAAAGCGAACTCTTTACTACAGAGCTATACTCCAAGACCTGATATTACAGTTTCTGCATCTTAATATAACATAGTATGTACAAACTTTAAAATATTTACCATATACCACTGCTACAAAATGCTGCTTATTATTTCCCAAGACAGTAATTCTGTTATTTTTAGTAGAAACCTTGGACTAAATAATTGTAATATTAACTTTAGAATAAAAACTTTATGTAACCCAGTACTTTGGGAGGCTGAGGCAAGAGGATTACTGTGAGTCTCAGTCCACAGTGAATTCAAGGCCAGCCAGCACTACTAAGTGAGCTACTGACTCATAAATACATAAGTAAAACTTTAAGGTGAAATATTCTCATTAGATTTTCTCCTTTGCAAATAATGAAAATTTTACTTAAATTAATAAAGTAATAATAATGGCTCTTAAATTTATGGCAGATGCAACAGAGAAAGTGGTAAAGAACAAGGAGCCAAACCACACAGGCATAAATCCCAGCTCTTCCACTGACTAGCTGTGAGACTTGGCCGCCTATGTAACCCCTGCATGACTCAGTTTCCCCAGCAGTACAGAGGTTCATTAATATCCACCATAGAAGGATTAAACATGTGAAGTCACAGGACAGTGCCTAACACAAAGCAGATGCTAGTTCCAGTCTTGCTTTCATTAACACTTTTAAAACACTGTAAGTATGGTATACAAAACACTGACTTCAGCTAAAAATACCACGAAATAAACTAGAATTCACTTTGTGCAATGCTGGAATCCAAACCAAATACAAGAGACACACCTCCAGTAAGTATCTTAGGGAATAGGGGAGCAGATTCCGCAGTGTGAGAGAAGGGTAGAGGTGAATGATGTACGCTGGGTTCCAATCCTCCCCGTGTGCGCTGATGTGGCTCAACTCGTCCGGCTCGGCAACCGTGTTCACAACTAGCGGCAGGAAGCTGCGCTGCACCGCCGGACACTGCAGCCTGCCTGTTACGGAACTGCTCCTGTGCAGCTCCTCCTTTCAGGGGATGTAGGTGGTCGACTCTTTGTACTGATGCTCTAAGTCCCCAGCTGGCTGGATAAACAACTGAGATCTGCAGAAAAGCAAGCCCATGTGGGCAAAGAGGCTCCTGAGAACCCAGGAGCAACAGCCTCATTCAAACCGCAAGTCAACAATGGTCACTCTATTTTACAGGTAAGGAAACATGGTTCAGGCAGGGTGGAGAATGTGCATAAAATCTCATGGCTAACTCACAGAGGAACACTCTGCGGGAAAAAACAAAAACCTATGTGAACAAAGGTGACTGAAAAATATTTTCATTCCAAATATAAAGGCTATCCAGTAAATACAGATTTCAGAAAAGTCTAAACCATTAAAAAAGTTGCGTCCATTTGATAAATTCAATATTTATTTTTCTACAGAATAAACCATGTCTTTAAAATGGGTTTTACATGTTTTTAGATAATAATTATATGAAGTTATATTCTTCACTATCTCCAATTCATAAAGGTAAAAACCCCATTCAGTGAATTTTCAAAAATTTAATGTTTTGAAAGAAGTACCCACCTATACGACTCTAAAGGGACATGGAACTCCTCTTCGGGGCTGACTGTTCCAATGCGCTCCAGAAGTTTAACATTCTTAACCAGTTTATAGATAATAAATGGAACAGAGAAGTGGTTTTTAATCTGTTGGACAAAAATACATATAATTAGCTTTAAAAACATAAGTTAAAAGGAAAATCATTAGCTGCATACACTATATAACTAATGTTTTAAACAGAATTTTGGAAGATACTTCCCTTAACAATTGAAACTTTAGGATATTTAAAGGCTACATACATATTAGGACTATTAACTATCAGCCTAAAATTCAGATATTCACATAATCTACATATTGTAAGCTGATGTTTACTGTTAATCTATATTACTGTCATCCAAATAGTATTGTTTTAAAGATTCTAATTACATTTTCTCCATTATAATTTTTGATCAATCAAATGATCAAATCACATGATTAAATAAAAAAGGACAGCAAAAGAATATAAGAAAACCAGTATTACTATCTTTTCTTGACCACAGTATGATATACATTGTATTGTTTCGTTTTTTATCTTACACTGTATTAGGGAGAAATATTCTGTTGCTGATCATATACTAAAACCTAAAATAATACACAGAAAAAGAAAAATGTTTGGTAAAGGCTTACCAGTAGAAAAGGAAAAAAAAATTTTTTTATTTTTTGGTACCAGGGATCAAACTCTTAACCTTGTGCTTACCAGGCAAGCGCTTGAGCTACTGAGCTAAATCTCTGGCCTGAAAAGGAAATATTTATACAGACTAAGACGCCAAAATTTTTTTTCAGGAGAATAGCTCATTTTAACAGTCCTTGTTACACGCTCAAAAAATATAACCCCAAGTGATATACAAAGAGAATGATGTTATCCTATGTGACAATCAACTGTAATTATAATTTTCATCAATTCTTAAAGAAATACGCAAAAATATTTCATTAATGGTAAACAGAGGAGATACAAAAATGGGCTTTAAATTTAAAAATTTTATTAACCATTTAAAATAAAGAACATTACAAAAGCAAATTAGGGAATAGAAATGACATCATTACTGATGTAATGCTGTGTTGCGATATTCCAAAATGAGTTACACTGAGAACTGAACAGTATACACTTCACTTTAAAGTCACCTGCAGCGCAGAGCGGAGGGTGATGACTTTATTCCCTTCGGTGGCATCAATCTGTACCAAGATGGAGTCTGAGTAATTGGCGTGGGGATTCCGCACATTGTACAACTGCCATCCAGGTCGGGCAACAGGGACATTGGCAACCTCTGTGTATCCATGTGGTACTAAGGCAGAGGACAAGTGAAAAAAATTCTAAATATTTATTTACTAATATGTTTCCATCAGAATAGTTACCCTGCCAAAACAAAGACAAGAGTATTCTTCTCGTGATTGGAAATAATCACCATGAAATACTTTTCTAAAATACAGGGTTTTAAAAAAGAGAAAAACTATTACTGATACAAAATTTTTGACCCTAGATAATTTGAGCAAGTCAGTTTAAATATACGAAAACAAACAAAATGTGACAGATTTCTTATTCTCTCAACTATCCAGCAACAACTTTCTTGTAACAGTACTTAATTATTCTCACTATTTTGGGACTGCTATCATCCCAAAACAAGAAACAAGTATCAACTATTTAATCCAAGTTTTTACAAGTGTTTTTTCCCAAATAAGTATGCAGCAAAATATTTTTCTATATTTTATCAAAACTAAGCCCACAGTGATTCTTAAGGTGCTCCTGAAGTAAAACGCAGCATACCGAAAGTCAGCGTGAAGAAGGAACTCTCCTGACGGCTCAGCACAGACAGCTTCCCTTGAGAGGAAGGTTCCGTGCTGGCATACTCCAGTTCCAGATGCTGACCGGCATCCACACCATAGACATCGCTCTTCCCTGGGGAGCCCATCACTCTCAGGTTACGACTGAGCTGCACCTTCCTGGGAACACCTACAGCATTTCTGACCGTACGGAGCTCTGTCTTTTAAAGAGTAATCAAAAGTAGAAGCAGTGCCCTCCGAAAAACCCTGAAAAGGAATGTAATGCCATCATGAGATAGTTACAAAATGTACATTTCTTTCAAACACTTTCCCATGCATACACATTTCTGAAACTAATTTTGATCACAGAAGAATGTATACAGTACCTTTCACTCTTAAATTCTACTTGAAATATTCCAAATAAGAGCTACACATACTTTTGCTAAATTGCTGAAAACATTGAGACACGTTTTGGATATTGTTATATTCATTGTGTCTGCTGAAGAAATATAAATTGCCATTTTGGGCTCAGGAATAAAATCATCTCCTGGTATCAAACTTTTATCCTGGATCGGGTTCTTCTTTACCTATAACATAAAAATTTAAACAGCCAGTTAATAACAAATCTAAGATAGTCAATAGTGTTGAATTTTCCTAAGCTGGCACTTTATAGTAAGGCTCCTCCAAAGCATCATTTTCAAAGCTATTCAGAGGTTTCCTCTGCTCAGGTGAGGTGAGCGCAGCACAGAGTCTACTCTGGGGAAATGCTTTGAACTCTGTCAGCCACAGAACCTGTTCCATGCATACCTCCCACCCAAGATCCCATCTAATCATCCGGTACTGCCCAGCTAGTAACTATGAGTTGATCAGTAATAAAAGGTGATCCTGAAGTCTGAATCTGTCCTTATTAGAATATCATCTAGAAATAATACTTTCTTATCTTCTGCTTTTTATTGGTAACATCTATAAATAAGTAATATCAAGCTTTCAACCAGCCCCCAGATTCCAGCTATTGCCATATTCATGGTTTTGTTCTAACAGAGTTGCAAAAGCCACGATTTCTGGTTACTGTCCTTATGCCAGAGAGAGGGAGGCCAGAAATACTAGTTCTACTTCATTTGGAGCACACAGGACACAAGTTAGAATCTTCTTTGTCAGCATCCACGTGTAACAGCCCCGTGAGGCCGCTCTAGAGAAGTGCTCTGGGACAATCTGCTAATGCCAGCTCACACACTGGGTACTCGAGAAAACCAGGCTCTGCAACCCAGGATTCTGACACACTTGGAAAAATACCAGGAAGAGATAATAAGGAAAGTCCATAAATTAGTGGTGATTCATAAGATTTTTAGTTATACCCTTAAAAAAATCATTATCTCAAAGAGCTTCATTTATGAAAGCTTCGTTTATCTACCAATACATATTCTATTAGAAATGAAAACTGAGAAAAACTTTAATATTTATCCAAAACTAAGTTAATACAAGACAACATTTTAGTGAAAAGTATTTTTAAAATACAAATAGTGAGATAAAGGACATTAATAAACTTCTTCAGTGCCTGCTTAAAAGACAGGTGGTCTCATCTCTGCTTTGCAGTCTCCTACAGAATCACACTCATGTACTTTCCCGAAAACTCCATCACACATTCATGAGGATGAAAATTAAAATGATATATAATGTCTGAATATACACATAAAATCATTTTCTATCTTACGCATACAATAAAAGGGCTCCACAGGTTCTGGACTACATCTTGACAAGAACCAAATTAAAGAACATCAATGAACATGTGCAGTGCCGCTCCATACAAAGATGCTTTACTGTGTCCTTACATCAAGCTTTAAGTTCCATTGTTTCTTCCCCTCTATTCGCTCGATCAATGGCTCCCACACAGCATGAATCTCATTGTAATAGTGAACCTGGCACAGAATTATAAAAGGTCAGTTTTCAACCTTAATTATGCAATTCTGGAACAAGCAGGAAAACAAGTAATACGATACAGTAATAGCCATTCAAAACCACTTGCCTAAAGACACAAAAAAGTACCTAAAAAGAATGTATTTCCCTTTATCCCTTTATTTCTTGTCATAAATCATTTAGCACAAGACTTCTTAAAAACAGTTACCACATATACAGTTACACAGCCACAAACTGAATGTCAGCATATGTATCTATTCACATATATCATCTAATTCAATCATGCACAAACAAACTATAAGAGAACAAAACAAACAGGCAACAACAGAACCTGAGTCTTAACCCCACAGTGTTTTAGGCAGCTGCCCTTGGGGTACTCCACCACGTCTCCATACCTGCAGTGTCACATCAGCAGTAGCAGCCAACAGGGAAGTCCAATTCTTAATATTTCCTGAAAACTTGGACTCTGCCAATAGTAAAGGCACAGTTCGGTGCCCAAGGCCACATTCTAGAGTGACTTGGACCGATTCCACAGCAACAGCACAGTTTTCCACTATCAGTGGATGATCCATCGCTCTGAAACTTTCTGTTGCTTCGGTTGCCATGTCAACACCAAGAAACCAAGAATTATAATCATCAATAGACTTGATATCCCAAAGACTTTCCATTTCCTTGGATGTGTCTCTCGATTCATCCTCTTTCGTCTTTGGAGACATGGCAGCCATTATTGTCATCACAGTATTCAGAATGATGGGTGAAATCTTTCAGAAGCAAAGCAGAGAAAAATCTTGAAAAAATTCTTTCCCAGATGAGAATTGAAACACACATGTTAAAGCCTTTAAAAAGTAACAAGTTAAAATTTACCTGGTTATTCAGCTCCTAGCTAATGAAAATATGGATTAAGGCGTGTGTCTCTGTGTAACGCCACGTCCTGCTCACAGAACCTGAAGCAATTAATGCTGCGCAGCAAGAGTCAAAACTAACCACCAAGCTGAACTCACAGCATGGCATCAACCAAAAGCGCAGAACTCCAACCAGCTATGTTCACTACGTCAAGACACCTGAACTGAACAGAGAGGCACAGCAGTATCTCCCTCTGTCTTGTAGAAAGGAGAAGGCTGAAATTACTCATGGATCCCACTTGGCTCAACCAAGATCCCTGAACTTTGCTTCTGATATCTCTGGGTAGAGCCTCTGCTCACTTTCTCATTCCTGCACTGCGCTTTAGTTCTGACACTGAGGACATCTTTGTCTTATTTGTTTTTCAATGTCTTAATTTAGTCTTGTGGTGCTGGGGACCAAGCTCCAGGTCAAGCCACGTGCAAGGCAAGCACTCTACCTGAGCTACCGCTAGTGGCCAAGTGCTGAAGGTATTTTTTGTATCCAGTCAACACTCTGTCCTCCTATCCTTCAAACTGTCACCAGCAGAGTTTCTTTAACCCTGACTCCATGCATATCACTCCTATGCTTAAAATCTTCACTGAGCTCCGTAACTTTCAGAATGAAATTCAAACTCTCTTTGGCTTGGTGCACAGCACTCTTTGTAGCTAGTTCCTAGCCAATCTGCTAGCAAGGGTTCTATAAAGTTTGAGAAATACTCGGTTAAATAATTTAAAAGGATTCCTTTACTGTTAACTTCTCACAACCCTTTCTTCACTAACACACTAAACACATACAACTGCTTCATCACAAAGAGGATCTGATGTACACCACATTCCTGACCTACTTGCCTGCCAACCGACTGCTTTCTTTCTCCTTGTCTTATTAATGTTATCTGTAACTAACATCCCAGTCCTATAACTCAAACACACCGCTGAATGCAGCCATGGGGATGATCCTTCTAAGTTCTTCAAAAACATTCTCCAACCTTTGCCTCTGTGCAGACAGCAAATTCAGTCTGGAAAACCTTCCCCTTCCTCTCCATCTATCTAACTTACACCAACTTGCAGTCCTTAGTCCAAGATGTGTCCCTTTCAGACAACTTTTCTTGATATCCTAGTCTGAACCGCAGCCCCCTTGTTCATGCTGCCAGCAGCTTCTGTGCACGCCTCTAGCATTCGAAGTTACAATCACCGATCTACTGCTCTTCCCCTGGTCATTAAGTTTGTTGAAAGCAGAGACCATGTACTGCCAATGTCATACACAGGGTGTGTTTTTAAGTATAGAAGGAGATCAAAAATGATTTATACAAAGAAAAGAAGTCTCCATAACACTTACCCTAATGTCTTAGAGCAAACACAAGCAAATGCATTTTTATTATGCTACATCGTTAAAAAAAAGGTAAATTCATGAGAAAAACACAATCTAAGCCTTTCTAGTGTTTTTGTTTGTTGCGTGCTTGCTTTTTTTTTTTTTTTTTTTTTTGTCTTTCTCATTTTTATCGGTACCAGGGATCGAACTCACAACTGCCTGCTTGCAAGGCAGGCTCTTATGCCACTGAGCTAAATTCCCAGCCCCACGTGCTTGCTTTTTTCAAAACAGGATCTTGCTTAGTTCAAGCTGCATTTGAATTCACTATGTACTCCAAGCTGGTCTCAAACTCATGGCACTTTTCTTGCTTCAGGCTCCTGAGTGCTGGGATTGCAGGCATGTGCCACCACACCTGGTTTTACTCAGTACTGTTTTAAACTGAAAAAAACCTGCGTTGTTATTTAAAATGGTTCAAATGATATTAGTTTAAGTATTAATCCAATCATACTGGTCTCTGACCTACAAAAGTAAAGCTAGTATCATTTATGCATCACTAGAATTAACTGTCTCATCTTTGCATCTTTCAAAAGAGAGCAAACTAGATTTGAGAAAGTATCATGTGCTCCCTATTTACAATGGGGAATGAAGTCCTACTGAAAGAATTTTGAATGACACTGGAAAATAGATTGTTCTTTAATATTTTAAATGTAAAAGATCTTTTAAAAAGCAAACCCCAGTGATTTCCAGCATACATCTGTCACCACAAATATAAGCTAAGTATCTAATCACATACTTATCAGGCCAAATCAAACTATACATTAATAAAAGCCTAAAAATAATGTCTCCATCCTTTCTTCGTTTCTCTATCTCTTCTCTCCCCTCTGACACATACACCACACACAAATGCAAATAAAACAGAGAAAACTACTCCTGCCATGTATAGGTATTAAAAAAGTAGTCTCTTAAAGAAAACAGAATAAGCACTTAAAATGTATTTTAACCCAGAGGCAATCTGATTACCAAATATGTGACTTACAGCAATGCTGAGACCAAAGACACTATTTCAAGAATTTACACACAAAGAATCTGTCAGGCACCAACCTTAATTATAAATTCTTTAACCATAATATTGATATTCTGTTTTCCCGAGGCCCAGGTACATTTTTCCATAGATAAAGAGCATGGCTGCAAGACCTAGACAAGTAAATGAAAAGTCACATTTTCATTAATGTTTACATAACATGCACTTACACAAACCATGTCTCACTCCACTGAGATTCTGAACTATAAACTACTATTAAAAATTACATTAGTTAAGACACTCTTGTGAAGGTTCTTCTGAATTACGACAAGTCCATGTATATTGTTAAAGGACTTCAATCAGTTCTGATGAAGTTCTTCATTCCAAATGCTGATGTAAAGACACACATTTACTATCAGAAATTTAAAGTGTTTCTTTTTCCAAACATATTTTTTCAGTGACTCACTCTGTAAAATATAATTATGAGGTATCTACAAAATGAGCTGATGACTAGAGCAGGGGTTAGGGTAAATGACCAGTTTCCAGATGATTATCCAGTTAGTCCCGAGGAACACAGAAGTCCTTTGTCATGTGACTCCACCTGAGTTTTTTTTAATCTGAGCTTAAATATTTATTTTTCTCTCATTCGATATACTTAGTGAACAAAAGAAATAGCTGAAAAACACTGATCTGAACTAAAATTCAACAGAAGATCATGAAAAGAGGACTAGTCTGGAGGCAGCCCCTAGTTGTTTCCCTAGCAGCCACAACTCGCCAGGTAACATTGGCAGAACTTGACCTCTCTGCCTGCAAACCAGAGGTTGTACTAAATAATCACTTAAATCCTGGACAGCACTCAGGCTCTGAGATTCTCGGACTCAGCTATTTCTGTCATTCTTCAGTTGAGGGCCCAAGGCAGTGCTTACTGTGGTGATGGTTTGCCCCCTCTTCTCTCTGAGGAAAGGACAAGCGAGCACTCTCAGGTCTTTGATGGATGCCTCCGTCACCTGCTCCAGCCCAGATGCAGACACACAGAGCTTACACTGGAAGGAGGCCGACAGCGCAGGAGCGTCCGCCCTGCTCAGGCTGGCCACAATCACCACTTCCGGGTCTGTGATCTTGGCCTTCAAGGTCATGTTTTGTCTTTCAGAATCATCTGGAGAAACAAAAACGGGGACCAGAAAATTTTTAAAGTAAATCTTCCTATGGCTACAATATTATCAACAGGCTGTTAAACTGTTCTCAGTATTTTTCCTATAATGGGTATAGTGAAAGCACTAATTTTGAGTTGGTTAATTAATACTAATAATGAAACGATTATTTAATAAGTGGTAATTATGCAAAAAGATGCAATCCAAAAACTGCCCAAAACAGATCATTCCCATTTTGATCTTTGATATTTTGGGGAACAAAGCTGTTTGGAAGTTCTTCTGGTCAGAGTCAAGGCAGGCACTTGTATACACACATAAGAATGTGTGATTCTATGACACAGGGGCCAAGTGATAGGAAAAGAATCTGATCAAAAGGAAAGAACAACTGGAATAGGTGAAAGGAGAAAACAAAGAGGGGAAAGACTATATGTACAGACTCTTCTTTTTTTTTTTTTTTTTTTTTTTTTGTCTTTTTTGAAGCAGGATCTCACTATGCAGTTTAGGCTGGCATTGAGCTCACTTTGTAGCCCAGGCTGGTCTCGAACTCACAGCGATCCTCCTGCCTCAGCCTCCCAAGTGCTGGGATTACAGGCATGAGACACCACGCCCAGCTATGTACATATACTCTTTATATACACTCAATAGTTAACTATACTACTAAACTATTAGTTTGTCCAAAAAAAGTTTGCTCTTTCATTTTTATGCCTATATCTTGTAACATGAATATCACTTTGAAGGGAACAATACACAATACATAACCACTGTTAACCTATTACTTTGTTTTGAAATTTTATATCATCATTATTCTTTGGCTTTTAAAATTTAAAAAAAGTAACAGCTTTACTAAAAATCAGAGTATTTACAAGGTTAATCTTTAACTTTTATTGGTTCTTGACTATATCATCAAGTTACACAGATCCTATCCCCCCAAAATACTAAAGATTTCCATTAATAATTATTTTCAATAGGATATATGCTTTAATAGAATTTCTTACCTTAAATGTCTGTTCAGTTTTTTCAAAAGTGGTTTGAAAACTAGGTCCACTCTTATCAGCCTAAATAAAAAATGAACAAAGGAATTAAGACCAAAGTAATTAATCCACTGTAAAGTCATGCATTTTACTGACTGTAACATGCTGTGTGTTCTCCTCTGGGAGCCCGGGAGAACAAGTACTCACTTCAGGGAACCTACAGCAGGGTGTGAGAATGATACACCTTGGGAGGTAGAAGGTGCAAAGGTCATCTAGGTCATCTAGTACATTGGACACCTAATGCTGAAATCCCTTGTCCACTTCTCTGGTAAGTCTGTTTACATCTCCAGTAAAAGAAACCTCATCTTCTTAGAAATCCAATCATCAGGGTGCTCTGATTTAATGAAGTCTTTGTACTGCTTCAAGCAATCTCCCAGCCTTATTATTCACTGTATTTCTGATCCCTGAAACAAACAGTGTAACTCCAAACACAAAAGATGACCTCCCGGGGCCGGGGATTTAGCTCAGTGGCTTAAGCGACTGCCTTGCAAAAAATCAATCGTGAGTTCGATCCCCGGTACCGATAAAAAAAAACGAAAAAGACAAAAAAAAAAAAAAAATGACCTCCTGTGAGTTTTCTGCCATTGCTTGTCTGCTTGTCTGCTCCCACAATGCTTTTGTTTTGCTTTATTATATTCATATTACACTGCTATATAATAATCATATTGTCAACCAATCAACACATTTTAATTATTTATTTTTGTACCTCTCCCTTCTAGTTTATAATTTGCCTGCAAAACATAATGTTTGTCATCTGTGTCTCTAAGCACCTGGTAGTGTAATCCATTTAGAAACACATATAGACATTCAATAAATAATAAGTGATTAAAACAAACCTATTAAATCTTAAATGAACCTAATTTTATCAATTACTTCAGCACTTTCCTGGTGCATTTCTTGGTCTCTTTCCAGGCCTGGGAGTTCTCTGCAGCACCTGATCCAATGTGTTTTTTTCTTTGAATGTGGCTTAGCCAAACTGTCACCTACTATACAGACAAGTGTGGACATATAATTATGCCCCTAAAGAGAGAAACAGTGCCTTCTTCCGCCCAGGCTTCTGCATTTGAGAATAAGAGGTCAGCAGCCTTCTAATAGCTCTTCACTTAGTGAAAGAGAAACAAGGTGTTTAAGTGCAAAAAGAAACAGTTAAAAACTAACCTACCACCCAGAATGATTAGTAACACACTGTCCTGTCCACTTCCCAGGGGCACAGTCCAGACTAGTGCTGGCAAATCAAAGACAAAAGATGCTAATGTAGAAGTTGTTCTTTCCTAAACAAAAATCTCAGTATTCAGGTTTAATTGCACTTAATTGGCATTCTGCCATAAAAAAGTGGGTTTTGGGGTGCAGTCTGAGCTCTCATCTCTCCACAGGTTCTCCAGCACTGCCATGGTCCTTACCTTAATATACTCTACTTTTAAAAGATCTGACCCAGGTTTGTCAGAAGAGCTAATCAAGTTAAGGGGCTTTTTTCTTGATCCTACAGAAAAAAAAAAAAAAAACCATTTTCAAACAAGTTGCTTCTAGAACTTGCTAGACACTTCTTTATAAAAGCTGCTAATTAAGCTTCAAAAGAATACCTGTGCATATTTTCATGGTTATTAAATACTAAAACCATCACTCATGGAGAAATAAGCCACTCCAAGTTCTTGCCTTAGGCATCCAATTTACTTTAAAACATGTATTTATTTTCAGTTGAATTCACATCTGTTCAAAACTAATCAAAGCTTCTTTAGATATTTTTAAGGCCACATGTTCATTAGTAAGGCAGCAGAACAGACTACAGGTGCCAGCATCAAGAAATATCAATTCCAGCTCACCTCTATCCTTCCTGACTTAAACTACAGACATATTTTTCAACAATGTAACGAACAAGTTGGATGGGATTCTGTTGTGTCTAAAATTCTATGAAAGAACTTTATAGAGAGAGAACTTTGTGTAGACTGGGAGAAGAGAATTTCAAGAGAAGCAAACTGCAATGCTTCCTGGAAAGTTTAAACACAAGCAGCCTCCACCCCTGCACTGGGCCAGGGAGCAGCTCGCACGCAGGCCCTGGGAAGGGAGCAGCCGCCCACCGCCCACCTTACCACTGGACTTCTACTCCTGCTTCCCCACCGCACAGGACATCTTTCTCCCGAGTCCTAGTCCTCCATGACAACAAAACAGCCTAGAAAATTTATCATCTACATTTCCCTCTTTGTTTCTGTAAATTCTTTCTTTCTGTACAAAAAAATAGTAACGTAAAATATTTCTTTTCTAAATTGAGGCTGATTTCAGTTACAAATACTCTCAAATTATAAAACCCAGGCCTCTATATTTGACTGAAGCACTAAAGAATTTTAATTATCATACATTTTATTCCTTCATGCCTCAAATATCTGAGGTCACAAGATAAATACTGAGATGAATAAAGTTGTTGAGCTTCTAAGAGAGTGAACTTCGTACTCTCCCATTTTTATTTTTAACTGGAGCTTATGACATGTGACCACTACTGCACAGAAAGCCTGGGACCTGCCAGGCACAGCTGTTGTAATCCCAGCCCTCAGGAAGCAGTGTTGGAGGATCACCATGAGTTTGAGGTCAGCTGGGGCTAAATTAGCAAAATTCAAGACCAGTTGCCTTACATAGTAAGACCCTGTCTCAGAAAGAAAAAACAAAGGGGACCCTCAACATTGTAGGATCAGAGACAAACTCTCCAGTCTTCTAGCCATAAATACATGACATGAAGGAAGCTACTGAATTCTTCTCTGACCCTTTTTGTCTGTCCCTGTGTTTGCTAAGGAGAGTTACACAAAGGCAGAGGTAACAGATCAGAGTAGCTGAGAACAGCAACCCTAGACTGCTAGCCTGCCGGACTGCCAAGATTTCATTCATGGCTCTGCTACTCCTTGTTAGACCAAGGGTAAATTTTATAAGAAATCTATACCTTAGTTACATAAAACTACCAACAGTAACACTATGTTATTATAAGATTTAAATGAATTGTTATTTGTAAAGTGTTTTGAACAATGTTTACTCTTGTTTATAATAGATACTATCATAGAAATAGAAGTGTTTTAGATGCTTAAAAGTGCTACTTTTATCACTTCCATTTTTAGGAATATTACCTTGAATTTCATGGTAATCCAAGCTGATCTTCTTTAAATAAGACACCACAGTTAGGTCGAAAGTTCTCACTGTGGCCTCTGTTCCTAACTGAGTAACATTAAATACTAGAATTGTATCTTCTTCTTTCTGTTGTTTAGTAAATTCCAAAATTACCTAAAAGAATTAGCATAGCCAAGTGAAAAGTTGACAAAAGTTTAAGTCATAGTTCAAATAAAAAACAAAGTCTTTCTCCATACACATCACCATGAATACAGTTAAAACTTTGCTCAGACCCCTTTCCCACCATAAAGTTATTTAATGTTATAAATTATCATTATCAAGAGTATAAATTCCTGTATAAAAGATTATGGTGAAATTTAACATCTTTTGTTGACTTTTTTAAGTTTAGAAAAATTTAGAATTTATGAAGTCTTCCTTAATATTTTCTCAAACTAAAATCACATTTGGTGATAACAGAAGCTATTCAAGTAAAAATTTATGACAAGAAAGTCAGGCAGCGGGCATATGCCTGTAATCCCAGCACTCAGGAGGCTGAGGCAAGAGGATTGCCAATAGCTCAAGGCCAGCCTGCACTACAAAGCAAGACCATGTCTACAAAACAAAAACAAGAGAAAAAGTTATGACGAGAGTGCTTGTTATCATATTACTTAAGTTAATTGTGGAATGGCAGCTGATACATTTAGATAATAAAAAGCAAAGCATGGTATCTTTTAAAAGATATAAACTCCCTCTATTTATTTATTTATTTATTTATTTATTTATTTATTTTCCCCCAAAATTCTTTAATACACTCTCCAAAAGACAGAGGTCTGTGCTGCTTCCTCCTGAACCTGGACAGCCTGTGAATGCCTCAATCAATAGAGTGCAGAGGACTCTGGTAACACAAAGGGCCTGGGAAAGCTGACAATCACCATGGGAACCTGGAGCGTCAAGCCCAGATAGCAGCCAGCCCTCAGCCTCCGCCAGCCTCCGCCAGCCTCCAAGGGAACCAAAGGACCTGCACCCCAAGGCTTCCAGTGACTGAAGCCCCAGGTAACACCTGATCAAAGACAACAGGCAAACCCAGAGTAGTCCAGCTGGGCTTTTTGGTACCCCTAACCCACAATGCATGAGCAAACAAAAATAGCTGTCTTAAGCAGCTAAGCGTGCGGGTAACTTGATAAACAGCAATGGTAGCCAGTAAAATAGAAAAACTATGGAAAAGGCACACTAATATTAGCAGGTGGTATGATTATGTACTTAAGAAAAATCAAGCCAAAAGCAACCAAAAACAGAAGATAACAACAAGATAATACAGTAAGTAAAGTTCAGCACACACTTTATATACAAAATAAGCTTCCTACTCATTATTTAAACAAAAGCAATGAAATCGTAAATACATAAAACATGGGGCCAGGAATATAGCTCAGTGGCACAGGGCCTGCCTTGACAAGCATAAGGTCCTGCGTTCGATTCCTGGGACCCACAAAAGTAAAAGGGGGAAAATATATACATTTTATATATATATATAAATATATATATATATATATATTTATATATATATATATATATATATATACGTAGGTTTTATCTATATCTATCTATATATATATACATACATAGATTTTATATATATATATAAACATGGGTAAGTATTTTGTGAGAATTTTCTAGGCATACACTAAAACTGGGTCATAAAGAAAAAAACTGATAGATTTCACTATAGAAACCTTTTTAAAAAGTTCTACTGGGAAAAGTATTCCAAACAGCATTATTCTTTTTCCTTCAATAGTTCTGTTTTCACCTCAGTTCATTCAATAGTCAATGAAGTATTTATTGCATATCATGTACCATGCATGTATCAGGCTGTCCCAGGAGCTAAAAAGACCAAGGTTAAGCAGGCCAGACATAGTTCTTGCCCTCATGTGCCCGACATGCCAGAGAGAGAAGGAAAAGGAACACTGCTCTCTTGAGGTAGTCAGGTCTTCCCAGTGAGGAGACACATACAAGCGCTTGAAGCACACAAGAACCAAGCCATGCTAGGAAAGTGTCCCCAACCAAAAAATGGCAAGCAGAGAAAGTTCTGGTGCACATATGTGAGAAAAAACACATTTAGTGGACTTGGCGGTGCAAGGACTTCGCTCCCCACCCATTTCCAACATCAACACCGATGTCTGGTGGAGGACGGCACCGCACTCACTGGAGGAATGCAAGAAACGCAACTGCAACAGAGGAAGCAAGCAGAAAACAGTGGCCCAAACAGGCAGGCGGGTGGGTGATCCCTGCAAGGCCTTGCAGGCCACAGGAAAGAACAAGTCATCACTGAGCCAGGGGAGGGCACGAACAGAGCAGCACCAGGACGCGGCCTCCGTGTTAAAAGGGTCGCTTTGGCTGCCTTATGGATAACAGAGCAGCGGTCAGGAAGCTGCTGCAAAGATACAGCCCGGAGATGAAGAGGACAGGACAAAGAGCAGCAGTGGGGGAGAGCAAGTATGTGAGTGCAATAGAAAACAAAGCTGAGAGGTCTGCTGCTACTGGGGGTCAAAGAGGAAGAGGAAGACAGCAGGCTAAAAAGGCTAACGCATCTCACTTCAAACAAATACCAGCAATGCTTGGTCCGCATGCACAAGTCAAATCAGTGACATTTCTCAGATCTGTAGCTGTAAACACCGCACCCCGAGATGAACAATCTGTACTTATCAAAGAAAACATGTATATGAAATTTTAAAGAGATTATGTCCTTGCTAGTGTACATTCCATTTTCATCAAGTAACTATATACCATGACCGTATTTCCAGGTTTCCTTTTACTACATGACTTATTTTTTGGACCATTTTGAGACAGGGTCTCGCTAAGCAGTACAGTCTGGCCTTGAGCTCACTTTGTAGCCCAGGCTGCCCTTGGACTTGCGGGATTCTCTTGCCTCAGGCTCCTGCGTGCTGGGATTACATTTGTGTGCCACCACACTCAGTTTACTAGATGACTTTTAAAGGGCAGAAAAAGCATGCTGGAAATTTAGGATGTTTACATTTTTCCAAACTATAAATATGACAATGAGCAACTATTATTTAACTCACAAATGAAAGTTAAAAAAATAAGCTGAACTTTGTGACACATGCTGGTAATCCCAGCTACAAAGGGGAATCCAAGGTCAGAAACAGCCTGGGCAACTTATCAAGACCTTGTCTCAAAATACAAACAAAAAAGAGCCAGGGAAGTAGCTCTATGATTCCTGGATTAAATCTCCAGTACCACAAAAAAAAAAAAAGTCAGAAACTGTCTGAAAAAACACAAATCCTAATTAAAAGCTCTGAGCTCTTCCAAAATAGATCAAACCACAAGTCATCCCTATTTTAAAAAAAAAGAAAAAAAAGACTTTCATTGTTTTGACATGGTGTGTGGGGGTACATTTTCCTAACCTGATGTGTGGTCTACCATGAAACAGTTTAATGATGACAAGAATACATTCATAGACAAAAAGTACACATACTTCTTTAACTTCAAACTTGAGCAGAAGATTAACGAGGGCCTCGTTCGGAACCTCCGCAGCCTTTCGGGGTTCGGAGCCTGGCGCACCTCTAGGCACCTGGGAGGCACCGTCTTCAGCGTCGAAATACTCATCGTCAGACTCTAGAGTAGAAAGACATCCACTAAACACTGCACAAAGCACTCAAGCCCAAGTCCTCTCAGGCAAAGTTTATGCATTAGATGTAACTCTATATTCACACTCAAAACTGCCCCAGAGCTTTTATCAAGTCCCACGAGGTGACTCAGTTAGGCACGTGATAATCAAAGTTGAAATCAAACAGCACTACAATCTTTCCTTCAGTGACTTCATTTTTGGCTTAGTTCACTCATTGAGTACTCCATGAAATAGTTACTGACCCATCTACCATGTTCCAAGCTGTGTCAGCCACCAAGAACTTAAGAGTGACCAGAACAGACATACTTATTATCTCTGCCAAGCTTATGCTCTAGCTTGAAATCTCAAAAGATCAACTAAGCATGGCTACGGAAAAGGATCACACAGAGATCAGATCATCAAGTAGCTTATTTAGAACCTGAAGTAAAAATTGTTGACCACCAAAAGGGCTTTAGTAAAGAAACCTGACCTTCCAAACGTAAATAACTGAAGGCACACTGTTAGGTAACAGCACGAGAACCAGAACCAGCAGACTGCTGTAATGCACTCCTAACACCTCTACTTTTCTGAAAAAAAAAAAGTTATTGTGATAAAGATAATTTAGAAACACACTTTTACACTCCTTACCTGAATCCATTTCACTCAGCAATAATGAAGTACCAAGGAGAACTTTTGTCCCACTTGAAGCAACAGGAACTGACGATACCTAGCAAAGTACACAGAAACAAAAACAAAATATGAATTTCACAGGATTAAATACACACGAGACTGAAAACTAACAAAGTTCAGAGATGGAAAAACTCATACACGCCATATATAAATCTTCCAACAGAATACATGACATCCAGACACGGGGACACGTGCCTATAATCCTAGCACTCAGGAGGCTGAGGCAAGGAGATTGTTGTGAGTTCGAGGCCAGCCTGAACTATACAGCAGGATACTGTTTTTTAAAAAAATTTTAAATAAAAAAGGAAGGATAAATTCTGTAACTGAATAATAGTTGAAATTTACAAATTAAGATTGTCATCATGTTTAAAAGATAAAATTATGTATAACTCTAGCAGATAAGGTGATTCATTAATGTTTATCATTTAGCTGCTGTGAACATCAGAGGTCCCTAGAAAATGAGTTCAGCATCAGATGATTCTCTCAAAATGTGTTTCTAAATAAGCAGAAATCCAACATTTCTTCTGTGTGTTTGGGGTGGAGAGGAGGGTTTTCACTAGTAGTTCACGCTGGCCTTGATCTCATTATGTAGTCCAAGCTGGCTGTGAACTCAGTGATCCTCCTGCCTCTGCCTCACAAGTGCTGAAATTACAGGTATGTGCCACCATGCCTGGCCCAACATTTCTTTTATGCTATGAAAATTATTTCAATTAAAGTGACTCAGAACTTTAAAGTCCAACACAAAAGGAAATTTTATCCCCATTATTTTATTTGTAACATTTCTAAGATGATTTATATTTCTAATTTTATTTAAAGTATGTTTTCTATTTTATTTTCCTTTCCTGTATTTTTGGTTCTTTCAAGCATAAAGTTTGCCCTAAAACTGCCTTCCGACTGCTACTCTATTACAGCAGTTGTCTGAAAACAGAAGACTGAATATTTGTGTCATACCCATTACCTGTCTCTCTGGAGATTGAGTTGATGATTTCTGTGGCAAAGGTATACTGTTAATCAAACACAGCACATCTTTCATCTTCTGGTCTGAAATCCTCACATGCATCAAAGGAAGTCCTCCTGATGCTTTAAATCTAAAAACACAATTCAGCTGTAAGATTTCAGGATCAGCCAGCCTCTCCATCAGTACTGCAGAGGGGGAAGGAGCTGCAGAGTCGAGTTACTGTAGACAAGTTCTAATCCAATCCCCGGCTTATGCTGACAATACTGTCAGCCAACTGGGATTTAAAGTCAGGTTTCCAGGTAATTTAATTAATTTAAGGATACCTGGTAATTTAATTTCCAGGTATCCTTTTTTAAGCAGCCAAACTTTTAAAGATTTTTACAAAGCCTAAACATACTAAACAAATTCTCTTTTTAAAACCAAAACCGCCATGTATACTTTATTTCCAAATATCCAAGATTTCTCATCATTAGTGGAAAAGAGTATCTATCCTGTCACTATCTCCTTGTCTCTTATTTATTTTAACAGAGCACTTGGGAGCACTTCACAAGTCAAATACGGATACACTAGCTCATCTCACATCCCTGGCTGCAGTGTAAGTTCCCTGAGGCCATCTGTCCATCTGTCCACGCTGTGTCACAGGCCTGCTGTCCTCAGCAACTGGCCCCACAGCTGTTCCCTGCACCCACCCCAGTCTGCCTGTCTCCAACTCACTGTGCAGCCACTGCCGCCATAAAACTCTTTTAAGTTATCCCTGGCTTCCTGGCTGGGCTGTGAATAGCCGGGCTTACAGATGCCTACCTGCAGGTGGGCTTTTAGGGTCAGGATAAAGGCAGCAGTGGTTAGAGGGAAACTCACAGCGCTACATGCCTACATGAGCAACAAGGCTCAAACGAATGACCTCAACTACTACCTCAAGAAAATGTGAATGAAAGGGCAACAAAACTCAAAATACGCAGGAAAAAAGAACAGCAGTAAACATCAGGGTAGAAATGAGGACCAAAAAAAGGCAAAAACAGAAGTCGACTTGAGAAAATATTTGAAATTAAAAAGAAGGTTAAGAAAACTCATAAATCTCTAGCAAAACTTGTAGGAAAAAAAAAAAAGAGAAAGAAAACTCAAGTCACTAATACCAGAATTGAGAGAGATAACATGACTACAGATTATTAATGTATTAAACAAATAAGAAAATACTATAATTTTATGCTAATAAACCAAACAACAAAGATAAATTTCTTAAAATCATGTAAAATATTTGCAACACTCAAAGGATGATTCAAAACAATCTGAATACATGTGAATCTCTATAATAAACTAAATTTATAGTTTAAAACCTAGAAAAAAAAGAAAAACTCCAAGTGCTGACGGCCATTCTAACGTCTTTTTCTAACGTCCCCTTGGCCAACTCCACATGAATACCCATGGGCTGCAAGAAACACGCAGCCGATGGATGGGAAAATAGACACTTCTTCCTCTTTACAAAAAGATTTTAAAATTCTTCCAAACATAGAAAGAAAGAAAGAAAGAGAGAGAGAGAGAAAGAAAGAAAGAAAACTGATTTCTATGTAACATTTCCCACATAGCCAATATTACCCTAATATCAAAACAAAAAAGAAAAGCATGGATCAATATCCTTCATGAACACAGATACAACACTTGTTAACAAAATTTTTGCAAATTATTCCCCATGATATTTTGAATATTACCAAGTAAGGTTTCTCTAGTAAGACAGTTGGTTTAACATCTATCTGGTAAAGAGTATGAAGGAATTGCTGATACATACACCAACGTGAATGAATCACTAATTATGTTCAAAGAGATCAAACAAAAAATTAAAAATCTATGTTTTCATTCATATAAAATTCTAGAAAATTCTAACAAATCCCCAGTGTCAGAAAACAGACCAATGTTGTCCAAGGATTGGTTGAGGGGGAGAGGAATTAGACAGGGAAAGGAAGGGAAGGAGGAAATACCAGAGTTCAAGGAAACTTTTGGAGGTGATGGATGTGTTCATTACTTGCCTGTGAAATTTTCACGGAGATACACACATGTCAAAACTTACCAAATCATACACTTTCAACGACTCAGCCTACTGAATGCCAACCATATGTCAACAAAAATGTTTTTCTAAAGGGCAGTTTAACTGACCAAAATTCAGTTTTAATTTTTATCCTCTTAGATTTTTTAAAGATTTCAGGTAGTTTCATGGTGAAACATGTTTCTGGAGGCTTTACCTCATTAATAATGCACCTTGAAAGAGCTATAATGCACCTGAAAGCCATTTAAAGACACAGATCACCTAATTTTATACTGTCTAAAAGTCTAGATAAAACTTCTCAAAAGGTTACATATAATTCAAATTATCATTTCTTTAAAATGTATTTTAATTTTCTGTCTCCCACAGAAATCTATCCAGTAGCTGATATGGACAGCATTCACTTTGTTGGTTTCTGAAACAAAAGAAACCCACGCATTACCTGGCCATTCTCGTGTCCTTCTCTACCATCGCCTTGGCTAGCTCCACATGAATATCCATGGGCTGCAGTATATGCATAGTGGACGGGTGCTGAAAACGGCACTTCTTCCAGTTTTCCCCTTCAAAAAAGGAGTTTAAATTAATTTTAATGCATTATCGACTATTCTGCAGAAAACTTTTAGTAGAAAATAGTGAAGGGACAGAGTCAATGCTCACTTTTAATTCTTTCATTATACAAGATATTTTTGCTGTACTGGGGATCAAACTGAGGGCTTCACACATGCTAGGCAAGCACTGTACCACGGAACTAGGGTAACCTGTATTTTAAACATAGGCTCACAGAGACTGTGATATAAAGATAATTCTATATACTTTTTGAAAATGTTTATATGACAATGCTTGCATTTCAAAGCAAGCATAGGGGGCTCAGTGGCCTAAGTGCCTGCTTGGCAAACACAAGGTTGTGTACACACACACACACACAAAAAAAAAAAAAAACAAGAAGGGGGGAAAAAAAACAGGAATTACCTCAATTCCAGAGTTAGCAATCAAGATAGGTAGCTATGGTAAAAAGTAGGGGAAAAAAGCACAAAAGGGTGGGGGTAAGGTTGATGGAATTCCTAAGAGCAATAATTACATTTGCTTCACATATGATGGCAGAGAAAAAGTTTTGTAATGCAAGATTTTATGATAAAAACATCGGATAATGGACTGGGGATTTAGCTCAGTGGCATAAGCGCCTTCCTGACATGCACCAAGTTGTGAGTTTGATCCCTAGTAGCAAAAAAAAGTGTGATAATCACTTTTTCAAGAAAAGAAAATCTTAAAGATAGATTTCCCAATGGCTGTCTTGTACATGTCTTCCTGATGGCAATGTGGAGCATGTTTTGTCACTTGTACTTCAACTGTTTGTAAATACATACTCAAAAAGGGAAGTTTAATGGTTTGTGTATTTGCCTTACAGGAACTAACAGGCCCTTAGTGTACAAAAAACTCACTCTTATAGATTGTACACTGTACTCCGTAATTTTGCCTGTACTTTTCTCTGATGATCTATCACAAAGTGATATACAAAGACATTTAATAAATACTTAATGCCTGTAAAACTAGAGAAAGTATAAATACCCGAAGCCTTTACTCATGGGATAGAGAATACACCACATCTGTTTTGTTCAATTTTATTGTAACTGATGATATAGACAATTCTTTTTAAGATAGCAAGAGGCATTAAGGGTAACCATTGTTGATCACCTTGTATTTTGTTTTTACATTATGTATTATGTCCATCCTTTTGATTTGACTGACTCTGTCCTATTATGTCACATTTGGTTTTACTTTTTTCAAAAAAAAGTAATAAGAACAGTGGGAGTAATAAAACCCAAAATGTGTAATTGTCATTGTACAAAAGAGAGGAAAAGAAAGTGCTCTACAGGACATAACTGCATGTATATTTAAGTGTATAAGATAGGTAACCATATTACCGAGTTTTATTGGATCACTGAACAGAACTGTTTGCAGTCTCACTGTTTGAATGTCCACTTTATATGCTTTAATTTTGTAACTTGAACAATTATTTCTAAGATGACAATATGTAATCTATTAACTAGTGATTTCCTACTTTTTTTTCTGAAATTCTGTATAACTTGTACCCTTTTCCTGTTTTTTTCTCTTTAAATAAAATTAAAAAAAAAGATAAGTAACATATATAATAATAAAGGCAACATGGGAAAATGACATCAAAACATTCCAAAAAGCATCAGGACAGAGGAACCTGAACCAATCACAGCTTCCATTTTGGATTCTGAACTGTTTTACATCATATTGCAAAAATACAATTTGTGAATTGACTGGGTTCAAACACCACCCTAAGATGAATTGGCAAATACTGTTTCAGTTTATAACTGACAGTGGTTTGCATAATATGCTTCTATATGGTTTTCTTAAGCACCAATACTTATTTGTGCAAAATCGTTATAAAGGTTTATATATGCACATGAACACATACATGTATCTGACTTAAGCCATTCACACTAATTTCAGTATTCTGAAAGTTGATCAGTGCTATACCTGCTCTTGCAAAGAGTAGTTGCACACTCTTTATTTCAACATCAAACTTGTCATATTCTTTATCCATTATTTCTTCCAAAGATGAACTGGTAGTCTTCTGTAGACCTTGACTTTTACTGTTGAGCTAAAATGAAGAAAAAATTTTTGATTTTTTTTACACAACAGAATGTACACAAATCAACATATTTTAGTTGTGTGTTTTCCCAAAACTTAAATAAATGAGACTGTCCTTAAGGCTCTGCACCTCCCACCACCCTACACCAGGAACAGCAGGGCTTTACTCCTTCTCTCCACTGTTCGGTGATAGCAATTAGCCCATGAGAAATTAGTGTCCAGTTCTACTTCCTTTTCCCCCTTCCTAGCTGAAGCAAAGACTTATTTCTGAAAGTTTTATCTTTCTTCCAGAGGTTGAGATTCCATGAGAGTCAAACACCAAAATCTATGGGTTCTTTTGTTCTACTTAGTTACTGGCAGTGATTAAACAAATATATACATACAGTCTCCTGTAAGCAAAATACATAAGCAACATGCAACACTGCATAATTAATCTCGAGAAACCATGAAAACTAACACTGTTCCTCCCCAATTAGGAAAACACAAAAGCAATCCCATCATCAATGTGAAATCACCTACTACTGATTAATAGTGCTATTTAACCGTTATATAATGCATATACTGTAATGTAGGCAAGCACCAGGGAACTACACTCACACTCATACTAAGTAATCTAGACTAACCTTGACAAATGCTAAGAAAGTCTTAGTTTAGTTTAAGTGAACTCTGAGAAGTTTCACTTTTTATCGTAGAAACCTAACTGTGGCATTATCAGAAAAGAATTCAGATTTGTCCTTAAGTCAAGCACTTTTCAAGTCTCAATAATATGTTTGTTTAAGTCCTGAAGAAAAAAAATGGAAGATGAAATGGTTAGGCTGAAATATGTAATAAAGAAAATATGGAAAGAAGAGCAGGCTATCAGTTAGTGAGCTACTAAGCCTGTCAAAGCAGACAGAAGTGTGCATACACCTACCTGAAATGTACCAAAATCTAAAATGAGAAGATTTGACTTTTCATGGTGGAAGCCTGTCTGTGGAACTATTAGATAAGAAGGCTTCAGATTTATCCTTAAATCAAGAACTTTTCGAGTCTCAATTATATGTGTAAGTCCTGAAGGAAAAGAAAAGGAAACGGTGAGGCTGAAATGTATAATCACACTACTAACCAGACTAACAGATTCACTTGAAAGGCACTGAGGAGGGCAGCAGGCTCTCATAAGTCAGATTCTCAGCTGAGGTGCAACCTGCACACAGTCAGTGAAAGTAACTGTCTCATAGCGGAGCATAGTCAGCTCAGTACGAGTCCAGTGCTAGTGTTCTCTATGGAGAGAGAATGAGCAGGTAACACACTTGGCATGAGTAGAGGCCCCGTCACACAGAAGCGTCCATCCTGAAAACCAGCATCCTGCGCTGTGTGGACTGCAGCTTCCCAGAGCAGATGGAGGGTGCCTCCATCTCAAGCTCCTTCCGGGCAGGGTCCTGGACATAGAGCAGGTGGAGTCATCTGCACTCCCTACCGTTCTCCTTGTCCAGCCTAGAATGGACGTTTCAGCTTGAGTTGCCTTGGTACTTTTGTCTTTTCTTTTTTGCTTTTTAGGTTTTTAAAAAAAATTTTTTTTGGTATTGAGGACTGAACTCAAAGCTTCCCACTTGCTACACAAGCATTGTACCATTTAGCTAAATTACCCCAGTCCCTGTATTTCCACTTGAGTAAGCCGTGTCTGTTGTACAATCCGCACAACTGAAGGAACCTACACTAGTTTAAATACATGGACAGAAGAACACACATTTTTCAAGTGTATGGAGACATGAATTCTTTACCAGTAGCTGTTCTCTCTTTAATTTCTTCCAGCTTCATCAAAGTAGCTGATGTTATTTGCTCAAGATCCAATCCCCTATTTGACTGAAAGAAATCAACCACTGCATTGATGGTTTTCTGTAAAGGAATTTAAAAATACAATCAAGTTATACATATATACCTCTTTCAATATTGTAACTTTTTATGACTTTGCCTCATTCTAAAATAGTAATGGCTTTGAAAGGAGAAATCGAAAGATATTCTGGACTATTTCACCTCCCACTAGAGGAAGAGCAGCCGAGTAAGCTTATAGGGAAGTTGCCAACATCTGCATGTCACCTCAGTGTCAGCTGCATTCCACAGGGGTACAGCGACACAGGCAAGGAACTACAGACATCACTGCTAGCTTTAGCCTCTTGTCGGTCAGTAAAATAGTACTTTTGAAAACTGTGATTGGATTGCATTGTACTCTGAAATTTAGAGAGGAAGTAAGAAGAAAACTATTCAGGCCTTATTTATATACAAAAGTTGATGTTAATTCTAAAAAGAGATTTCTGTAAAATGAAAAAGGTTCTGGAGATTGGCCATAGAACACTATGCCACTTAACACTACTTTAAAACACTTAACGTGGTAAATTTTGTTATGTGTATTTTACAAAAAACATAAAATTTTTAGAAGTTCAGAAGCACAGTGCATTCTGGAGTGTCTGCATCCATCCTCCGTGTATACTGGGAACCCATCTCTAACCTCCACAGTGAAGTACAGGAGGGTGGCAGTGGGTGAGGCAGTATGTGGAGTGAGAGGGAGCTTGGGCTAGCGGAGGGCGAGGCACAGACACAGAGCTGGAGGCAGCACTGTCCGGAACACCTCAGCGTCAGTGCTTGCTCCCATATAGACAGCACTGGGAATTCTCCTCCCACTCCTCGAGCTTAGGTTCCAAACACGGAGAGCAAAAAAGAGCAGGCAAACAGTGTGCACCTAATCGGCAGTAGCTGGCACATGCACAGGCTGCTCTGTAGGTATATTAGGGTTTTTACATCTAACATAAGGAGACATAAATAAATCTTAAATACTTAAGTAAAAGAATGGCAATAGCATATGAGAAATTAAAATCGACTACTATAACACACACTGCTTTGAAACAAGAAAAAGCTTATGAAACTGAAGTTTGCTAATTAAACAGAACAGAAGAGAAATAAGCAAACACTAAATGCAAGGCAGCCGCAGCAAGGAGCCCAGCCTCCCTGCACCTACAGCATCGTAGATGACCTCCACGGGCTGGGACTGGACGGTCAGCGTCTGGTCAGCAAGGCTGTTCTCTGGATTGGTTTCAAACTCAATTTTAAGCAAGGATGATGCAGTGTCGCCAATGGAAGCCACAAGGGATGGCACAGTATCCTGCTGTCTCGGACCTGTGATATACCAGTGTTCTAACTTTGCTTCTACCCTGCAGTCCAAGGAGAATGAGAAAGTCATAAGAGCCTTTGTAATTTAATAGGCTGAAATACAACTTTTTCTTAAAACAGTCTTCCAAGAATCAGGCCCAGTCTATTACCCAGAAGTGAAATTTAGCTTCCTTAGCCTGCCGTCCATTCACTTTCGTCATCTGTTTGCAATGCTGCTATCACTTTGTGACTGTTTTTATTACCTCATTATCTGCTGGAAAAGCTCACTTTCACCAACCCCAGGGGACTGCAGCGGTTCTGACCACTTTTTGGTGAATAAAAATTCATGCAAAATGGGAGAAGTTATCTGCCTGCTCCTATGCCAGCCTCACCAGCCTTCATCTCTCCCCTGCTTCTTCTCGTGCTCTTTCCCATCAGCCAGCCTAAGCCTTCATGGGTTCAGTTAGGCTCTTGCCCAGATGAACTTGTGCAGCAGTAACAGAAGGTACTAATGTACACCATCACCTCACTCTGACCACCTAACATGTTACACAGCTCCTGAATTACTAGCTTTATGTATGTCGTACCAGCTACAGCTTACACTTCCTGAAAACGAAGGCTCACGGTGCCTACACACAGCTTTCGGAGCCTGAAGCACATGGCATCAAATGTTTGTGAAGAAAAGGAAGGAGAGTACAATAATGATGAACTCTATGTAGTTCCATAATAACTGAAACACAAAATGACTATCTTGGCACACACAAAAAAATTTTAAAAAGAGGTGTTACTGGCCAGGGATTTAGCTCAGCGGCATAAGTGCCTGCCTGGCAAGCATGAGGTCATGAGTTTGATCCCTGGTACCACAAAAAATAAAAAAACCTTTAAAAAAAAGAGTGTTACTGATCTTTTCCATGCTGCATAGCATTTCATATATTCTGGTCTACAATCATTATTAGAGTTAAAAACTGAAATAAGTTTTTAAAAACTTACTTAAGGGCTTGTGCTCCCGGTCGCTGGCATACTTGGGTGCCCAGGCCAATGATCTGGATTTTTAGGATTTCAGGAATATTTTTGTTTTCTCTGATTACAATAGAAGTGCTTACCAACTTCAAGGTCATTATATAGGCAACATACTGAAGAAAAAAATTGAGTGAAAATTGTTACAGTTTACATAATCTTTAGCAGTTTCTTTTCAAATAAATATGATGAATTATAACGTAACCTAGCAACATGGAGGTTTTGGCAATCACATAATTACCACAAATGAAGAACAGCAGAATATTTGATAAAATTTCCTCTCTAATACACATTTATAAAGATCCAAAGTTCATTTCTCTTAAGTTTTAAAGGTAGTATAACAATGACGTACAATAAGACTTCTTGTAGATGAGCAAAAAACAAACAAACAAACAAACAAATCATAATAAGAAACACCCACCTGATGGCTGCAGGAAGTTAGCAACACACTAAAAGGAGACTCCTGACCTGATGCTTGTCAAGTCATGACTAGACCTAGACACAGGACAGCCAGCCAACCGGAAGATAACTCTGGAATCTGACATTGTAACTCAGCCAGAGTGCTTGAAAACTGAATGAGGGAGCCAAGGAGCTGTGAAGCTGGCCAGCAAGATCCAAACTGGAAACGAGGTCCCCACAAAGGGCAATAGCACCGATGAGACTCCCCAACTTTGGCTAGGACCCTGATGGGCCACAGTGCAGGGTCAAAGGCAAGCATCTAAGTAGGCAGACTCCCAGGATCCACGGCACAGCATCAAATCACATCAAGCCCCCCAAAAGACCGAGGTGATCCCACGTAATGGTGCTACAGACACCAGGAAGAAACACAACGTCTCCCTGAAACAAGAATCTACCTTACTGGATACTATTTCCCTATGTCTCTAAAACATAAAAGTATATATCATTTGCAAAATCAATATCTAATATATTAGGCACATGTACAGATATGCTCATCGAATCCAGAATATGTCCAAACAAACCCAACAAAAACCACAAAGAATAGATACTCACAGGGACTCTAGACATCACATTTTACACTCCCAGGAAGTGTAAGCTTAGAGGTACACTGTGGTGCTCACTATACTCAAGGAGCTAAAAGACAAAACTGAGCATGTTAGTAAAGAATTTCAAAGCTATTCTTTAAAAAAAAAAAGTGTACAGAACCAAACAGAAACTCAAGAACTAAACGATACAAAAAATAAGGAATTTAATGAATAAACAATCAGCTCATGGGAGAATAAGAGGAAACAATTTAAATTAAGAACTTGGATATACAGAATAAAGAAGAGACAGACACATGAGATATAAAATCTAAAGATATTAGAAATTTTAAAAAGAGAAAGGAAAGAGAATGAAGAAAGAAAAATAAAAGCTTTAGTGATTTCCCATAAGACCTCAAGATAGCTTAATGAATTCAAACAATCTATAATTCTATATGCAGAAAAAAGAATCCTTCAAGAAAAAAGGGAAAATAGATACATTTTTAGAAAACTAATTACCAACAGACCAGTATTAAAAGGAATAATGTATAGGACTAGAGATGTAGCTCAGCTGCACAGCACCTGTCTGGTAAGTGCAAGGTCCTGAGTTTGATTCCCAGTACAAAAAAAAAAAAAAAAAGAATATACAGAAATGGGCACTCTTTGGGCAGAAAGTAATAGTACATGCATGGCCAAACAGAAAGGAACTAAATAACCGAAACATCCAGTTTGGTGACATTACCACTCTCCCTAAAGTAACCCATACATTCAGTTCAATCTCTAACAAATCGTCAGCATGTACTTCTGGAAACACTGATGATTCTGAATAGCATGTGGAAGCATGAATGATATAGAGTAGCCAAGATTCCCTTATCCAAAGATCAAGCCAGTCATGGTGGCACAAGCTTGCAATCTCAACACTCAGGAGGCTAGGAAGATGAAGATAACAAGCTCAAGGCCAATGTGGTCTACACAGGGAGCTCTTGTTTTAAAATAATCAGAGCTTAACACCACTAAAATTTAAAAGATTGATGCCAAGTGTTGGTGAAGATGCAGAATCCTCATATCTGCAAATGGAAACGTTTTCCATCTTGCAAAACTATTTCAGAGACTACACTATTACATACACTCGTATCCTATGACCCAGCAGTTTTATTCCTAAGTAGATAATACACAGGAAATCTTAAGATATACACACTACAAAGATACCTACAAGAAATCCATGGCAGCATTACTCATAATAACCGAACAAACGGAACAACCCAAATGTTCATCAACAGAAGCACAAATGAATAACTTTTGGTATTTTTTGTAAGTGTTGGAATCCTATGGAGTGACAAAAATGAGCAAAATATATGCAGTACAACAGGATGGGCCTCACAGCAAACACAAACATGTACTTTATAATTCCATTTAGAGAAAGACAAAAATGTACAAAATAAAATCAGTGCTTATAGTAAAACAAAAATCAAACGAATTGTTAACACAAAAAGCTGGTTATTAACTGCCTCTGAAAAGCAAGAACAGGAATATACACAGGGGTTCTATATCAGTGGCAAGACTAATCTGGACCCTAACAGTAATTATACACTTGTGTCCTTTCTGATCAACCAAGTGAGCAGGACATTTCAGTTTCTTTCACTCTTACATGAGTTATGTTTCACAGCAAAAAAACTTTTAAAGATTCAATTTAAACTATAAGAAGCACTTTTTAATCAGATTATCCTTACACTCACTAATATCTAACATTGAAGGGAAAATTTTAATTGGTAAGGTCTGACTGGAAGCATTTAACAACTGAAGAGTAAAGTAGAAACTAACAATAACATATTTCCAGCAGTTAAAAGTTGGAACTTATGTAATCCAATTACAGACCACGCAGCAGGAAGGATGGAAACACCTCTCCAGTGCAGTGTAATTACCTTCTTGGGCAAAGTCAAGTTATGCATGCTCCCGCTGTAACCAATAGCAGTGAATAGTTTGTCCTTCTCCTCAGGGGTTATAAGATCATCAATAGCTACAAGGAAAACAGTAATTCAAGAAATTAATTTCTTCAGCTTTACAAATAAAACCAACAAGTCAAAACAAATGTCCCAAAATCAACAGAGGCAAACGATAAAACAAATCAGCCAAGTAATTTCCTCTAATACTCCACTATGACAAAAATAAGCACCTGTCTATGTTCACCATTTCAGTAAAGACAAAGAGATGGTACAAAAGAAATTTTGTTTGCAAAGGGTTTTAAAAGAGGGTCTTAGAAAATTTTAAAACTGAAGTGAAACTTATTATTAAATATTCATGGAAAAGATAAGTGCTAAGTGCTGAAACCCCTAAATCTGAACATTTTAAATTTCATATAATTCTTCTCAAGAAAAAGTTTTACTTGAGATAAATTTACTAGGATACTGAGCTGATTTTTTTTCAAAATAAAAGTTTTTTGAAATGAAGTTCAACTGGAAGACTAAGGTATAATTTACCTAATTTTTTCTCATGAATATACAATAAACTGGCAGACTAGGAACTTACTTTCAGGAATCAATGATTCTTCACCTTTTTTCTTAAGACTCCTTCTTACCCCAAAACCCACTAAACCAGCCTCCCCATTTCTCCCCTGTGTCAGTGGATTTCTTCCTTAGTTTCTGCCCAGATCGAATCACCTAAAAAATTAAAATTAAAAAATTAACTGAAAAATAAATGCTTTCTTCATTTTCATGCTCAATACAATGTCAGACTAAAACAGGCACAAAAGCCAGGTCCTTCTTAAATGATTCTCACAATACCATTTGGTAAACAGCACCCTTGTATCTATGGAAAGCATCTTGATGAGACTAAATAGGACCAGCAATACAACTGGTTTCAGGTAAGACTGGTCTGAGGGTTATAATCCAGAAATCTTTCAGTTCAGGGCACTAGAATTGCAGGTTAGTAAAGCAAAGGCTTCCGCTAAAGAAAGATGTTCTCAATACCCAAAACGTATCAGTTCAAAGCAATTGTATTTCAGAATTCACATCCACTGCTGCTTTGCTAACTATGGTATGGCAGGAGAGGAGGGCTACAGATGGCACCCGAATCACACATCAGACTCTCTCCGCAACAAATTTCTCATCTGTTTCTATTACTCCCTCTCTTTGCCCACTTACCAGATAAACCAAAAAACAAAACACAGAGGCAAAGAAAATTTTCAGTTAGAACATAAAATATTCTAAGCTGATAGTGAACAATTCTATAGTAGAGAGAACAGGCTTGGTTAGTAAATTATAAAGATTAAAAGCATGAGAAAATGTTAGACATTTATCATATGCCAAGGAGGAGTGAAACACTAAAATCTTGTTTGAATTTGCAAGTCACAAGGGAATGACAGACAGTTACTGCAGATATCACAGCTCACTGGTACTCAATCCTTTCTGTGCATGTGCATCATCAAGAAGTTTAAGAAAAACATCAAGGCCCAAGCCCACCCCAATTAAATCCATCTTAAGGGTGTGGGGTGTTGCCCTCCCTCAGTGCAGCCACTCCAGGGGCTCATCAGCCCCATAAGTGATGCTGGGAATCCGTGGGGAAGCAGAGCAGCGCATGGGGAAGGAGCAGAACATGGCCCCCTGGGGTGAGGGTTTAAGGACAGACGAGACCCATCACCCTAAGTCGCCAGGGTGTCTGAGTTCCGTTGCTTCAGCATGGACACACTGCATCTATACCTCCATCTGTGATGCTGCTTGTTAGCAAGGCTGGTTTGTGGCTGGGCGTTGGTGGCGCACACCTATGATCCCAGTACCCTGAGAGGCTGAGGCAGGAGGATTGCAAGTTTGAGCCAGTCTAGGGAATTGAGCAATTTAGTAAGACCTTGTCTCAAAATATAGAAAGAGCTGGAATATAGCTCTGTGCAAAGGTCCTGGGTTCAATCTCATAAACCACACAACAAAACAGTACAGAACAAAACAAAATAGAACAAGGCTTGTGATTATTTTTTTTCAGGGTCAGACAAGACAACTTGCTGTGTTAAAAAGGGAGCAGGAGCCAGGAATGGTGGCAGACACTTGTAATCCCAGCACTCAGGAGGCTGAGGCAGGAGGATCCTTGCAAGTTTGTGACCAACTGGGGTACAAAGTGAGCCAAGGCCAATTTGAACACATAGTGACACACTGTCTCAAAAAGAAAAAAAAATAAGTAATAAAAAGGATGATTCAGAATTCTTTAAAATTCCCGGGGACGATAATTCTAAATACACAAGTTTATACTACCTGGTGTCTATGCTGATACAATAATAAAAGTGGGAATTTGTGAAGGCTGCTTCATGTGTAACTCTGAATAATGGTTGCCTAATAAATAACCCCCAAATTGGAGAGCTAAAAACATGCATTTATGGGGGCTGGGGATTTAGCTCAGTGGCATAAGCGCCTACCTTGCAAGCAGGCAGTCATGAGTTTGATCCCTGGTACTGAGAAAAAGGAAAAAGAAAAAAAAAACCATGAATTTATGCCAAGTATGGTGATAAATTCTGGTAACCCCAGCATTCTGGGAGGCTGAGGCAGGAGGAGCTCAAATTGGAGCCCAACCAGGGCAACTTAGCAATTTAGTGAGACCCTGTCTTGAAACAAAAAAATAAAAAACGGCTGAGGGTATGGCTTGGTGTGAAGGCCCTGGGTTCAGTCCCCAGTACTGTAAAAAACCAAGCAAACAAACAAAACCACCACACTTGGTTGGGCAGTCAGGAGCAGTGTGGTAAGTTCCCTCTTCACCTGCAGGTTCTGAGACATGAGGACGTCAAAGTGACCAAGTGGAAGCCAGAGCTGCCGTTCCATGCTGTGCCTCCAGGTACATGCGGCCCTCCCTTGAAGCCGGACTGCTACGCTAGGAGAACACAAAGCACAAGGATGGAGGTGGCAACTCGGTATGGGTGACTGGTGTCGCAGCCTGTCTTCTACCTCCGCCCCTCGCCTGACTCCAGGACCTGCGGATCGTGGCTAGGAGAGCAGTGGTGCCACAGCCAGACAGTGATCCACAGCCTGTGGTCACCTTTGGGAAACCCACTGTGCCACAAGTTACGTATTTAGTCAACTAACTTGGAGGCCACATCCGCCTTGGGAGGAAATGGAACGGCAAGGTGTACCAAGGCCTGAGCATGCACACAGCAGTGCCGCACTTCTCAGTAAGTAAGACCTAAGAGGAAGCAAGTCAGCCTGGAAATCTGGAGCCAGGACTTCTGGTCCCATCAGCCCATCCTCACCTGCCTGACAGAGTAGCCACCAAACTGGGGACAGAATCAAGCTCACAGCATGACCCTGGCCACCACCGTGGTATAGACCAGTGCTTATTTTCCCATTAGGTCTTATATTTGGGGAAACACAGTGTTAACAGTTTCCACAAGGAATCCCGGACACCTTCATCAGGTCCCTTTATTTTCTATCTGCCTATCAAAACCTACTGAGTACTCCAATGTGTGGAGGCCTGGGGTAGCGCTAAGGAGATGGGTAGAAATAAGACGCGCTTTGCTTTCCCTGTGAGCTATTCACTTGGGATAAAATGTAAACATATCATGTTAATGCAAAGCGAAAATGTAATGATAGCAGTGCAGTCAGAGTAGCATGGTGATTCTATATGCTCAGCTGAGCCAGGCTGGAAGCAAAAGGAAGACTTCTGTGGGAGGTGATATCTAAAACATGTTTTTCATAGCACTAGGGATTGAAGCGAAGGCACTCACACTGAGCCACAGCCCTGGCCCTTTATTATTGTGAGGCAGAAGATTGATAAATAGGGGCTGGGGATTTAGCTCAGCGGTATAAGCACCTGCCTTGGAAGCAGGCAGTCGTGAGTTTGATCCCTGGTACTGATAAAAAAATGAAAAAGACAAAAAAAAAAAAAAAGAATAATAAATGGTCTGTTCAAGTCCAACCTGGGCAACTCAGCAAGGTTCTGTCTCAAACAATTTTTTAAAAATAGCTGAATACATAGCTCAGTGCTAAGTCCTTGAGTTCAACCCTCAGGACTGGAAAAATTATTGTGTAATGATAGGAGGGAAAGGCAAACTTTGTCAAGAGCTTTCAGTGCTTGTTCTTAGACTTCATTCTGTAAGAACTCTCAGAAGCCGGAGGCTCTAGGCAGAGGGATGCAGGCCCAGAGCTCCCCAGTGTGGTTGCTCCTCCCTCAGAGCTTCCCCTCCCTCATTCCAGTGCCAGTCCTGAGCTTGAAGGCCTTCTGCAAAGCTTAATGCACAGCCTCCATCCAGATTCAAGGGGAAGGGACAGACTGTACCTGCTTCCCCACCACAAGGGAGGGGGAGTCCTGTATATCAGTTGGTTTTTAGCTGCCAACGCACAGTCCCTGACAGCTGCAATTTAAAAGAGAAGAGATGCACACTGCCCCATAGTTTCAGATGGTCCAGTCCATGGCCAGCCGCTCTAAGGCAGGAACATCATGGTGGAAGGACCTGGTGGAGACAGGCTGCTCATCTCATGGTGGCCAGGACAGTAAGAGCACGGAGCAGCTAGGGACAGGAATGCACCCTTCCAGGTCACACCCAGTGACCACCTCCCACCAGGCCCCGCTTCCTATAGCACAGTCAGCCCTGAACTCCTCCGTGATGGATCCACTGATGCACACAGCACCCTGTGAACCATCATATTCTAAACGCAAGAGATTTGGGGGGGACATCTTTGTTTTCCCTTAATCTACCACTTCCAGTGCAACCCACAGCAAGAATAAAGACACCAAGACATATTTACAGTTCTGGGGAGCCAAGGGGTCCTAAGTCCAGCCAAGATAGTGATTCACCCTAACAAAGGCCTCGATTCAGGGGTTACCCCAGATTTCATTAACTCATGAAGAGGGGAGTGATTTGAGGATGACTGTCAGAAAGGCGGGAGAAACATGAATGCAGTTAGCAGGACTAGGTAGAAGGCCTGAGATCACCTCTGCAACATGCAGGGAAAAGGATATGCAGGAAGACCAATCTGCATAACACAGGTGGGGTAGCATCTGGGGGAGGTGCTTCAGCTCTGATGCACAATCCTTTTTGCCCTGGGAAGTCATAGCCTCTTATCTCTAGGCTCAAACCCAGCCCTGGAGTGGTGGCTTTTCATCCCACCCAGCTCAATCATGATTTTTGGGCATCACAGGGTAGGGAAACAGTGACTGTCACCTAGCTTCAAAGATTATACATCAGCACCTCAGCCAGCCCTATTTACATGGCATAGAGCCAATTGAAGGGAAAAGGAAATGGCTTAGCCAGCTCTGTATCCATCTTACACGGAGACAGGGCAGGTGTAGCGAAAGTGGAGATAAAAGGAGAGTCTTCCAGATGGTCCTCCACAAAAGCACATTATTAGTCTTCAGCTTCATGCGATCCTCGCGCTTGCTCCATATTTTACCTGTAGCTTTTTATTAGTGGAAACTCAATGATAAACTGGAGAACTTTGCCATCATTTTACTTCAAAAGTAGAAAAAAAAAATCATGCAACTCAGCATGATTCTGTCTTGAAATGAATAATTAAGTAAATAAATAGGCCTGGGATTTAGCTCAACGGCATAAGCGCCTGCCTGGCAAGTGCAAGGTCGTGAATTCAATCCAAAAAAAAAAAAAAAAAAAAGCAAATAAATAGGGCTGGGGGTGTTGTTTTGGTGTAAAGACTCTGGGTTTAATCCCCAATTCAGAGAGAGAGAGAGAAAAGGAGAGAGAGAAAGGGAGAGATTACTCATAAATGATGACCAAACAATATCGGAAGTTGTAACGATGAAGAATTTTTTGTGATTTAAAACAAATGAACAGGGGCTGGGGATTTAGCTCATCGGCATAAGCGCCTTCCTTGCAAGCAGGCAGTCGTGAGTTTGATCCTTGGTACCAATAAAAAGGAAAAAGACAAAAAAAACAAAAAACAACAAATGAACAGGGAAAATTACACTGTAAATTTCTAAAATTACTCTTTATAAGATGAAGCAAAGTTGGAGCAGATCATGTGTGTGTGATATAAATGCAGATCTCTATTGAGTGTTGATGATTATATTACTATTTTATTTCAGTGGGAGAATTTTCTCTTTATCCTGCTTTATATTTGATTATTCTCTTTCCCTGCCTCAAAGGGGTAGTTTTCTTTATTTTCCTTATTTCATTCAATTTTTAGAAGCTATATTTCATTCTCTTTCTTCCTATTCTTTCTCCTCTTTTAGGTTTTGTGAGACATGGTCTCACTGTTTTATTCATGCCTTAAACTCTGTGAAACTCTTATGTAAATCATGCTGGCCTTTAAATCATGGCAATCCTTCCGCCTCAGTCTCCCTAGTACTGGGGTTACGAGCATGTGTCACTATGTCCAGCTTTTTTCTTTTTTAAATGAATATGTAATATTAACACACTGTTGTGTAACAGAATATGAACTTCTTTAATGTCCCAATCCTCTTTCCAAGTCAAAAAAAGATGGTCACACTGTTTGTGGACTTAACCCTCCCATATCCTTGTTTTGCTTTGTCATACTGGAGATTTACCTTTCCCAGTATCTTATTTTAAATTTTTAATAGAAAGCACTCATGCACGGACACTGAGATCCAGTCATTAATATTTTTGGATCCTTTGTCATATCTTTGTTTGTTTATTTGTCAACTCTTTCAAGGCTGTTTCAATTATATTTTAGATCATTTACCTTCGCTTTTTAAAACAAACTATTTTCATTTACAAATCAATAATTGAGAATTTACCAGTTCATATCTCTTTTTTCCAATACTGTAGTGAGGACTGAATCCAGGGCTACATCTTCAGCCCTTTTCTATTTTTATTGTCATTTTTTGAGACATGGTCTGGGCTAAGTTGCTAAATTCACTTGGCTGCCTTGGAATTTATGAACCTCCTGCCTGAGCCTCCTAGGCTGCTGAGATTAAAGGCATGTGCCACCAGCCCCATTGCAGCTCTCTGTGTGCTTTTACTGATTTATTTGCTCACCTTTTGCACTGGCTGCTGATGTTTATATTTGTGATTGCATGTGCCTGGGTAAGTCCTCCCTGTTTGCTGTCACCTGGAATGTATGAGTGGGGACAGCAGAGGCAAAGCTCCTAAGCTCCATGTGACTAGGTAGCAAAGCAGAACCAGTGAGCTTTAAGGAAAGACTGGGATTTCTTCTCCCCTAAAACTGTGCCCAACTTTATATATCTACTTTGGTTGCCAAGAAATATTACAGAGTCTTACAGTATTTATGAAAGAATTGGCTGGGATTCTCCAGGGTTTTTAAAGCAAATAGTAGTTTCTGAATTGCTCTCAATATTACGATTAAAATATATACTGTTCACAAAGACCTTGGGCATTACTATCCAATCAAGTGCAAATTATGCCACTTCAAGCATGTGACATTTAAATGCCTCAGTCCAATTTTATCATGCAAATATCATGCAGATTTAAAATGGAAGCAACTCTGCCTGACTGCACTAATCTCTTTGGTGTGGATAAGCAGAAGCACAAAGGGTTAAATGCATGGCTGTGGAGGGCTTTTGGCTTGGTGGGTCTGAGAGCTGATAGAAGCCAAAAGGCTGAGCTCATCTAAAAGGAATCAGCGGCTGAAAGCTCTGGGAGCAGCATCACTGTCTCTGGAGGAAAGTGACTGGGCCTTGTGTTAAGTAGTCACCTCTGATTCTGAGGTAGGAGTGTTGATGGCTATTGGCAAAGCTAAGGAGAATCTCATCTAAGTCCAGTGGAAGCATCCTTAGTGTTTGTAAGGAGGAGAGGAAAAGGGAGATGTTTCTCAGTGTTTCTTCTCATCAAAGGCTTATCAAACATGAATTACGACCCCTTAAAAGAACAACACAATCATGGTGTCAAACTGCCCACTCATTTTTTGCAGGCTAATTTCCTCCTTTCTTTCTTCTTTTTCTTTCTAGTGCTGAGGATTGAACTCAGGGATTCACATTGTGCCCAGTCTTTTTTATTTTTTATTCGAGATAGGCTCTTGCTAGGTCGGTAAGTTGCCCAAGTTGGGCTTGAATTTGCGATCCTCCGGACTCAGCCTCTGAGAGGGTTGGGAATACAGACCAGAGACACTATTCCCTGGCTTCTGCTTTCTTTGGTAACAGCCACCTCCTCCTTGAAATGCTCTCCCCAGACCTACACTGGAGTCAAACCCCCCTGTGGGTTCAGGCCCAGTGTTGCCTTTTCCAGGAAGTCCAGTGAATGTCAGGCTCTCACTGTCTTTTCTCTGCCCTAATCATTATTATTATTATTAAGCTCTGTGAGGCAAGGAATACAACTCAGCAAGGGGACTTCTACCATTTCCGGTGTTTTTTTTTTTTTTTTTTTTTTTTTTTACCAGGGATTGAACTCATGCTTGCCAGGCAGGTACTTATGCCACTGAGCTAAATCCTTGGTTTTACCATTTCAGTTTTAAAGAAAGGGCTGAGCCAGATGAGGTGCTGCAGGCGTGTGACGCCAGCCAGGCGTGCAGCTGAGGCAGGAGGATTGCAAGCTGAAGCCCAGTAGACAACTTAGAGGGATCCGGTCTTTAAAAAAAAAAAAAAAAAAAAAAAAAAAAAAAAAAGGTTGGGAATGCTCCTCAATGCGAAGATTCTGGGTGATTCAACCCCCAGTAAAACACACACACACACCGCACACACAACTGACTTGGATAAGAAGGTCTTGCTGACTTGAAGCGTATCCTCCATATATAATTAACAAGGCGTGCACCAGGACAAGGGTCAGCGGTCGTGATCATCCCTTTCCTTCCGGGTCTGCTCGCTAACTCCTTCTCACGACCACAAAACACTAGCGGCCGCGTCCGGGGAAGCGTGTCCCGCACAGGCTGCCGTAGCGAGGCTCTTCAGCTGCGTCCGGGGAACATGGCGGCCCCCGAGTATGGGCCTGTTTCGGGTCCCAGCAGCGACGAGGGCGAGGAGGAGACGATTCTCTATGACTTGTTGGTCAACACCGAGTGGCCTCCAGAGACAGAAGTGCAGGTGAAGCAGGCCCTAACGGTGGCGACCCGGTGGGCGCAGGCACTCAGTGAGCTGAGCCCTTGCGGGAGCCACGTAGCCAACCTGGGGGCGGCTCGGGCGGTCGCCCTGGCAACGGCGCGGGCGGGGGTCGGACCGCGAGAGGCCTCTGCTGATCGGGACTCGGGTGTGGGGGCCACGCAGCCCCACTCGTGCCTCCTCGGGGGTCTTCGTCCTCCCGAAACCTGGACTCCCTTCCCTGTGCAGGCTGCCCCGGTTGCCCCCGGAGACTGTTCCGGGACTGCAGTACTCCCAGCACTTGCCCGGCCGCCGCGGACCCCCTGCTAGGGGCCGTACAAATACCTTGTGTATTTCAATAAATAAGCATTCCGTGCAGGGCGTGGTGGCGTATGCCTGTCTTCCCAGCACTGGGGAGACTGAGGCAGAAAGATCGCTGCGAGTTCAAGGCCTGCCTTGGCTACATAGTTGGGGGCCAGGTTGAGCTATATAGTGAGACCTTGTGTCAAAAACAGAGGATTGAGGGGCTGGGGATTTAGCTCAGCGGCATAAGCGCCTGCCTTGTAAGCAGGCAGTCGTGAGTTGGATCCCTGGTACCGATAAAAAGGAAAAAGACAAAACAAAAACAAAAAACAGAAGAGTGACAGAGAAGCATTTAGTGATTGCGTGTGCGCGTTCATGTGTCCAGCCATCCATGTGTTCATTTCTGCATGTATCCACGTGTCCATCTGGTGGTGTCCATATGTCCATCCAGCCATGAATCCATCTGACCATCTGTCTTATATCTGTGTGTCCCAGATGCTCGACGAAGTACCGAGGATATGGAGATAACTGAGCTGCTCTGGTTCCTCCAGTCTAGAGGGGAGAACCTGCAGTAAAGTTTCCACCTAATCTAGCATAATCTTATGCTCACAGTGCTGGAGGAGCAAAGGGAAAGGATCTTCTAACTGGTACTGGGAGCTCAGTAGGGGAGAAGTTATGGTGTTAAAGCCCAGCTGTCTCCTAGGCAGAGACTTTAGGTATAGGGTGAAGAGTATCAGTCAGACTTGTGTATATTCATCAGGCCTGAACATGGAAGTATTTAATATACCAATTTTGTAGTGGGGTTTCGTTAGTAGCATTGTTTGTGTGGATATAGGATACTCAATGGACATGTGTCAAGACGTGGGTTAATGAGCCCTTGTAACTGGTCCTCCTGTGAGTAAAGCTTCTTAGGGGTCTCTGCCACTTTCCTGCATAGACCTTGATGAGTGGGCTGGGGATTTAGGTCAGCTGCATAAGCGCCTGCCTTGCAAGTGCGTGGTCATGACTTCGATCCCCGGTACTGATAAAAAAAATAAAAAGAAATACTTTAATGAGCTGCAGCCAGCCTGGGCTTTGCCTGGGCTTTGCCTGGGCTTTTACAGCCTTTCACTTGGTGTTTTGGTGTAGAAACGGTTCTAGTGTGGTCTTGTGAGCTTTGTCCTGATGTGGGCCATGCTCAGTCTTGGTACTGAGTCCTCATTAAACTCGTTTCTATTTTGACCTATGAGTGGAACCTTTTACTCAATTCTCTTGAGTATTAGCAAGTGTTCCTTAGGGTTATAAAATGATCAAATGTGTGTTTTTTAATTGTAGCCTCGCGGTAACCGTAAACATGGTGCATCAGTTATCACAAAAGCAATCAGAGGTAAATCTATTTTTTGTTTTGTAAATGATATAGTTACCTGTTTCTTTATATTTCATTCGTAACTGTGTTGTTTTAGAACGTTTAGGGATTTTGAAATGTGTTCTTTGGACTTCTCAAGTGGAGCATAACAAAACAAAGTAGTGTAGGTGTTGTCTCAGTTTAATTTTGTATACACGTATATAAGCAGATGCATGTATGCATGCCTGTGGATTTTCATGCACACATATGTTTAAAGCAGGTTAGAGCCAGAGTACAGGAGTTTACCATTATGGGTGTTAGAAGAGCTAACATACTCAATTTTCATTATCACAAATGCTTTGAAGGTTTGAACGTTTAGACGATACACACAAATAATAAAAATTCATTACAGAAAATATAGAAAATAACTGAGTTTGAATTTTTTTTTCATTTTACAACCTAAAGACAATCTATTGTGCTTGAGACTCAGTGTGTAGACACACATGTATTCTAAACCAAATCATAAGAAGCACCATTACTATTATCTTGTGTTTCTTAAGATGGAAACTAGGCTTGCTAGGCAAATGCTCTGCTGCTGAGATATTTTAGGTATTGCTATTATTTTTTATGTCTTTGCAATAAAGCGTAAATTGGTATTTTGGTTTAATTTTTATACAAATAATTTAGCTCTAAGAGTAATTACTGTGGTTTTTCACCCATGGCTTCATGATAGCTTTTTGGATTAAATTTGACATCTCTAACCATTGTTACATTTTTGTAGTTAGGAAATACTTCAGAGTTCTAACACATAAGCTTAGAGATGATGTAAACAAATATGTGACCTCGTAACCATTCGAGTGTATACATTAGATTATTCTGATTTTAGGAGTTGCCTTCTCAATGTTTGGTTTCATAATGACTCAGCCTGTAGTGTATTTAAATTTTTCCTCTGTGTAACTAATTTGAAAATGATTCTTAAAGGACAAATGATTTATATTTGGTTTTATTTTTCTTTTTATTACAGATTATTTATTATTTTTGCGCCAATACCTCTGGTACAGGTGAGACAGTGGTTTTTCATAGACGCTGAAAATCAGACACAGATGTTATTTATAATTTATAATTACGTTCTCGTGAATGAACCCCAGGTTGTGATGGGTTTCTCAAGTGGAGCGTAATGATACTCATCTGAGCCCATTTCTAAGTAGAGATTTTTTTTGTCTTTTTCTTTTTTACTGGTAGCAGGGATTGAACTCACGACCACACACTTGCAAGACAGTACTTATGCCGCTGAGCTAAATCCCCAGCCCCCTAAGTAGAGATTTTAAATGTTTTGACGTGAGCTGAGGTCTTCTCCATGGATTGGTAGCTTCTGCCTCCTTCCTCCTGGTTAGAAATGTTACATGATGACCCTGCTGCTCTGGATAAGTGGGGACCTCATCTTGGGCCCATGTAGCAGGCCGGTGATGTCCCTGGCTTTTCAGAAGCATTTTTGTCTTTACGTTTCCATCAGCTCTTTGCTGCTTAGTGTTCAGTGGCCATGCAGTGGTGAGGTTTCTTTGGGTTTCATTCTTGTGTGCTTTTGAATTCTTGAGTGGTAAGTATCTTTTCAGGCAGGGTGGTGGTTTTCAGCCTTAAAATTAGACATGTGGGGATTGCTTTGTAGACCTAGGTACTGCAGATTGCTTTTTCCCAGCCTGAAAAGCTCCCAAGGATGGGTAGCTCTGTGAACGGGACCTCAGCTTGTGTCTGTGCCTGCCATGGTTGTGTCTGCCTGTGCCTGTCCCTGTCCCTGCATGTACTCTGGGTCTTTTCAGCCTGCTTTCGGGATCTGGTGTTACAGGTGGAGAAGAAGATTGAGGAGAATCAAGGGAGGGGAGCCTGAAGCCCTTCTCACTGTGGGGGGGGGGAGTGACTAGAGGATATGTCACCTGCGCTGCTCTCGATGGCCACCTTGTCCTCTCTGAAAGCCCACAGGTCAGGCCTCATAGGTGACTCTTTATCTCCCTCTTGAGAAACCTTTCTCTTTGAATTGGTCATCCTTGAATGACTAATTCAATGAAATTGAATTCTTCTTGATTGTTATTTTGAAATAAAGTTATACTCAGTTGCCCAAGTTGGACTTGAACTTGTGATCCTCTTGCCTCAGCCTTTCAGGTAGCTAGGATTATAGATGTGAGCTGTGCCCTAGCATTCTTTTTCCCAGAAAGACTGTATTTTCTAGAAATAGAGAATTTTCCATGGTAAAATTTCAGATATTAGTAACTTTTGATTTTCGGTGTGCTAATATTCAAATTTTTTATTCTAAGGGGGAAAAAAATAGGTATCCCTCCCTGTATGCACATGGCAGTATTTACAATATTTACTTACTTGTTTGTGGCGTTCTTGATTAGATTAAAGCAAGCTAATGTGTTGTGGTTGGTTTCAGCCCTGCTCCTTTTTTACTCCCTGATGGCCTGGTTCGCTTGGTGAATAGACAGATAAGCTGGCATTTGGTCCTTGCAAGGTAAGGTGGTGTGAAATTCACATAATGTGCTTCTATTTGAATTGGCTGTTAGTTTTTATTATGGGTGTTCATTTTGGGCCCCTTAAGACTTTCCTGCTCAGCTTTTATCTGTATACATTCTTTGTTGCTTGTATTGGCTAGAGGATCAGTATTGATCAGTCACAATAGGATGATAGGATCAGTATTGTCTAGAGATGTTCAGTCAAGCTATATTGAGTCATTTTTATGCTTTTTACGTACCTAGATGCCTACATTCCAATTTATTAAATTGGAATGTAGATGCCTATATGCATCTAATTATAAGGTTGAAAGATAATTACCGACCAGGAAGAGGCAGAGAGGAATGTGACTCCATTCTGCAGAGTCCATTGTGTCGACCCCTAATAGCAGTTTCACCACTGAAAGCCAAGGGTGAGAGATGACAGTTTTCTTAGGCAACATGGTTTTCATCCTATGATTGATAAACAAAACAGTTTCATCTGCCATGTCTTGCCTCAGAGAAAAACTCCAGAGATGCTCTTTGTAAGAAATGTTGGTAACTAAACATGTAAATATAAAACCAGCCGTATGTCAACATAGTAATGTCAAGCAATAACATGTGGAGAAATGTTCAATCCTTTAAAAAAAAGATGGGCAATTAGAGCTAAAAAGTGTAAAAGTTATTGTAACTTTGAAAAAGAATTTGCTCTGTATTGAAGGTATCAAATGAGTAGCTGTTGACTTGGGTTTTACAGTGCAGATATTCATAATGAGTTTTCGCATTCTTCTTCCCTGGGAAAGCAACGGGAAGCTGCTGGCTGCTGTTCAGGACCAGTGTGTGGAGATCAGGTAATGGTTAATGCTGCTGCTCTCGAAGGCTTTCTTTCTTTTTTTTCTTTTGTCTTTTTCCTTTTTATCGGTAATGGGGATCGAACTCACGACTGCCTGCTTGCAAGGCAGGCACTTATGCCGCTGAGCTGAATCCCCAGCCCCTCTAAGGCTTTCTTTGAGAGAACCTTTACCTGGTTTTAATTTTTCAAATGATTGAACTGCTAGGTCGCTTACTTTTGTGTGGTGTCAGACACTGGCTGGTGGATAGTGCTTTTTTGAGGAGCTCCTCATGTTTCTACTTCCCCAGATCTCTGCAGTCTCCACTTTTTCAGTGAATAAGGCTCTTTTGAGTTCCAGAACTCGTTCCTGTTTGGCCAGTTACTAAGAGAGCTAAACAGGTGCTCAGAAGGTGCAGAAAAGAGCGGGACAGCTTTTGCTCTGTCGGCCAAGGCTGCAGGTCAGGCTAGGGTGGCTGAGGATGATGGTTACATTAGCCACAGTAGTGGTGCTGTTGGCCCAGAGCACCCAGTGCTGTCCCGTGCTCCTTAAGATTGTGAATCTGGGGTCTTTGCTTTTTCTTTTTGGTGGTGTTGAGGATTGAACCCAGGGCCTTTGTATGGGGCTCCCCAGCCTCTTTTATTTATTTATTTTTGTGTAATTTTAAGGCAGACCTTGCCGGGTTTCCCAGGGTGAGCTCAAACTTACACTCTTTCAGCCTCAGCCTCCCAGAGGGCTGGGATCGTGGGCCTGCACCATCACCCCTGGCTGCTGCTGTGCCTTGTTGGCTCATGGTAGTTACCAGTGTGAAACCATTGTCTTCATTTTGCGTATATTTTTCAGGTCTGCAAAAGATGATTTTACGTCTATTATTGGGAAATGTCAAGGTAAGGGTTTCTAAAATATTTCAAAAAAGAAAATTTTATATCTCCAATGCTTTGCAGTATTTATTAAATTGGAATAAATATTAAAGAAATATATATAAAGGATTATGAATATTAAAAGTTTTAAAATTTGTGACTACCTTTTCTTAATTCCTTGAATATTTTGCATTTTGGGTGGGTTTGAAATTTAAACTATTTTAAAAATATATAAGCCAGTTTGGGGAGGAAATATTTGTAAGTATCCATATTCTTTTACTTTGAATTCTTATTTAGTTATAAGTCAAAGTTGGTCAGATATAGTCTAATAAAAACATCTGGGGTTGACACTTTTTTGATATATTTAGCAAAAATTTATTGAGTATAATATGAAATGTAATAAAAATACGGTGAATACTTACAATAAAAGGTACATTATAATTAATCTCCATGAAAATGCTTCCTTGTGCTTTGAAGGTACTTATTGAATTATCTTTGCCACTTCCTGCAGCAGCTGTGGAGTCGTCTTTCATGAGGGTCTTTTGCTTTGCTATTCTGGCTGCCTGGCTGCCTTGACGTCCTGAAAGAATTAAAAATGTTAAACAAAAAAGGAGCTAGGTATGGTGGTGCATAGCTATAAGTCCAGCACTTGGGAGCTGAGTCAGGAGAACTGTTGCAAGTTTGAGACCAGCTTGGGCTATAAAATGAGCTCAAGGCTATCCTGAGCAGCATAGTGAGACCCTGTCTTAGACAAAAACAAAAGAAAACAACTCCCACACCAAACTCCAAAATGTTTCCATTTCCTGGTCATTGTGACTTTGGGGGAGAGCCCGGAGTTGTACTGCACCAGATCTGGTGACTGAGGTGGCTGAGGACACAGCATTGTGTTTTTACAAGGTGGCCTTTCCTCTGGATGGCATTTGGCAGCAGCACTCATCTATTTTTGATCACACCTGGAAAGACCCTCAGGAAGGAGGATTCTGGAGCTGGTACAGAAAGCAACCAGGATGATAGGACTAGTGTGTGTGAGCCGACGGGAGGATACTGAGGGAGATAATAGCAGTGTATCTTTCACTGTACATTTTTGAAATTTTTATTTAGTGCTTGCTGTATTTCTTCTCTGTAGTTTTTGATCTTGCTTTTTGTGAGCATGAGCTACCCTGCTGGGTGCTTGTGCTGTGACTGTGAGCAGAAGGCGTGGTCTTCTGTGAGAATGTGGAAGATGGGGCTAGGGGGTGAGACTCAGCCCCTGGGGCTGCACATGCTGCCATGATCTCCTCCCTCAGCTCTGCTCATCCTTTGATCGCTGCCTTGGGGTTATGAGTCTGTCTGTGGTTTGATCCACAGTACACGTAGGTCTTCGTGATCTGCTCACTGTCTGAGAGCCCTGTCTCTGGGTCCAGGAACCTGCATGGGGACATGTTAGCTCCAAACCACAGCAGAAATGGGAGGACACGATGAGGAGGGTTGTGTTTGGTGAACAGCTCTGTTGCCTTTGTCTCCTATGCACGCCTGCAGTTCGTGTGTCCATAGAGCCAGAGTGGTGCTCTGGGAGTCACTGTGAGGATGACACAGTATGCTGGCATCGTATGGAGTGCTTCGCATGTGTCTTCTCATTCAACTAAAAGAAAAGAGCCTGAATGTTTTATCTAGAGCAATAATAAACATTTGACCGTGAAAGAAAACAAGGTGGAGGAACCAGGAATGGTGGAAGCCACACGGGGTGGGGGAGCCTGCCCAGGCACTGGTGCAGCATGCCTTGGTGGTGTGGGCCAGCTTCCTTCCCAGGTCCCTCTCAGCCATGTAGGTGTGTGGGGGAGCCAGATGGCCCTGGGAGTGTGTGCGACGCTGCTGAACTGCACAGCCCCCGTCCCAGCCCCGAAGCTGAGTACTTACCCGGTTGTTCCTTCTTCGAGGTTTTTGCTTCTCTAGCAGCTCTAGGAAGACTTTTGAAAAGCGCTGTTGGTGATCATCTTGTAAAAGCTGCGCTGTTCGTTCTGTTCCAGAACTACATCGTAGGTGGCTGGAAAACCCAGGGATACAGGCTTTGTTTCTGGTGGTAACTGAAATCTTAGCTCTTGATGAAAAGGCATGCTCTTGGGGACACGGGCTGAGGATGGTGGACGCGCTGTTGATAACCACAAGTCTCCGTGAAAATGAGGCCCCCAGAGGAGTTTATTTCCTAAATCCACTCTTCCCGTCAATACGAGATGAGGTGGGGAATGGGGACAGTGGAAATGTGTTTGCGGAGTTTAGTCAGCACAGGGCAAAGTTGTTCTCTTGCTGGGTTTTTTTTTTTTGGTCTTTTTCCTTTTTATCGGTACCAGGGATCGAACTCACGACTGCCTGCTTGCAAGGCAGGTGCTTATGCCACTGAGCTAAATCCCCAGCCCCTTTTCTTGCTGGTTTTTATGTAGCATCTATGTATACATCAGTGTCTTTACTCTCGTTATCATTTTGTGTGTTTACTTCCAAATTTGATTTTTCTTTTTAACAGTCTAAAGACAGGGAACTGATTTTCTTTTCATTTTCTCCTATTGAAAAAACAAAAGCAAAAACAAAAAAGCTTTGTTGCCGGGTGTGGTGGCACAGGCCTGTAATTCCAGTGCTCAGGAGGCCGAGGCAGGAGAATTGCTGAGAGTTCCAGGCCACAAAAAGATCCAGGCCAGCCAACACTACTTAGTAAGACCTTGTCTCAGAAAAGCAAAAGCAAAAACAGCAGAACAACAAAATGTTAACTGAGTGTTTGCAGCATCTTGTTTGGATTTAATATAGAGGACCTTTCTTGGACTTTTTTTGTAACAGGATTCGAACTCAGGACCTCACACTTTCTGGACAGGGGCTTATGCTGCTGAGCTAAATCCCCAGACCCTCTTCTTGGACTTTTTAAATATACTTCCGTTGTTTTGTTTTTTGAGATATGGTCTCGGTGTGTAGTTCCGGTGGACCTTGAACACTCAGCGATCCTCCTGCCTCAGCTGTCTGATGCTGCAATCACAGTCATGCACTACCATGCCTGGTGCTTTTTGAAATATACTTTTTGCCTAATCATAGTCAAAATGCAGAAATTTCTATATCAGGTATTTTTGCTTATATACAGAATATATGGCACAGAGGCAGATGGAGTGTGAATAATTCCCAGCCCCTTGTTAGGTGTGTGTGTGGGGGAGACTTCTATTAGACGTCTTGGGGACGGCAGGCCTGTTCTATTACTGTGCCCTGTTGGCAGAGATGTTCCAGAGACAGAAGCCTCCTGTGTCAGGGTTGTGACACGTGCTCTGCTTCCCATCTGGAGTGGCGGTATCTAGGCAGACCTTGTTTCTGAGGGTGTCCAGAGTCCTCTAGGCCTGATAGTTACGAAACAGCGATGTGCTGTGACAGATGCACCTAGAGGTGTGTCGATGGCCTGGGGGTCACACAGAAGAGAGAAGTTGGCTCTGAAAATGTGGAGGTAGTAGTAGTGACCGTCACAGAGGGCTAGCAGGAGGAAGAGGCCAGAGGGAGCCATTTGGGGCAGAGGCTGCTGTGTGGAAGGCACATAGGTGTCCAGCGCGCAGCTGGGGACATCCCCGGGGTGGGCTGCAGGGCATGCACTAAGGGGCCTCTGCACCGTTTTCCACATGCCTGGGCTGCATGTGTTCCCTGCAGTGGCGTGCATGGCCCTTCTCACCAGCACTCCTTATGTGTTGTGCCTTTTGGGGGTTCGTCATTCTTATCCATTTTTGGGAAGCCAGTCCTCACTGGGCTTTGAATGAGGGCTCCCGGGTGACCGCTGATGTTAAGTATTTCCTCACCTCCCTGTCGGCCAGTTGTGCGCCTTCTTTGAGAAACATGGGTTTAGATCTGTTTCCTGTTTTAAAACTGAACTGTTGAAAAAACAACAACAACAACAACAACAAAAAACTGAACTGTTTTCTTGTTGCAAATTTTGATTTCCTTGTATATATATTCTAGGAATTGACCCTTTGTCAGGTGGTCATTTTATTTAAATACTTTCTTTGTTTTTTAATTTTAAAGAGATTAAGACAAAAGAGGACATAACAAAGCAGATCAGAACAGAACAATGTAAGCAACACAGTTCTTCACCATAAGACAACACGTAATTAACAGTAACTACCATAATGTCTCTTTCTTTGAAATAGTTGAGCATAACTTCATATACAATAGTATCAAACATAACAAAATAGTATAAAATCATTCAAGAGAGTGAAAGTATTACAGGGCATTCAGAACCAGATAACAGAGAACCAACAATGGCTGCTATATTTTCTCATTTTCCATAGATAATTTGTTTATACTATCACACATAATAAAATCCAATAAGGTGCAGTATGATAGAACCAGAAGGACAAAAGTATGGTAGGACTTCAGAGTAAGGTATTAAATCAGCACTATTATAAGTCTTATATAAGTATTATATAGTCTTGTTTTCTTCAAAATAGCTGTTTTCATATTATCACAGATAATAAAATCAAACAAGCCAGGATAAAACCATTCCAACTAATGAATGCAAACATTATAAGGCTTCAAAGCAATGAATGGGGAATGATTACTATAAACTCTTATGTACTCTTACCATTTCTTACTCTAGGGAGACTTTACGGTATTTATACATGTGAGTTTGATTTATTTTGCTTATGAGTATAGTCTCAACTTGCATCCATTTATTTATAAATATGTCAATGTGATCATTCTTTTTTTTTTTTTTTTCTTTTTCCTTTTTATCAGTACCAGGAATCAAAATGTGATCATTTTTTATAGCTGAGTAGTACTCTATTGTATAAAAACACCACAACTTTTTTATCCATTCCTCAGTTGATGGACACTTAGGTTGTTTCCAAGATCTGGCTATTACAAACTGTGCTGCTATAAACATGGGCTCATATATATCACTGTGGTATGATGTTTTTAATTCTTCTGGGAATATGCCTAGACGTGGAATAGCTGGGTTGAATGGGACTTCCAATCCCAGCTTTTTAAGGAATCTCCAGACTGACCTCCACAGTGGCTGCACCAGTCTACACTCCCACCAACAGTGCAAGAGAGTTCCTTTTTTCCATGGCCTCTCCAGCATTTGTTGTTGGTAGTTTTCTTGATCCTGGCCGTCCTTTCTGGAGTGAGATGGAATCTCAGGGTTGTTTTAATTTGCATTTCTCTCATGATCAATGATGATGAACAGTTTTTCATGTATTTATTTGCCATTTGTATTTCTTCATCTGAGAAATGTGTATTTATCTCAGATGCTGCCCATTTTTGGATTGGGTCTTTGAATTTCGGGGGTCTGAATTTTTAAAATTCTTTATATGTTTTAGAAGTCCTTTGTCTGAGGGACCGTTCACTAAGATATTTTCCCCAGTTTGTGGGTTTTCTTTTCACTATGCTAGAGATTTCTTTTGACATGCAGAAATTTTTTAATAAGATATGGTCCCAGTTATTGATTCTGAGAAGTATTTCCCATGTAGTTTGATTCCTGTTCATGAATTCTCTACCTACCCCTATGTCTTCAAAATTTTTACCTACTTTGTCTTCCAACAGATTTAGTGTTTCTGTTTCAATATTCAGATCTTTGATCCATTTAGATTTTAGGTTAGTACATGGTGATAGGCATGGGTCTAGTTTTAGTTTTTGGCATATGGAGAGCCAGTTTTTCCAGCACCATTTATTAAAGAGGCTATCGTTCTTCCAGTGAGTATGTTTGGCCCCTTTATCAAAGATAAGGTGGTTGAGTGTGTTTGTAGTTGTATCTTCTAATCTATTCCATTGATCTTCAGATCTGTTTTGATTCCAGTACCATGTTGATTTTATTACAGTAGCTTTGTAGTGTAACTTCAAGTCAGGGATTGTGATGCCTCCTGCCTTGCCTTTGCTGCTTAGAACAACTGACTTTGCTATTCTAGGTCTCTTCTGGTTGTAAATACTTTTGGTCATGCTGTAGTCATCGTGTAGGTTTTCTTTTCATGCTGATGACTGTTTTCCTTGCTTGGCAAAAGCTGTTTTAGTTTGATGAAATCTCATTTGTCTGTTTACTTTGGTTTCCTGTGTTTTCAGTGTCCCCAACCCCCGCTTACGCTGCCCAAGGTCCCGAAGTACTTCCTTCTGTTTCCTTGTAGTAGTTTCACTGTGTTGGATCTCACATTTAAGTCTTTAGCCTCTTTTGAGTTAATGTTTGTAACTGCTGAGGTGTAGAGGTCCAGTTTCTTTCCCTTGCGTGTAGATACCACTTTTCCAGCGCCATATATTGGAAAGGTCAACCTCCCCTAGTCTTACTCTTACCACGTGTGTTCACAGTGAGCTGACTGTCGATGTGTGTTTTTTCTTGTGACGTGCTGTTTTCCTTTGGTTCTGGTGTTGATATTTATCCCAATGTCATTCTGTTTTTATTACTTGGCCTTTGTGGTTTATTTAGAAATCAGATGACGTAATGTTTTTGTTCTTTTGCTCAAGATTTTTAAATACGTGATTCCATACAAATTTTAACCTCTTTTTTTCTAGTTTTGTAAAGAATGTCATTAGCATTTTGATAGGAATTGCTTTGAAAGTGTAAATCATTTGAGTAATTTAAACAATTTTGGCTCTTCCAATTCATGAACATAGAATGTCTTCCCATTTTCTATTTTCCCTTCAATTTCCTGCATCAGAGTTCAGGGTTTTCAGCACTCGGGAAGCCTATAAAGGAGGCTTATACCTGTAATCCCAGCACTCATGAAGCCAAGGCAGGAAGTTCGCCACAAATTGGAGGCCAGTGTGAGCTACAGAGTGAGACCCTGTGTCAAAATACAAACGTTGAGCAATTCATACTTTTCTTTTTGGAGCACTTTCACCTTTCCTTTGATTAAATTTGTTCCTAAGTTTTTTATTACTATTTTCCATAGCCATTGTAAATGGGATTGCTCTCTCACTCTGTGTTTCTGGTAATTCGCTGTTGGCACGTTGTGGCTCTCCTGGGTTTTGTTTGTTTTTGGTAGTGCTGGGGACTGGATCCATGAGAAGTCGTTTTCGGCTCAGCTGCCCCCTGCTTATGCTGCCAGTTCTGTGTGTTTATTTTGTATCCTGAGACTTTGCTGAATTAATTTATTCTGGCAGTTTTCTTGGTGGAATCTTGGGGTTTGCCTGTGTAAGGTCATCTGTATGCAGCAGCAGTTTGGCTTCCTTTTTTCTGAGTGAGATCCTCGCTTCTTTCTCCTGTGTGCTTGCGCTGCCTGGTCTGTGTTGAATAGAGGTGTAAAGGCAGGCAACCTTGTCTAGTTCTAGATCTTCGAGAGAAGACACTCAGCGTCTTGCCATGGCTGTTACGTGTGGCCTCTGTTCCACTGAGTGGCTGGACCTGCTATGTCCGGTGTTCTCCTCATGGAGGCAGGTTGCATTTTACCATGTGCCTTTTGTGCTGCTCTTGAGGTTTTTCTGTTCTTTGTGTTTACAGATGTGTTGTAAAGAAATACGGTAAACATTTAAAAAGACAGTATTTATTACAGTAAAAGACATTTGATCACCCCTCCCCCTATACTGCTCCCTGCTTTAAACCCACTCACCTCACTGTCCATGCAACTTTTTGAAGCAGCTCCAGATGTCCTCCTCTGTGTTTTTAGTTGCACTGTCCTACTGCCTCGATGTCTTAAATTGATTCAAGGTATTGACCTTTTGTGGTCATTTTGACTCTGGGGAGAGCCAGGAGTCATGTGTGCCATGTCCTGCGCCATGTTTTATTTATTTAATTAATTAATTTATTTCTGTCAGTGTGTGAGCCACAAGGTAGGATAAAGACATTTGGTGACTGTGTAAATGAAGAGTTGGTAGAGAAAGGGCACTGGGCCTCCTACCTGTCTCTTTAGTGCTGGGCTTCTAATAACAGGAAATGGGAGCACAGAAAATAAACAGTAAGAACGTCAAACCTAGCACGGTTTAAAGTTTCTCAGGCCTTTCTTTCTCTTCTCTAATAGCTAGCAGGCTTTTTGTTGTGCCGATAAATTCAGAATAGGAGAGAATCGAGGAGCTGGATTATTAGGATTATGAAGGTATTGATTATCACAGTCTTATGATTGTGTGATTGTCTAAGGACAGTTCTAGATTTGTCTGCCTGTGTGCCTGTCCTCCATTATTCTCATGCTGTGTTAGCATCGGCATTTGATACAGCTGAACTTCTCAGTTTTTGGTGTTAGAGGGGCTGAACTCATTGGGTTGGAATTATTTTCTGCCCATTCTTTCCGCTGCTTCTTGGTATGTAAGCATTTTGCAGTGTGCTATCCCCGAGTCTTTCCTGGTGAGGGTAGCGCGTGTGATGGTTTACGTCTGTGCTGTGCTTTGCTACTAAGTGAGGCGTTAGACAGCGCTGGGAAGTGGTGCATTATGCTTACTGTAACCACAGTTACTAAAAGTGTTACTGATTTTTGTAACCTCTTCTCTTTTCCTTCTAGTTCCGAAAGACCCCAAGCCCCAGTGGAGACGGGTGGCATGGAGCTATGATTGTACGCTGCTGGCCTACGCAGAGAGCACGGGCACTGTGCGGGTGTTCGACCTCATGGGAAGCGAGCTGTTTGTCATTGCCCCGGTATGATCCGCCGCAGACTGGTGACTGTTTGGGGGTATGTGTGATATCTCTGTATGGATGCTCCAGCGAATGAATGTGAGAAGGGAAGAGACAGATCTAGCTGGGGATTTCCATCTGTGTAATCCTTAGTTTTGTATTCTGTGATGCATTGTGCTGATGTAAACCGCCTAGTAGTAAGTAAATTCTCCATGGAGGCTGTTCAGCCAACCCTCATGAGGAGGCGTGTCCAAAACAGGAGAGTATACTGAGCCATTTTCAGGCCACAGGAAGAATGAAGGGCTGGCCCTGGGGCAGGTCCCATGATGCTGGGGTGCGGGGTCCACACTGGCAGCAGGTGGAAAACACTGCCTAAGCCAAGTGCTTTTTGAATTTTGGAGAAGGAAAGGTCCATTCACATTTTCCCTGTATCAGCTGTGGGGAGCAACAGTGGAATAAGGTGAGCTTGAGCAGGCTTGGGACAGGAAGCTGGGTCATAAGGAACACTTGCTTCTGGCTGGATAGCACTGGCATCCGGACAGCCAGCCAGCTGGGGTTTAAGTCAGGGTTTTGACATTGACTGATGTCTGATTGTCTTTTGCCTGTGTTAACTGAGGATGCCCTTGTCTCTCCCCAGCCTTCCCTCATCTGGCCTTTTAAAGTAATTTTAGAACACTCCTGGGTTTTATCATAGCACAAAATATTGTTATAAAGTTCCATCAATGAAACGTCCATAGCAGGGACAACTTCTGGGAGTTCAAATTTATTACATGAATGGAATAGAAATTGAAAGAGAAAGTGAAAAAAAAAAGAATGGTTGTAATAATTTGTAATTGTGTTCTGCTATTAAGGATTGTATGTACATTCTCAATATTCACGGCAGTTATGTGAGTGGATTGGTGTCAGTTTTTGAAGTTTAGGAAGGAGATTGAGGGGAGCAAAGTGGCAGCCCCTCTCCCTGGGTCTCTTCTAGGAATCGTGTGCATCTTAGCATCTGTATTCATGTGGATAGGACCACGGTGGGCAGAACAGTGGCTCTGACTCTGGCTGTGTCTTAGCATCTCCGAGGGGCTTCACAGAGAAAACCAAGGCCAGGACCCAGATGCATGCCTGGCCTGCCTGTACTTGCCATGGGCTCTGCCTAAGTGACCCCTGCAGGACCTGGAGCTGATGGTGTTTTCAGGCTTTTTAGTGTGTTCTCGTAAGTTTAGCACTGAGAGCCAGGAATTCCGAGAATGGTTTTCATTCAGGAAATGAATATGCATGGAGAAATCTGGGCAAAGTACACTGGGCTCAGGTTACAGGAGTCCCACAGCTCCTGGACAGGTTCTGAGGAGCTCTCTGGAGACGGAAGCTGGCGCCATGTGTTTGGACCCGCAAGCCCTAAGGTCTCGGCAGGAGCAGCCTTGTGAGAAAGACTCAGACTGGCCCGTGCAAAGGAAGGACTGCTTCTGTGGGCTGCAGGGCAGGCTGGGCCTGGCCAGTTGTTGTCTGCGTCCCCATTGTGTAGGGTGTCTCCTGGGAAGAGTTGGCTGTCCCAGGGGCAGCGGGGGCTTCTGAGATGTCTGTTCCTCTGCAGCAGCCTCAGTTTTGTGAGGTTCTGCCTCTGGAATCCAAGGTGACTGGAGGCCAGAGGCTGTGACAGGTAAGTGAGCGTCCCTACAGGTCTCTTGCTTCCCTGTCCTCAGCTGTCTGAGTAGGCGAATGGAAGTGAAGACTTTTCCATTTAGACTACTGCTGGCAGTAGATGCTGACATTGGAAAGCTGCTTCTAGAGTTCTCTAGGGTGGAAGGGTGGAGAGTTCTGTCTGTGTTGCAGTGGATGTACAGTTTGAATAAAAATGTGCTTCTCTACCCCTCTAATTCAAAGTTATGTATTGTGGTGTTGCCCGAGTAAATGAAAGATTACAGGTAATTAAAAAAACCAGAGCTGGGAGGACTGCTGTAGACCGGGCAATTGGCACTGGGCTTTCACATGCCCCCCAGTTGTGCATCGTTATTTATGGAGCGTCTCTGTAGTAACGCAGTTTTCTTTTCTCTCAAAGGCATCGAGTTTTGCTGGTGATTTGAGCTGTGCCATCGCTGGGTTGATATTTTTAGAATACAAAGCCAGTGCGCAGTGGTTAGCAGAACTCTTGGTCATCAATTACCGAGGAGAACTCAGAAGTTACCTTGTCAGGTAAAAGGCGCTTTGGGAAGTGTATTTGGTGCAGTGTTATTTCTCTGTTTCACATCAGTTAGTGGTGCTGCTTTATGTCCTGGCATGTTGTTATGAAAAGTTGGAAGTACAATTTGATAGTTGAAAGAATTGTATCTTAAACACTCATGTATTTCCAGTTGGATTCTATAATTAGGATTTTACTGTACTATCGATCATATTTTTACCATTTATCCATCTCTGTGTCTTCTTGTATTTTAATGTATTTCAGAGTAAGCTGGAGATGTCAGCAGTTAGATTTAGCATGCATATCATTAATTAGGGTTCAGTGTTTGATGAGTTTTCTTTCCAGTAAAATTTATATTCTGTGAAATGCACAAATCTCAGTTGTACCTGTTGTGACTTAGTACCAGTGTGTACATTTATGCAGTCAAAACCCCTGTGGGGATTCTGGACGTTGCCACCATGCTAGGACGTTCCATCTTCTCCTTCCCAGCATCCCTTTCCACGTCTACCCCCAAACAAGTAACTGTTTAAAAAACTTGTTTTAAAAATCACTGTTGAGGGACAGGGATTTAGCTCAGTGGCATAAGTGACCCCTGGTACCAAAAAAAGAAAAGAAAAAAATCACAGATGAGTTTTGTCTGTCCTGATAATTCATAATAGTGGAATCATGTATGTGGATCCTTTTTGTAAACTTTCCTTTAATCAGCATAATATTTGAGATTCATCCATAGTTTATGCCACTCAGTAGTGTATTCCTGTCTTACTAGTGGTCAGTATTTTATGAATACCGTGAATAAATGTGTAGTTATCTGTGTGTGGCTACATGAGTGCTGAGTGGTTGGTTTATCCATTTTTCTGTTTCTAGATGTCCAGGTTTCCAGCTTAGGGCTGCTGTCATACAGCAGCTATGCCTATCCTTTAAAAGTATTTATGAATATATATCATCATTTCTCCTGATGTTTCCCTTTCAGTGCAGTTTATTTTTGTAAGAAACTACCAGACTTTTTACCAACAGGGCTGTATCCATCAGTCATGTTAACACTGTCAGAGTTCTGATTGTTTTACATCTTTGATATTACGTGTCTTCCACGTTACAGATATTGTATTGGGTATGTAATGATGTCTGTTGAAGTTTAATGGTATTTATTTCTTGCTTACCTTCTGAAATTTAGTGTTGAAACAAATCAGAGCTACCAAGAGAGTCACAGTTTCAGCTTCAGTAGTCATTATCCTCATGGAATCAGTACTGCGATTTACCACCCTGCTCACAGGTAAGCAGCTGTTTGTGCTCTGACTCAGAGGATTACCGGGTGGGTCCAGAACCCCTGGCATAGGTCCAGAGGGAAGAGCCTCCCCTCACTGATTCTCCTGTGGACCTGTTCATTCCATATTCCTGTGCGCAGTCATGTAGAAGACCTTGGCAGTCTCTTCCGATCATGCATGCACCTTTTCCTGCCTGACTGGTCTTCTCCAGCCAGCCAGGGCACTGGCCTCTTGGTTGAGGAATTTTTCCTGCTTGCTCACGCCACCAAAACACGTCCTCCTCGTTGGTAACAAGAGTGCGACAGCACCGAGCTCACAGCCTCGTCCACAGAGCCCATGAAGGCCATGTCTTCTTGTGGAGGCTGCAGTAGGCATCCCTCTTGCAGGCTTCCTTCCTTGCAGGCTGAGGCTCTGCTGTCTGTCTGTCTGTCTGTCTGTCCGGCTCCTCCAAGTCCTGTGTCTGTTTCCCCTGCGGTGTCCCACCCTCTGTTACTCACCTTTGTCAGTGAGTTTGACTGGAAGCTTTTGGCATTTTCTGCTGCCTGCAGTATCTGCCCTTTAGTTTTGAGGGTTAAGTATATGTGTATTTCATGAGTCACCCAAGCTCTTTGGGTTTGTCACTAGAAAGAGTGTTCAATTTTGAGTCAGATTAAGCTAGTTAAGTTCTGGATTTTTGGACTAATCAGTGACTGCCGGCAACTCCTTACACTGACTCTCTTCTTGGTGGAAAGTGTATGCAAGTTTCGTATCCTGTTTATTCATCAGAGAATTTTATTGTGGAATCTTTTTACTGTGAAAGATTCCCCTCTTTCCTCTCTCCCACTCCTTTCTCTCCTCCTCTCTCTCCACCCCCCCCCCCTTCCCCACACTCCGAAATCCTTTGGGCTGTCTGCTAATGCCATTTTGTCTCCTTGAGACAATGACCGAGATAATGACCATCTTGACTTTTGTTTCATCCCCTTGCTTTCTTTAGAGTTTGAGCACTTATAGTTAGCTTGATGTTCTGACTTTATGGAAATGGAATCATGTGCTCGTAAATCTTATTGTGTGACTTGCTTTTTCTTTTCTTTTTTTTAACAAGGTATTGGAACTGGAATGACTTGCTTTTTCATTCATGTTGTTGTAGTTCATTCAGTTTTTTTTAGTTCATTTTTAACCACTGAGGATATTTTATGAATAATATGCAACATATTTAGCCGTTCTCCTGTAAACGAAAACTTGATTTGTTTCAGCTGCTTCTATGTTATAAAAATAGCACAGTGGTAAAAGCTTCTATGTTATAAAAATAGCACAGTGGTAAAAGTTATTGTGTACTCCTTTAGCACACATGCTGGCTGTGGAAGGAGAAGTGACTCTTCAGACTTCTGGGAGGGAACAAGGTCCTGGCAGGTGTGTCCCACGGTGGTTGTTCTGGATGATGTTCATCCTCTTGATGGTGAGATGTACGGCACTTTTAAACATCTGCTGGTTGGTAGGTGTAAAGGAATATCTCATAGCTGTTTTCAGTGATTTGAAAACCTGTGGGAGCTGTGTAAGAAAAGAGGGTTTCATGTACAGGGCCATCTGAGCCCACCCCTGAGGAGGGCATGTTCCAGGAGCAGCGCTGTGAGAACGCAGTGCAGGAGCCCTTGGGGCCAGGGTGTGTGACGCCGATGGAGGTGTGATTGGCAGGCCCGTGAGCAGCGGTGAGCACTGATTTCTGCGTGGTTTTGCAGCCCACAGAGCCCCTGTTCTCACTTGTGTTTATTCTCCTGTAGTTCTCCCCCCCACCATGCTGGGGTCACACTGAGGACCTCTCTTGTGTGAAGAGAGGGCTGCACGCTGAGCTACATTTTCAGACTTCCTTTCTCCTTTTTCTTTGTTTTAAACTGCTGAGTTTTATGATGTACCTGTTATAGATTTACCCCTAAATCCACCTCACTGGTGGTATAAGTCTCTCTTCAGTGCATCATATATATTTGTGTCGTGCAGGTTTTGTCTCTGTGGAGAGGTCTGTCCCGGAACTTCCCAGTGTGCGGCAGTGTAAATTTACAATGGCTGATAGCTGTTGTCCTGGAGTCTCTGCCACACCCTGGGAATTGCATTCATGTGCTGTCTGGCTGCATTCTTGTTTCCTAGGTCCCTTGTGCTCTGTCACTTTCTGTTTTTCTTAGTTTATTTCACTGTTTTGGCCACTCACAGCCTTCTGTATCTTCCCAGAAACAACATGTGGTATATGGAAGACTTGCATGTCTGAAAATGGCTTGTTCTGTCTTTATGTTTAATTGATGATTGGGTTCAACAGAGTTGTAGGCTGGAAATAATTTTCTTTTAGAATTTCGAAGGTATTTTTTCTAGCTTCTAGTGCTGCTCCTGAGAATTCTAATGTTATTCTGATGTAAAGCCCAGTTTTGTTTCTCTGGTGTTTGTCCCCTTCTCACTAGACTTTCCTATTCCTTAGTGTCCTGCTATCTGACCTTGTAATGGCTCACAGCAGATTTATTACTATCTACATGCTGGCTTCTTAGTTTTGGGTTCAAAATGTAACCACCAGAGGGAAGTTTTATTTAGTGGGCGGGGACAACCTCTATTTAAATAAACATCTTAGAAAGTTGAATATATTCTTTAATCAAAAAGGAGGTTCTCTTTTTGGTTCTGCAATCATTTATAACTTGATAGCAGTCAGTGTGGAGATAGATGACATTAATGTTTCTGTGTGAAAATTATTATAAAATAGAGAATGTGTATAAATATTCTATTGTGGATGACGTTTTTGCTCGGTTGTTTATGTTTTCCATTATGTGGTCTTTTTTAAAAGAAAGAAGGTATTATATTCGTCGTGTTTTTATTTATTTCCAGCTTATTTCTGCAAATAGTAGTGTGAGGGTGTGCTATTTATCATCTATAAGAATTTTACAGATGTGAAATAAATCAGCCAGGCTAGAGCTTGGATAAATAGGGAACACGAACTCAGGGTTTTGTGTAATGCGTTTTTTTGTCTTAATACTGAGAGCCCTGCTGAAGAAGAGAAATTGAGTTGATAAACTGGGTGACAGGAAGCAAGAATTAACTGAGAAGCTGTGGACTAAGCTGGGTGGGTATGCTGATTTTTTCCATATCCTGAGTCACAGCCTCATGGGAGCCCTGGAGCCATCTCATCCCTCGGCCCTGCCTCCCCTTATCTGCCCCCCCTCCATTCTCCTGCCTTCCCTGCCTCCCCTGCCTCCCCTCCTCTTCCTTCTGTCTTTTCTTTGCTGTTGTTGGTTTTCTGGAGAATCACACCCAGGCTCTGGTGGAGAGAAATCCCTCTGCTCCTTTGCATTGTGGACGAGCCCATGTGCAGTAACCATAGCTCTGCCATAGTAGTGTGAACCACCAGAGACGGCATGGAAATGAGCAAACCTGGTTGGGTTCCAATAAAGCTTTATTTACAAAACATAGGTGCTGGTGGATTTGGGGTGTGTGTGTGTGTGTGTGTGTGTGTGTGTGTGTGTGGTGGCTGCCGCTTGCTGACATTTGTCTTATGTAACTAACTGCAGGCATATTTAAATTCATGTATTTCTTGAAATGTCTTTGTTCTTTAAAGCCTTCGTGGTATCAGACTGAGGCCTGCTGCCTGTGCGCACAGAAACTCATATTATGGCATCAGTTTCTGCAGAAAGCTTCATTGAAGGTCAGCCAGTAAGGGAGAGGAAGGGCTTTGAAGATGGGACTCAGTATTTGGGCAGTGCCTGTTATGGTCCCCCTGTTTTAGTCCAGAGGTGGGCCAGTCACAGGCAGCACCCTGGCTCCCGGCTCATGCTTGGAATCCCCATAGCTTTGGATCCTGGATCCTCTTATGAGTAGAAGGCTATGGCTCGTGGAGCAGACACAGTTTCATTTGTGCTTCCTGTTGCTGTCCCCTGCCTGGAATGTCCACTAAAGTAAAACTGTCTGCTCGGCCCTGTTGAATCGGACCGATCCATTACAGCTTTGTGTGCTGAGGCGGAAGGGAGTAGGGAGGGGAGGGCAGTGGGCGGGGGGGGGGAGAGCCTTTTGCTCAGCGAGGGGTGGGTAGGACAGATTTGTTCAGGCAGCACCTTATATCTGACAGTTACGGGATATTTAAAAGTAGCTAGACTTGCTGGAAATTCTCCAGACTGACCATGGCATGATGTGTTGTCGCAGTATACTCCATGAACACGCTGTAGAGCTTGCGTGGTTTGATAGAACAAGTGTTGGTTTCCTCCAGCAAATGGTGGTTGCAGCTCCTTGGGCTTCTGGCAGTGTGGTAAGCCTGTGAGAGAGGTGAATGGAGGTCCAGGACCAGGGTCTGTGTTGTCCACGGATCCACTTTCCGCAGCAAGACAGGGCCTGGCACTCGATGTGTTGCTCAGCAAAGGAGCGGGAGCCTGATTTTGGAGGAATTGGTGTTTAAGGCTCAGGTGGAACATCGTGTAAACACAAGAGCTAAAGTAGGTCATTTTCAGATGTTTCTTAGGTGAAATGTGAGTCTTGTTAACTCCTGAGACTGTGAACTCCATGAGGGGGGAAGCTTGGCTCCTTCATGCTGTCTTTCCTGCACTGCTAGCACCGAACCTCACATCTGAGTAAGTGTAAACACTCCTGAGATGGATGCTGCATTGACTTCAGTGGAAGTTGGTGACGTTAGAGAAAATGTCGGTGCAGATTACTGAATCTGCATGTGCTGAGTACTGGTCATCAGGATGCAGTGTCCTACTTCCCTGCTGCTGCTGCTGTGTGTGGGGCAGAGCTCCGGGCTAGGAGACTTTCCTAGGGTGGTGCGACTATCAGGGCAGCTCCCGTCCTCCGTTCTTGGGGTGGAGGGACTGTGACCTGGACGAGGGCTTGGTACACCGCAGCCTGTGACCTGGCTCTGCCCCATTGCTAGGAATACAGTTGACATTTTTTAGGTAGTTGAAAAATACTCAAAGCAGGTTCCTTGGTGACTCATGAAAATTGTGTTCAGGTATCCATAGAGTTTCTTTTGACACCCTGATGTGGTGTTTCCTTCTGTCACGTAAAGGAGGTGTTATGAAGTAGATTCTGTGGCCCACCAGGGTCAAAATATTATGAGCTATCCTTTTTAAGAAATTGTTAGCTGGACTGTTCTGTGCCAGCCAACATCTGTGTGTCCAGTTTTGCTTGGGGGGTACAAAGCCAGAAGGATTAAATGTTACACATGTTCCCATATTTGATTCTGAATTCTGAATTACGTCCTAAGGAATTTAGAACCAGATGCCATGCAGTTTTAAGCAATTCTATATCTATTCATCAGGTTGCTAGGAGAACGATTTCATTATCAAACTGAGTGAGCAGAGGAGGAAAAATTTCCTGTTTTGTTTTTAATAAGCAGCCTTTCAAAAACCTAATTGATTTCTGTGATCATCCTTCAGCACATGTCAACTACTCAGTCGAGTGCTTAGTCACAATGTGACTGATAATGAGCTGTGTCTTCCAGACCCCAGGTGGTTCCTTTAAACATAGGGTGAAGTGGATCCTTGACCAGCAGCAAGATTCCCGGAGGCGTGGGGAGTTGGAGATTGGGCTCCCCATGCCTCTGCCTCCTGGACCCCAGGTCTGGAAGGTGTGTCCCAGTGTGTGTGTGTTCCGGGCCCTCCGGGATTCTGTTGCATCCCTGCTGTTTGACAAAGGCTAACTTTGTCTTGGCTATATGTATTTCTGCTTAGTTCTTCATCTAGTTGGTAAACATAAGCAAACTTTAATGAAGACACTGAACTAGTGGGTAAGATGTAATGCATCAGATAGGTGATGTTTCAGGTTTCTGAAGGGAGGAACTGCTTGTAGCTCTGACGGTTTGATCATGTGTGTGGAGCCTTAACTTTATGGGCCTGGTCCTGTCATATCTTTGCAAGCCCAGGCCGCAGCTGTGCTAGTTCAGGTGCTGTTCCACTGTCTGACCCCTGCTCTTTCCATGTTGTAGAATTGTGGCACATAGAGCCTGCCCTTCCCCTCCTTCCCTTCCTGTTGTGTGCCTTGGGGACACCAGACCTTGGACAGAGCACCTAGAAGTTCTTGTTCTAAAACTCCCTATGCTGTACATGGGCTTGAACGAGTTCTAAGCCACTAGAGGGCAGATTCTTCCAACCAGTGTTTGATCAAAGAACCTTTTTGCTAACTCTTCTGTGTTGCTTTTGAATTCTTTTAAAGCATGGCTCCCAGCCTCAGTGTCCTCAGCGTCTTATACCGTGATACTTAGGGCCTTGTGTCTGCCTCTACTGGGTTTTTTCCCATGTCTGGGTTACTGTCTCCTGTTCTTTGGTCTCTGCCTTTATTCGGGCTTGTTTAATTCTTTCCTCGCATGCGTGCGTGTGGGTACACACTTTCTCTATCACTTAGTTTATTTGTATCGTCCAACGTCTGTGCCTGCTTGCAGCTTTCCACTCTTCCAGCTGTCAGAGCTGGGAGACTGAGCCCCTTCATCATCAGGCCAAGACCAAGGACCGCTTCCTTCACCTCTGTGCACTTGTGCGTCTTGGCAGGCGTGCCCTGCTTGGCCTTTCGTGGCTGAGACATGTCTGTGCTCAGTAATGTACAGGACAGCTTAATCTCCAAGGGTTTTTATCTGGTTTTGAGCATTTTAGATCGAAGAGAATATAGTATTCTTTGAAGATAATGGTGCACAGTATAATAACTGCTATTTTTGTTATTTGGCTATGAAAATTTGTTTTATTTTTTTCATAGAAAAGAAAGAAAAATCAAAGCCAGGGCCTCCACATTGCAATACACCCCCATCTTATTTTTATTTTTTGTTTTGAGACAGGGTCTTAAGTCATTCAATTACCCGATTTGGGTTTGAACTTGTGCCTCCTGCCTCAGCTTCCCAGAGTTCTGGGGTCACAGGTGTGTGCCACCGTGTCCAGCTTGTCGTTTCTTTCTGATGTGCTGTGTGGTGCCTGTGTGCATCAGGTGCAGATGATGTGCATATACCTAGTGAGGCTGCACAGATGCTCACTGGTGTCTGCAGCATGCGGTGGCCAAGCTTCAGACGTTCCCCATGTCTCTGAGTGTACCACTGAATATTTAAGCGCTGCCTCTGCCCAGGTGAGGCTGTGGTTCCCATTTGAAAGCCATTTGATTTCTCTTGGTGGTTTTGCTTAAAATGCTGACCTTCTAGGTTTAATATATAGTTATTTTAATGTAAATTTTCTCGTGCAGGTGGCTTTCCATGATGTGATGTTTCACTGCTTTTATCTTGTTCCTATTTACAGTCTGCATCCTTTATTTTCTTGCTTGCAGACTTCTGCTTGTGGGTGGCTGTGAAGCCTCAGAGCCAGGCATCTCGAAGGCAGCCAGCTGCGGCCTGTCTGCGTGGAGAGTCCTCTCAGGGTCACCATATTACAAGCAGGTCGCCAGCGGTGGAGACAGGGTCACAGTGGTAAGTGTTTGCCACAGCATTTTACTGTCCTAATTGGCTTTAAACAAATACATTGTCTGTAAGACTTAGAGGAATAAATAATTTTGTCTTAAGCGAGGAAGACTAATTAATTCTGGTGCAACTATAATACTTCTTTCAAATATCAAATTTAATAATGTATGTTGAATTGAACAGTATTTTCAGATATTAAAAAAATGACCTGGATTTGCTTGTTTAGGTATCAGCATCTATGAGGCCCTTTGTGTTTGAGCAGCTGTTCTTAGCTCGCTCATGGACTGGCCCATTTCGCTAATGCTGTTTCCAGCCCTAGTCTCCTCATGGAGAAGCTGAGTGGGCTCTGGAGAAGCTGTCCTGGGCCCGCTCACCACACCACTGGAGCTTGCAGCCCTTGTTCATAAGCACCATAGTGCACTTCTTCCTGTAGTGTTCGGTCTTTCTCAACTCTTCACCTGTGCATTCATTGATTCTTTCTATAATTTTTTATTGGGTCTCTCTCTCACACCAATGTTAGCCAGCTTTCTGTGGCTATGACAACATTCCCAAAACAAACACTTCCTAAGGTATAAGCGTTCATTGTGGCTTGCAGTCTCAGAGGTTCAGTCCGTGGTAGCTTGGTCCTGTTGAGGTGTAGTCCCTCATAGTACAAGTGTAGCACTTAGTGTGGTTCCTGTAAGGCGGGTGGAGAGGGAAGGAGATGATGAGGTCCTCAGGGCCCCTTCAAAGGCATGGTGCTCAGTGGTGTGACTTCTTCCACTAGACCCTCACCTCCTAATGGCTCCCCCACCTCCTAGCAGCACCACAGGCTGGTGACCGTGTCTCTAACACATGGGTGTTTGGGGACCGTATCATGCTATGATGCACTGTGACAGCTAATCTCCATGGCAGTTTGGTGAATTCATAGCAGATGAGTTCATAGCTGAATGGACTGCTGGGAAGTAGGGCCTCATTGAGGGAAGAAGGCCTCTAGGTGCCTGTTTTTGAAGGCCTCAACTTGTCTTTGGCACTCTCTTGATCTCTGCTTCTTAATTGCCTTAGTGTAGGCCAACCTAGGGAACTTGTATATGACCAGGGGGGATGAAGATGAAACACAGACACAGAATTAGTTTAAAATGTGGGCTTAGGGTGCTCTTGTCTCCCTTCAACAGAGAGTCCCGAACAACTGGCGTACCTTGGCTCTATTCACTCAGAATGGGCACAGGCAGTAAGAGTCAACCAGGATTCATCCATCTTCTACCATTCATGGTACATCTTTTAGTAAGCAAAACGATCTCAGAGACACTAACTTTCCCTGCGGTGTGTCAGCACGCACTACACCGCCTTTCTCTCTAGGGCTCACAGAAGAGGCCTGTTAGGCCTTATATGGTACCATTTGCTTAATTCCAATCTGGTCTCCCACACCTTAAAGAGACAGCTTTCCCTGGCCACATGCCTGACATGTTGTTATTACTTCACCACAGACCTGGAAGCAATGGGATTGCATGTCACTGACTGAACCCTCTGAGTCCGTAAGCCAGGGAAGCTTTTCCTCCTTTAAGCCTTTGTCCCAGGTGTTTGTCATGGCAAGGGAAAGCTAACTCACACAGCTTCTTTTAGACTGCAATAGTGTTAGTGTGTGCTTGGCCCCAGCACACTGTGCTAATCCAGACAGTCTCATAAGCAATCAGTGAAAAGCCCTAATAGTTCTGTCACTTGCCACATAAAAATTGATAACCTTATTTGTGGCAAAGCCTGCTGTTGATACTGTCTGTCCTTGGTCCCTTGTTCTAATTGATGATCATAGGATTTAAGGAGAGTGCCCTTTGGAGGCTCCTCTGCCTCAATTTATGACTTTAGAAGGGAGGAAAGGAGGAAAAAGTGGAAGCAGTAGCACCTCTTATTGTTTAAAGCTAAGCATGTGGCTGTTCCTAGTCTCAGAGGGTCTCAGAGTAGTTCTTCAGTGCCCAGAGAAGTGATAAAAACGAAGTGTTGGTGGGCACTACTTGGCTTACACGTCACCACCCTGTATAAGTGACACAAAAGCAGGCGCTTGATCAGAATCACACGCCTCATGCTTGGCATGGTGCCTGTGATAGGCAGCAGTGCTGTGGTGGGCAGTTAGATGTCTCTCAAGTGAGGGAAGAAGCAGAAAATTAAGCTGAAGCACAATACAAATAAATGTGTTAGGCCATTTGCTTCAGTAGTGTGTTTGACATGTTATTTTTCTTAAAATAGATTGATTTAAAAATAATGTCCTGAAAGAATAAATGGTTTGGTATTGACAAGGAAGTAATGCAGATGTGCCTCTGAAAAGAAATCTCCAGCAGTTATAGTATTCCTCCATTATTATTTTTTAGCATCTGGCATATGCTGGAATCTATGTGATTTCACCCGCCAAAGTTATCTTTTTTTTCCCCAAATGAGATTGACTTAGTGTCTTATATGGTACCAGATCTTACATCCATTTGTTTGTAGCTCAGCTTATGCAGTGCGGGGCTTTTCTGTTTTTTCCCCACCTATCTACTCTGCCACCTTTGATTCTCTCAGAAGGTGGGCTGGAGGACAGTGTGAGGGTTGTCATCACTGGCTTTCAGACAGGAGCTGACAGCTGAGAGCTCAGGGTAAGCGGAGGAGGGAGATGAGCTGGACTGACTCTCCCACTTCCTGTTAACTCTTCCCTTCCTGCAAAGCTGTGTCCAGGTCTGATTTGTGCTACAACGATTATGCCATTGTCACGAAGAAAATAAGGTTAAGGTAGGAGTTACTTGTACATGCTGGGCACACTGTTTCCTGTTTATAGGGATGTCTGAGCTGTGTTTATCTTTCTGGCTTAATTCATATACAGATTGTAGTTTTATATGGAACAAATCAAGGCAAATCTTGGAAAATGTTAGAAGACTTTTTCTCTCTCAAATCTTACTTAAAGCAAATATGATGCCTGCAAGTTATTTCCAATGGTTTAATCAAAATACAGTTTTTTAAAAACACTTAAGAATCTGGGTATGCAATGAAAATACCATCAACAAACCTCATAGATCTAGAGAAATCACTCCTAAAATTCATCTGGAACCAGAAGAGACCTAGAATAGCAAAAGCAATTCTAAGCAGCAAAGGCAAGGCAGGAAGCATCACAATCCCTGACTTGAAGTTATACCTACAAAGCTATTGTAATAAAATCAACATAGTACTGGAATCAAAACAGATCTGAAGATCAATGGAATAGATTAGAAGATACAACTACAAACACACTCAACCACCTTATCTTTGATAAAGGGGCCAAACATACTCACTGGAAGAACGACAGCCTCTTTAATAAATGGTGCTGGGAAAACTGGCTCTCCATATGCCAAAAACTAAAACTAGACCCATGGCTATGACCATATACTAAACTAAAATCTAAATGGATCAAAGATCTGAATATAAAGACAGAAACACTAAATCTGTTGGAAGACAAAGTAGATAAAAATCTTGAAGATATAGGGGTAGGTTAGAGAATTCATGAATAGGAGTCAAACTACATGGGAAATACTTCTCAGAATCAATAACTGGGATTGTATCTTATTAAAAAGTTTCTGCATGTCAAAAGAAATCGCCAGCATAGTGAAAAGAAAACCCACAAACTGGGAAAAAAATCTTAGTGAACTGTCCCTCAGACAAAGGACTTCTGTCTAAAACATAAAAAATTTTAAAAAATCAGACCCCTGAAATTCAAGGAATGTCGTGAGTGTCTAGGGCACTCTGAACTCTGGGCAAGGTAAACACACACGCACGCCTTGTCGGGACACGGGGGGTACAGCGCTTGGAAAAGAAAGACAGGAGAGACACCTTTGCTGTCTGCACCGCGTTACACTGCACTGCACGCACAATCTTTATTTTAGGATTCATATATAGTAAACCCGATCAATTCACAGAGCCCAGATAATTAAGTAGTGAAAAGGCATTCTTTGTGGCAAGCTACAATGTGACAGACTACAATGTTTATTCTAAAGCTATCTAAGTGAAGTAAATAATCACAACCAGTTCTCATAACTTCTCTAGCCCAGGAAGAAATTCATTAGCTCAAGAATGTTGTTAATTTGTCTGCTGTTAGTGTCACAAAGGGTGGCCAGCCACTTCCTCAAGACTTCTGCAAAACAAAGCCAGCTCACAGTATGGATTCCAGAGGGTGAGGGCTCACTTGAGAACAGGCATTCCTATTCTACCTCCTTCTCGCATACCAGGGCGGCTATTGTAAATTGCAGGTTAGAGGGGGTTGGGCCTACAAAGTGACACCTCATCCCCCACACTTCCTTCCTTTTTATTTTTTTAACAACAATTTCCATAAGATCAGGTTATTAATAGCATTTTGTCTTATGCAGTAAAAATACACAAGAACTATGGCAATGAGAACTATAATTAAACTAAGTCCCATGCCACTAAAAGTGTGGGTAATGCTCTGCCAGATTCCTTTGGAATCTAATCCTTTCAAAGATTGAGCAAGCAATTGCGCGAATTGTGCTAGGGATTTATCATCATTTTGCTTTGCAAAATCCTTGTCAATTTGATTATGTAAAGATTTTATTTCCTCCTGGGCAGAGGTGTTTTCATTTAGATATATTTTAATCACTTCCCATTTATGTTTTGTTTGATTATAAGGTCGTTGGGTTATACAGAAAGTAGTTGAATTCCAATCACATTTTAAAAACACTTGATGCTGAAGAGCCAATATTTTTCTACCCATCCATTTAACTGTTTGTTTAAGGAGGTCTATTTGTTGTTGTAGTCTGGCGTTTATTTGCCACTGAGTTAACCAAAGTTTATGAGAATTTTTATGCCATAATTTTACAACATGTTTTTCTTGCAAAGAGGTTTGTAAAGCTATTCCTGAGACTGTCGCTAGGGAGGCTACAGTTATCAAACTTAACAGTACAGCAACCACTATTTTAATAAATCTTTTTGTACGTTTTAACAGATGTTTAAAAAATTTAGTAGTAACAGAAATTACCGGGTCTTGAGACCAAGGTCGAGTTAAATTTACAGGCAAC